GAATAAGATTGGCTAACAAAAACATGTTTCAATAGTTATAAAAAATTCCGAGGTTCAATACCGAACCACTTATTTAGCTTCAGGGTTATTGTCCTTGAAGCATTGTTTGTTCATGTAGATCTGTAAGCTTGGTAACTAAGTTAGCGTCAGCGCTTATAACGAATATATCCTTCGGTGTGTAAATATTTTTATCGTCTAAATTGCTTAAAAAATAAGCCTAAACTTTTATTCAAGTTACGTTCCTAAAGCTTCTTACTGTTTGTATCGCCAGATCGCTTTGATTAATGAACACTTCAATACAAAGTTAAATTCCAAATGTGAATCCGTTAAGATCTGGTTTTGAATATTTAGCTTATGACTCAATTTTTGGCTCAGTAATAACCGAGAATCTATATTTCGTAATATATATTAAATTCTACCTTTACAATAGTTACAGTTTTCGGTCAAACACCAGTTATTTTTCGTACTAACTGGATGTACCTGTTCAGTAGGAAATCATGAAATATAGTTCATAGCTTCTCGTCAGTTTGCGAACTCCTTCATGATAAATAGTCATTATTCAAAACAAAGTTTATTCGTTATTATCCTATGTCAGCTGTTTAGGCACTGGTAATAGCGTAGTAAGAAACTATATCTTTAGCAAGATTTTTATGCATAGAATTAAGTTGTTGTGACAGTAATCGTTTCGACCTCTTAGCCATACACAGAAGTTTTGTTTTCCTTTTTTCTTGTTAGCAAAGTTAGATGAATGCATATCCAAACCTTAATAATATTACATGGGTTTACATCAACTTAAATAAGTTTGTCTAACGTCATTTACATACGTAACAAAAGTAGCTGAAAAGAATTTCGTTGTTGGAAATTTTCATCAACAGAACTATTATTTGCACTAAGATAATTAGTGTCTTGCGCGTAAAAGACATTCCATCGTGGATTCTCCTTGGTCACAGTATGAAGTTTCAGAAGACTTAAGAGATCACATATTTTGATTAGGAAGCCCTTTTTCAAAGAGATAATAGTGTTTTTCTCGGAGAAATGTGTGTCATTTGTATGAAAACTCAAAAACTTATACAACCCATTTAAAAGTCCCCTAAATATCATATCATTTCAGCTGCTTCTCTGCTTCTTCGTATCCGTCCTGTGCCTTGACATACTTTCGTATTGTTCAGCTGTTAGTCACTGTGATTCTGTACTTTTATCAGCCCAACATCGGCCACGCTAAAGTTGTTGCTCCTATAATATCTGTTCAGTCCTTTGGTATCTCAATGTAAGACAGTACCAAAGTTTTCTAACAGTCTGTTCAGTCGTCCAGTTCTTCTTTAGCTTCAGGTTTATCTTGATGATATTTGAAAATACCTGGTACCCTCTTTGTTCTCACATCTTCCATGAACCTTCAAACCTTTACTGATGCAGACAAAACCAATCTGGCCACCTGTGGTTTGATTTAGTCTGGGTTTTTATAAGCGTTTGCGGAGTAATTTGGTGCCATCTATGAGCATTTTTTGAGGGCACACATATCCACAAATCTCATCATTTTCATTCTTTTCTCTCAGATCAGATCATTCCAGGATGCCGTAAAATGCAGTGATGCCTATTCTTATACTGGCCTTTAGATCTCTAATGTAGACAGTAAGATCTTTTTCTAACTATTTTTCTCTCATTGCTAGGCTATTCTTCCTAGCTTTTATCCAATTTGTTTCATAATCCAAGTACCTCTGAGTTGCATATTTTTGATTCCGCTGTTAATTAAGAGGTCGTTCTGACACTTCACTTTGTGCGAGTATTCCATGTATCTGTGTTAGTTGTTCCTCTGGGTGTCAGAAGAGACATCAACATAACTTCATAATTTCTGAAGGATCTTAGCTGTCATTATGAGATATCAGAACTCTTCCTAAGGAATTCCCTTCAACTTCGATGGCAGAGCTTAAGTGGCTTAAATAACTTTTCGCTATTACCCTCTGTTTAGCAGGGTTGTTTTCTACAAGCTGGGATTTTTAACCCAACTGAAAACTTTTTTATCCAGGCTTGTGACCGGCAGTAACCTCAGAAGAGCTCCAAGTGGAACATCTGCTTATATATAATTACTAATTCGGCTGTCACACGATACTCGAGCAATGCTCCTGAGACACCTATGATCGAAAACCAGTAACCTACGAATATCTTCTCTTCTGTACATAAGTTCAGGTTGCCATACCATATCAGCACAGAGATATAATTGTCAATTCAAATCCAATGGTAGAAGAGGTAGTAAAGGTAGTAGACGTTTTTTGAGAGGTTAGGATTAGAAGATATTCAAGAAATATGATTCAGTGAGAAAAGTTTAGAAAGAAAAAACTAGAGGTGTTGAAGAATACAGAAGATTAGCATTTGAGAGAACACAGAGAATAAATGCACTGGCGCCATTGCGAACGGTTTTGACCCATGTCATTCAGGGTCTGTAACCATCGATTAGTATCATCTCGTGGACCCCAACCTGGTAGTCGACAACTACCGACATGGCTAAGTCCACTCGTCAATGACTTCATGAATTTCTGCCATGTTTTGGTTTGGCCACCCCTAACTTTCTTCCAACCTATTCCTACACTACAAAACAAAGCTATTCGAGGCAGTCGGTGGTTAGGCATACGCAGCACATGTCCCAACCACCTCAACTGATGAAGTTTCACCACTTCATCTATTGATCTGCCACTCTTACCTAGCACCCGTTTCCTAACGACACCATTGCTTACTCGGTTGTCCGAGGGTATACGAGCAATTCTTCGAGGACACCGATGATCGAAAACCTGTAACCTACGAATATTTTCTACTCTCACTGGCCATGTTTCGCAGCCATATAGTAGGGAAGAGTGAACTGCTGCACAGTACACTCATCCTTTGGTTGGCAAATGAATATCTTGCGTGCGCCATAAGTGATGCAAGTTGGCAAATGTCAATCGACTTTTCTGTATCCGTGCTGAGATTTCATCCGACACCAGGCCATCAGCACCGATGAGACTCACGAGATAGGTGAAGCGGTCAACAGGCTCAACTTTTTCACTCTATCACTATTTCACTTGCCGATATAAGCCAACCCTGATGCAACATTTTGAATTTCGACAGGCAGAATCGCATCCTGAAGGTGCTTGCATTGTTGCTTAGGGTGGTCAGGAGGCACTACATTTTTCAGTGTCTTCATGAAGTAGAACTATGTTATCGGCATATTGTAAATCAACCAGTGAATTTCCTGGAAGAAGGTCTACTCCTAAACATGCAGATGAAGATAATGTTATATCTAGCTTCATTTCTATGACGAAATTGGACAAGAATTAGGAGAGTGAACATCCCCGATGGACACCACTTGAAGTAAAGAATTGCAATGACAGTTCACCATAAGCTCGCACTTGACATGTAGTGCTCGATTAGAGAGCTTGTATAAGGTTAATGTACTTCTTTGGTACACCTTTTGATGACAGACACTGCCACAGAACCTCACGATCGACAGAGTCAAATGCCGCTTTAAGGTTGGTAAATACTACTATTGTGGGGCGTCTAAAAGTGTGTCTTTGTTCTAGGACCTGACGTAGTGTGAATATTTGGTCCATAAATCCACGTCCAGATCGAAAAGCAGCCTGGTTTTCTCTAGTCTGCTCTTCACGAGCTCTAGTAAGGCGTTGGAGTATTATTGAGGCTAATATTTTAGACATTATATTAGTCAGACTTATCCATCTGTGATTTTTACAGAAGGACTTTTCTCCCTTCTTATAGACTGGGACAATCAGGGATTGAGACCAGTTGGATGGAAACACACACAGATTCTACCTAAGATCTCAGTCAATCTAGCTGCTAAAACTAGACTACCACCCTTAACAACCTCAGTAGCAAGCCTATCAGGCCGTGCTGCTCGCCGTTACTTCAGATTTCCTATAGCTTCTTTAACTTCGTAAAGAGCCGGAGGACTTACGTCTATTTGCCATTCAGGTTGACTGGCTGAAGGCCAATTGAAATGATCCCTTAAGTGTTCTGCCCATTGATCCAATCTTCTGGATTGAGAATGAACAATAATCCCATCCTTTTCCGAAATATTCTTACCTACATTCCTGTTCCTAATACCGTTTTCCCTGACATGTCTGAATAGTTGCTTATTGTTTCCTATCGCCACTGCCCTTTCCATCCTCCTCGCTTTCGCTACCCACCACTGTTCGCGATCATTGTGTAAGCTTTTTATCAGCCTGTGCTTAAGCTGACTTTTCTCTTCGTTATGTTCAGAGCCAGGTGGGATGAGTTTTGAGCGTCTATCAGTTCGGTAGATGCTGCTGAGATTCATAGTTTCTTCTTGACCTCATGATTTGCTTACAGATATCACTGCTGTTTTCACGGCGTTTTGGATATCACTCCATGATATTTCTGGATGAGAATCACTTATATGACCACATAACTGGTTTTCTAGTTGTTCTTGAAATATATTCTTAGCTATGGTTTCATTAAGCAGAACTGTAAGAGGTTTTCTTGCAGTGTCTTTCCTACGTCCGGTAAGTCGTAAACGATTACGCGCTCGCACTAGAGCATGCCTCGAATCTAAATATATGCACCAGAACGAGAGACGGTAGCTGATGGCGATGTCATCTATACTTTATGAATGGTTATAAACCCAATAAAAATCGTTATTCAACTTGAAAATTTCATGAAACACTACATTAATAAGTCAAATTTTTTTTCAATGTATAAGTAAATTTTTATTTCATTGGAAGTAAATAGGTTATTTCCAACAAACGGGACATTGTCCGTTTAATCCAAACTTTAAAGATCACTAGCTTTACATAAATTATTCAACTGAATATTTTATATTCCTAACCTAGAAGGTTATCATTATTCCCTAGACTGCATGTTACTGCTACTTTACTCAATAAATATACTCCATAACCTAATTCTAATCCGTTTGTTTACTGTTTTTTTAAATAAATAAATAATTATATAGCCATATCTTTGATCTTACAACGAATGTTGTTATTCTATCAACAATTATGGATGATACACGTATAGAATGGATGAAATGTATTATCTACAAAGGATTGAATTTAAAAGATAATGATATATTTTTTGAATTTCTTGAACAAAATGACAATGAAAATGAATTAGAATTGGCAAAATTTTTAAATGATTCACCAAAAGATGGATATCAATTATTAGTATTTTATAAAACATTTTTTGAAGAAGAATATGAAGAAACTGTACGTATACCAAGAAAACAATGTAAGACAGAATAAACAAATTATTTTTTTTAATATAAACTTTAACAATTTATTGTTTAGCTACCAACGAGGTAACTAATGTTGATGGAGAAATTCCACATGAACAAACAACCAATAGTTTAAATAATACTGAAGAAAATGTCACGAGTCAAAATCAAATTTCCAATGAGATTGCTACTAATGACAATGTTGACAATAAAGAAACAGGTGAAATAACCGACGGTCCAGTGACAGATGAAACTGGTACCACCTTAGAATATACAACTATTGTAAGATTGATTTTGATTTTAATTTAATACAATCACTTTTCATTGAATTGATTAGATTGTCCATAAAACAAAATGGCATACTTGTTTAAATATGCAAAATACAATTGTAGGCATTGAAACTTTAACAGAAGAATATGTCTATTTCATTCGAATAACAAAAGGATGCATAAATACACCGAATGATATACAACAAGCATTTAATTATATGCCAAGTCAAATGCAATGGGGTTATATGCGTGGTAGTTTTTTGCAAAATTTACAAAATTTATTAAAACATATTTATGCGCCATTATTAAAAGAACAACAATTCATGTTACATGAAACTACGAATCAACAGAAATTGATAATTTCAGAAAAAGATTCATTCGAGTTAAATGAAAAAAGTAAAAAACAAGAACAACAAGATGAAGAAGTAAAACAAATCATTGAAACAAGAGATGAATTTTTAATTAATACAAGAAAATTTTTACGTATCATTGAAACTACTATACATCAATTGAATAGTGATATAGTTTTAGAAATACCGAATTTAGATATCACTGAAGATGATATGGAGATAGTGAATAGTCCGAAATTTGCTACTATCGAAAAAACTATCATGTCATGGAATAGACAGGTAGGAAGGATTCTTCATTTCATTCAGTTTTTTTTTTTTTAATTTAGATTCGTCAAACATTGGATAGTTTATCAGAAAAAGGAACAGGTGATATTAGTCCATTGAGTTTGATTGATTATTGGCGTGATCGTAATCTAATACTTGGGACATTAGTTGAACAATTGAAACGTTCAAATGTTATAAAATTTTATCAATTACATCAAATATTAGAAAATGATACATATAGTGCATTGTTTAGTGAAACAAATAGTTTATATATACAAGCTAGGGATAATGTGAAGTAAGGTTAACATGTTTATTGATTGGTTTAATTTTTTTTAATTATAGATTTCTTTCATTATTAGAAAGACATTTTAAAACATTAACTTTTGGCAATCAGATTGAATCATTAGCAGATACTATTCGTCCACTGATACAAACATTTCATATGATCTGGGTTTTATCCCGGTATTATAATCGTGATGAAAATATGGTACAGTTGTTTGAACGAACAGCACGGACTTTAACTGATCGAGTTATTCGTGCAGTTGACTTTCCAAATTTATTTCGGTAAGTTTTATTGTTATTTGTACTCATTATTATTGATTATTTTTAGATCTGATCTGAAACAATCTATTTCATTGATGGAAATTGTGATCAATCTTTTAAATCATTGGAAAATTGTGTATTATGAAAAACGTTCAGAAATTGAAACGGTGGGTCGTGATGCACGTTGGGAATTTGATAAAATTAAATTATTTGGACATACAGATTTTACACGTTCAATATGTGAAAATTTATTGGAAATATTAACAACAATAAAAGATTTTCGAAATATTTTCAGTTCTGAATTAAAATCAGTGACACGTGATACAAGGAAGATAGATGAAGCAAGTCAACGTGTTAATGATATTGTCGCAAATTTTTGTGAGGTAATCAATTCGATTATGTTAAACATGTTTGATTATTATGTAGATGAAAATGAATCCATTTAATAAAGAGAATAAAATTTGGTGGAATGAAGAATTGGAAAAGTTCAATGATATTGTTGAACGCCTTGAAAGTGAAGCCAATCTACTAATCAATGGTTCATTTAAATTATTACGATCTAGTGAATCAGTTTTTGATGTTTGGTGTAAATTTCGTCATATTAAAACACGACCAAAAATTCATAATTTATTAAATGAGAAATTTGTAGATATATTAAAACAATATCAAAAAGAATTAGTTAATATTGGTGATATATTTAATGAAAATTCAATTTTACCTCCATTTTATCATACTCAATTAAACAAAATGATGATTCATGTATTAGCAAAGTTTACACCGCCAATTTCTGGTTTAATACGATGGGAAAGAAATTTACTAACTTGTAGTAAAAAGCCAATATTGAAATTTTTAAAAATTGACGAACTTATGCGAAATGATGAAGGAAAATCAGTACGTAATCAATATATCACAATTGGCAAACAAATGAGAAATTATGAAGAGAAATTATATAAATATTGGACAATGCAAGTAGAACAAACATTTGATCAATATTTAAATCAAACTTTATTAAAACAACAAGATTTAACAAAACCAACAACAAGTGTTAAAAAAATTTCTCCTTTACCATTAAGTCGTTTAAGTGTAATTTCATCGTCGAAAAGTGAACAAACTACACATGAATCTAATAAAACAATTGCAGAATTCAGTGAGTATTTCAGAGAGTTTTTGCGTTTATTATCTCTCTGTTATTGTGCTTTCTTTCTAAAGGTTATTTATGATGATTCCTTTTTCATGGTGTCATATTCGAACTAATTAGCTGTAAAGTATAAAGTATTTACAGACTAAAATGATAAAAAAATATAATTTTATATTGACATTTGCTGATAGTTGTCGAATAGTAAGAACGAAATAAATGTTTTCATATTTACAGTAACTTGAATCATAAACCCTAAACTTTGAGTTCGTATAAGGAAGGCTCTAAGATTTGGTTAAAAAATCTCATTATTGGTTTTCTCAAAGAAAAACACATTTGAAAGAATATTAAACGATGCTTTAGGCTTTAAAACAATTGTGGTGGTGGTGTTTGGTGCATGTTGTGTTGCATCGGAGAATTTTGCTTTTTCCTTTATGCATGTTGAGACCTACTGCTGCAGAGACTGCTGCTACACTGGTCGTCTTCTCTTGCATTTGTTGTTGCGTGTGCGATAGAAGAGCCAGATCATCTGCGAAGTCCAGATCGTCCATCTGCATCCTGGCTGTCCATTTGATTCTGTGCTTCCCTCCAGATGTCGACGTCTTCATAATCCAGTCGATCACCAGAAGAAAGAGAAAGGGTGAGAGTAAGCAACCTGGCCTGAGACCGGTCTTCATCTCGAACGAGTCTGTTAGCTGTCCTCCTTCTATCTGAAGTTTGTGCTGATGATGTTATTGTTCAGAAGAACAATGAAAGCTCCACAACCAAAATATCCAGCTCAGCTAATGAAACACCACCACAAGCGAAAGTATTTTTATAGCTTATCACTTATCAATATACTCTGATTAAATTTGTCTGCAGGTCAATAAATAAGAATCGAACTCATAGTGAATGATTTGCTGGGACTTTTCGTCTTTTGTTGAAAAATATTTCTATAAAGGTTGTTATCTTCAACGTGGTTTTGTATTGATATAAATTACCGTATTATAGTAAACAACCTTTTGTAAATGAAGTAGTGAACTGATAAAATATTATCGACAGTTTACAAAATTGGACACTAGTGAAATTAATCTTTTATGAATCGATGTTTTCATTAAAATGTACCACAGCTGGAAAATATTTTATATTATAAACTTTTTTCTTCGTATTATTAATTCAGTAATGAGTTTATTTAAGACGGAGTTGAATCCTGAAGTTAAGAAAATCATTTTGTTAAAGCCTAATAAATTTGATTTGAAAATATTAGCTTTGTGTGGCTTAATGCAGCTGATGCGATACTTCAGACATCGTTTTTGTGCAAGTTGGTATTCTTGAGCTGAGTATGACTGTAAAATCGAGAAAATTGATGATTCCCAGTAGATTCGAACCTTAGATGTTATCTTTAAGCAATTTGGAGTTACTTTCTATAGAAAAATGATGTATTTACTTTGACTGGTCACTGTATGGTGAGAAGTAAGCGCTACGTCAACATGAAGGAAGATTTTCCAGTTTTTGAATAATATTCCGTAAAATTTATTAAAAGATAAATAATTAGATCTCCTATTATTCAGATGAAGTTATTTAAACTCACCAGTTGAGAATATATCGAAGTAATCAGAAAAGTTATATTCAATCTTTTCACGTACCTTAGTTCGTAATAATGTTATCTTATTTCTGGTCTAGTCGTTTGAATTTTCTACAGTTTATAAACTTTTATGTTTAACTTCATTTACATTTATCTTTGACAAGTTCCCTCAGTTTAAAGTATTCCTAATTTCTGGTATATCTTTTTCAACCCACATTATTTCGCTATTGTCAATTATCACACTAATTATAACATTATATTTCTTCTATAGTGTACCATTTTTAGATTATTCTACTTTGTCTACTACAACTAAATGTCTTACAGCTTGCATCGGCACCTGAACTAGTGATAGGGAGTGAAGCAGTTGAGCGTGTGAACCGCTTCATTTATCTCGGGAGTCTCATCATTTCAGATGGCCTGGTATCTGACAAAATCTCAGCACGGATACAAAAGGCTCGATTGGCTTTTGCTCACCTGAGTCACTTACGGCGAAGTCGAAATATCCGTTTGTTAACCAAAGGACGAATCTACTGCACAGTAGTTCGCTCAGACCTACTTTATGGCTGTGAAACATGGCCAGTCAGAGTAGGAGATATTCGTAGGTTACTGGTTTTCGATCATAGGTATCTCCGAAGCATGGCTCATATATCATGGAACAACCGAGTAAGCAATGCTGTCGTTAGGAAATGAGTACTAGGTAAGGATGTCAGATCAATAGATGAAGTAGTGAAACTTTATCATTTGAGGTGGTTGGGACATGTGTTACGTATGCCTAACCACCGACTGCCACGACGAGCTATGTTTCGTGGTGTAGGAATAGGTTGGAAGAAAGTTAGGGGCGGCCAAACCAAAACATGGCAGAAACCCATGAAATCACTGACTAGTGGACTGAGTCATGTTGGTAGATGTAGGCTACCTGGTCGGGGTCCGCGAGATGATAGTAATCGACGGTTAGAGATCCTGGGTGACATGGCTCAAAACCATTTGCAATGACTCAGGTGGATTAATTATTTTGTGTCCTCTCAAATCTTAACCTTCTGAATTCCTCACAACCTTTACCTTTTTCTTTTCACGTTTATTTGACTAGATTCAAATTCTTGAATAATCTCTTCAAACCCTAATCTGTCCGATTGCTGCTTATACTTCTACTACCTCTACTACTATGAGATTTGAAGTGACAATTGCTTCTTAGTGCTAATGTGTGGTATGGCAACTTGAACTGATTTACGTACGTACGAGATTCTTTGTTGTAACTGACTGACTGACTGACCGACTGACATTTCCTCCTAACTATACTGATGACATATTTTGTAAGTGTTCAAGCCATAATCAATGCAAAACTATAGTTTTCATTATGCAACAATGAAAAATTTAACCACGACAGAAATTTATGAGTTTGATAACCATGGGACAAGCAGATGAAGTTATTGAAAATGTTTTTTTATCATACATTTAAATTATCATAATTGTTCGTTATAAATACATTTATATAACTTTTATTACATTAAAACAATCTTGATACCTATCTATCATTTCATTTTCGTATCACTTAACAATTGAATTTCAGCTAAATACGAATTATTAGTTAATTTTCATCCGAATATTTTGGTCGTAATAACCGAAGCAAAACATTTGGAATCGTTAGGATTTAAAATACCAGAGATTGTAATCAATGCTGCATTGAAAGTAAGGAAATGTAGTGTACTTTTTCTTCATGCCTTTTTGTCACGAAATTTTCGTGTTTCTTTTGCATACAGATGTTCACCTGAAAGATTTCATATAATTTTTAATGAAAAACAATGAAAAGGCATAATGGGTTAACTTATACGTTACAGTGATTGCTCAATGTAATGCACATCATATGTAGCTACACTAGATTGGTTATTTAATTCAAAGTATGATGTTTTGGTTCGAATGATAAGTTTAAAAAATCAATATTCTTTTTCTTTAAAAACACACTGACCGGTATGCTTTGTGCTGAGCTTTATGTTACGTTCATATGCAGAACAATAATAGATCAAGTACATTTTAGGTTGAGGATTTTGTAATGACTTCATACCTTTAAGCATTCGACATCTAGGAAAGCAAAAAGCATCATGACATTAAATCATTTAGACTAACGTTGATATTCTAATCGGATTGACAGAATTCGATTAGTGCATAGACGAAAACAACAAACTTTTAGTTACCAGAAAGCGGTTACTTTTGGAAAAAAAAGAACACTATATTTTGCAGTTGAATTAGGAATGGTAAAGTTATATTCGAATGTTTCGGGGACGTTGGATCCTCAGAATTTGCTTGATTAAAGTCCTGATTTTGGATTTTATGTTTTCGTGCAGGAACTGATCAGCTGACCTTGAGATTAGGTTTACCACCTGGGAAATCCTTGACTATTATTGGTTGGTGTATTGTTTTGTCATGCTATTTTGGTGGCTCTCCCAAGGACTTTTCTATCATGCATAAATCAACTCGATTTGTGGGCTTGGGAAGCTCATATTTTCTTGGTCCTTGTAGAATACACTTTCTACGTCTTGTCAAGACTTTTTCCTATACTTAGTAGGGCCTTGGGATGCTTGGATTAGAGTAGCCTATCATGTTACTGGGTCATTTGTCTTCACTTTTGTTTACCGACTAAGATGAACTCGTAATAGTTCAAGCGTATCAAATGACGACCAAAACAGAATGGTTATAATCAATAATATAACTTAACCAGCTTATTAGTTCAACTCATAACACAATCCACTTCTGTACACGAAACCGAATAGTACTACTTGAGAAAGACGTTGCTTATGCTTTGCAAAATATCAACAAATGTCTGTGTTATTGCTTGATGAAGTATTTTTCATCGTTTTTCTAACTTTTGGGTTGCTGAATGTAGCTGGAAGGAAATCCAGGTAACTTGTTCATAATATTATATACCAGTCCACTCAATATTGCAGATACGTGTTTTGCTAACCAGTGCCAAATACCATGAAACCGAGATTTATGGTTCTTTATTAACTACTTCCAGCCACCTAATGTAGAAACATAGATTAGGTGCTGTTTAGTCTCCTAGATTATTGGTCACATTGCAATTTAATTGAAATTATCTGACTTGCTATTCGGACAGAACAAAAATAACATTGATTACCATTTAGTACATCACACTGTTTTATTTTCCATACTTTAGAGTATATATTTATATATGTAAAGATTTATATTATTACTCTTTATTATCATTCCAAATAGGAATCCAGTTATATAGTTTATGTGGAAAAATTAAAATTATTAGTTAAACGATGTTATGAATTATTTGCACAACTTGATCCTCCGGAAATCACTATCCTCGAATCATATATTATCAATTTGAGAACAATCATGAAACCTGGTTGGGATATATTGAATTGGAAAAGTTTAGCAATCAATGAATTTATAGCGAAAGTAGAAGAAGAATTAAATCGATTCGCCTCCATGTGTAATTTATGCAAAAAAACAGCAGCTGATATTGAAACACGTTTGGAATTATTTGGTTCAGCTGATTTATTTCCAACACCGAAATGGATAGATGAATATCAGAAAACAGCATTGGGAGGATATTATACATGCAAGGTATAATCAACAACACTTGTTCATCAATTTTATTATTCTAGTAAAATAAAACTATAGTATGATGTATAAAAGATATTTATTATCCATGAGAATTTTTAGAAAATGTTGATTTATTGAATATTGAAGACTTGTTACGCTCGTCTCTAGGTATGTTTAAACTGTTACTAGTTCACCTCAGTCGAATAACCAGAACAAACAATGCACCACCGTCCAGGTAGGCTACTCTGATCCCTTGACCAAATTGAGTTAGCAAGAAGTCTTGATATAGTGTAGAAATTCTATTCTACAAACACCCGGCCAGCACACAATGAATCAAATCACTCAAATTGCGTTTATTTATACTCTATAGAGACGTCCTTGGGACAGTCACGAAAATAGCACACTAAAATGACACAGTAACCAATCACAGCCAAGGATTTTGCTGGTGGGAAATTTGATCTCAAGGTCGGTCCATGAAATAAATCCAAAATAAAGATATTTATCAAGCGAGTTCTGGGGATCTAACATCCCCAACAAAACTTTAAGGGCAATCATGGAAAATATAACTCCCAACTTTAAATATTGTTTATTTAAAATGGTGTTAAGTTTTTTTTAAACACGAAGAGAAACCTCACACGTCGTAATTTACTGTAAATCGTTTGATATGCTTAAGTATTATCAAATTTATGTAGAAAGAAAGGCATCTAGTTGTTTACTAACTTGATTTCAAATAAATACAAATAGTTTAAATGTTCCAGACTGAGATCAAATTAAATCACAAAAAACAACTAATAACGTATCTATCTAACTCAGCTTTTATGTATTCTAAATGGAAGTAAGAGAGATCATTTGTTTCAAATATGGTCATCAATTGAAATTTACAAAACTTGTATGTTTAGGGGAACTAAACTCACTCATGTAGTAATAGTCCAGTTATCGATTAACAACATTTTTAAAAGTTCATTTACTAGCCATATATCTGATTGTTGTAACTTTTAAAAGAATTCGTATCAATGAAAGAAAATTACTGGAAAATTCAAAGATCTATGAATTAAATAAATAGAATTTAGAATTTAAAATAAGTTCAATTGTCAATATTCAAAATTTTTACAGAATGACTTATCTAGCTCAGTTACCGATATCATATTATCGATAAAATAACTAACTACTGATTATACTAAGCTCAATTAATAGTTGTCCACAAAAAGTGTACAAGTATGATAGCATATAGTTGATCAATTAATCTTTTTTTAATAACAGTGAGATTTCTGATCCTTTTTACCAATAAGTAGGTAGATCAAACAAAAAATAACGAAATCTAACTGGAAAGTAGATACATCCAAGTTAATACACTTTGCAGCATTATTGAGATAAAAAAAAAGCTATTGAAAACCATGAAACGCTAAAATTTTAGTGAAGGAGAACACAGGTGATTGCAACCGATTACATTTATCGCAAATTAAAGAGTTACTCAGTAAAATAGGAAAACTATATCGTAACTGTTAATTTGCAAATCTTCAATCCATCATCAATCCATTGTCTGACATTTCACTATTCATGCGTTTCGTACAAATTCCATTGTGTTCCCACTCTTCCTTTCTTGATCTTCCTCCATCTTCTGCTGCCAGACATTACGTTTACACTCGCGTCATATACTACTTATAAGTAGCGCGCACCACAAAATAAGTATATGAAAAATACTTATTCAGAACTAATCACAGTGAATATATCAAGACTGTAAATTTGTGGCGGTCTTACAGTCAAATTTTAGTTCTGTGATATCGGGAGCTAGATATCAAAATCATTAGATGCCGACTCAGTGGTCAAGAGGCTAAGCCTGAGTGCGCGAAACCAAAGATCCCACATCTGATTCCAGTGTGCAAGGTCGTAAATGTGTGCCGTTGAGAAATTCCTTACTAGAAAGAAGCAGTTCTTTAACATTGATTGGTCCATGATTTCAATGGAATTCTGTAGTATAATCTACCTAATTAAAAGTTCATTATGTAATTCTGGTCATATCAACTTTCGTTATTAATACATGCATAATTTCATGAACAGTTAATAAATCCAATCGGTAAATATATCAGGCAGTTTAACTTTATCCCAAACTTTAACAGTATTCAATACAGAACATGAGATTAAATAATCAATAAAAACTAATTAATTTATTCGCCGTTTTTTAGCAGAAACTCTAAAAGTTTAGCTTCAACACTAAATGCAGCATAGAAATGCATCCCTGTTTTCTTAGTTTCACACTGGAGTATTATGGAGATCATAGTTTTACCTAGAAATCATAAATAAATCATTGTTAGACCACCATTAGAAACCTGGAAGTACTAGATGTCCGTCTCATCCTCGTATGGGACTCAGTAACACCGTTGAATGCCGGCTCACTGGTTCAGAGATCAGGTGTCCACGCGCGTTACACTAAAGGTCCTGGACTCGAATCCTGCGAATAACAGGAGTCGTGGATGCACATTGCTGATGAGTCCTATACCAGAAAAAAATCGTCTGTCCAGTGCTTTCAGGTTTCTAATGCTGATCTAACAATGATTCATTCATGATTTCAAAATAAATCTATTTTGATTTGGTCGATTTTAGTGTCAGAAAGACAACCTATTAGAAATAGTTAATTACCACTCATTTGTTTATTTATTTTCAGACCTGGACTATTATAAATCTCTGTATTTGTGCCAGTGGATTTTAATCATAATGTGTTTAAGTACAGGCTATAAAACTACAGTCTTGAAATATATACTCATAAAAATATTGTTTTTCATCAAAATATCATAAATATTTTATTTTACATTGTCAATGTGTTTATCTTTTTTTTCTCTCCTAATTTTTTTTCTTGTAACAGGACTATTTTGCGTTAACACTTATTGAAAGAAAAAAACAATTTGAAGAACTACGTATGCAACATGCATCTTTAACACCATTGATTACAAAACTTGAAGATGTAATCATTCCACAAAATACAGGCAATAATAAAATAATGGTTTCTTATTATGAATATTGGGAGAAAAAAATATTCGATCGAATTTATGCGGTAATTATATACATATATATATATATATATATATATATATATATATATATATATATATATATATATATAATCAGTAACTTAAATTAGATATGACATAAACTTGTCTATAGAATCGATACTGATTCTGAATGATTATAACATGATAATTTATATTTACAGAGTTCTTTCATTTAGAGAGCTGTAAAATCATCGACGAGCAAGGTCAATCTGATGCAGAGGGGAGGGCGCGGGTCGGAGAAGCAAGGGCTGCATTTCTACAATTGAACAACATCTGGAACTCAAAATAACTATCAACCGATACCAGAATCAGAATTTTCAATACAAATTTTAATACAGTTCTACTGTATGAGGTGGAAAGTTGGAGAGCCACGAAAACCATCATCCAGAAGATTCAAGAGTTTATTAACGACTGTCTGAGAAAAATACTTTTGATTTGCTGGCCAGACACTATCAACAACAACGCACTGTGGGAGAGAATAAACTAGATTTCAGCGAAGGAAGGAATCGGGAAGAAGCGCTGGAAGTGGGTAGGACTCACATTGAAGGAAGCATTCGACTGCATCACAGGACAAGCCCTTACATGGAATCCTTAAGTCCAACGGAAGGAAAGAATGCCAAGGAACACAATGCACTGATAAATGGAAACAGATATGCGAAGAATGAGCAAGAATTGGACAGAACTTGGAAGGAAGGCTCAGGACAGAATTGGATGGATAGTGCTGGTCGGCAGCCTATGCTTGATCAGGGTTAACAGGCGTATGTAAGTAAGTAAGTAAAATCACGGTTTAGTGTTCACTGAGAAAACATGGAGCTGGTGCATTATTTACATGTCTTCATGTATAAATCTCCATTCTAAAGCAAGGAGTTATTTATTATGAGAAAATGTGCATAAAGCTTTCCAGTTGATAACCAAAAAACAATCAATTTGATAAGATAAAATATAGTACTGAAGTCAATTTTATTTCGTTTCCATTACATCAATTCATCTCAATGAATCGTGAATTTTGATCTTGTCAAAATGTAGAATTAATTTTTTCTTCGAGTAAATTATTAACAAAAGACTATTTTAACTCTCTCTCATTGTATCCTCCTGTCTAGTAGATTTTCATCATTCTGACATAAATATTATTTTATATTAGATAATTTAATTATTCTTACTGTCAAACTACTTAAATTCTAAACATTTAAAATGTTGAAAACAATTCCCAGTTCGTGTGATTTTTTTTGTTAATACAGACAGATACAAATATGTGCAGAATATTAAAATAACACAAACCAATGAACATTAAAACAAATCATGATTGTTTCACAAAATCATTCATTGTTCAATATTCATAAAATATCCAACACCTTTTTTTGGTATTTTGAACGTAACAAAGTAAAAAACACACATATTTTACTTACTGTTTTTCATTGTTAAGATTTTTCATTTTTAAACAAAACTAAATCGTGAATTCATTTGTTCAACAAAATACTATTGAACCTACACATTATACTCTGATGGACTAAACCAATCCTCTTTGTAATAGAAAATATTCATCATCAGAAAAATCGATTATATTCGAAAATAACTTATTAATGTAATCTTAAACGCACAAAACAATCATCAAATAACATGAATTGAAATATGATATAGTTTCAAACTGTTGGATATGTTGATTGTTATCTAGACTTCTTTTGCTTTCTTTTACTTTTTAGATGGTAATTCGAAATCTGCAAAGTTATTTGAATCGTATTTCGCTTCAACAAGAACCATTGTTTGCAGTTGATCTTATGTTAGCTGGTACAGATGTGGTTGGTAATCCACAACCAGCTGAACTTTATCGATTGGTCATTCAAGTATGTGTGATATATAGAGAGAATGATTTTGAAGATTGTCTTTTAATAACAATAATAAAAAAAGAATATATTTTCTTTTGATGAACTGCATTTTTGGCCAGACTACGTTTGAAATGACATTCGAAACAGATAAATGACAGATTTGATTTCTATCATTTAGAATTTTGATACCTTTAAAAAGATAAAGTCTTATGTTTTTGAGATAGTAGAGCTATTATTCTGTGAAAATGTAATTTTATACACATTACAATGAAAAAGTGCAATTTCAATAATGATAACACTATTTAGGGAAGATGACGAGGTACATTCATGATATGATACTTATTATGCATTAGGTTTCAACCAACTAAATTATTTGGATCGACTAACTATGTACGTTAGTTGTTTTATTCATCCATAATAGTTCAAGTGTCACACAAGACAAGATTAGTAACGAAAATAAAACTATTGCGTAACCAAAGGCTGATTATTCATTATAATAAGTTCGATTTCATTCATAAACTTCAGTAACTGATTATCACATCACTCCTTCGTTTGCATACAAAATCCTGATCGGGTGTAGACAGTGTATGAGGTGGCGCAACTACGTGAATTGATCGAAATTAGACATTGACACCGTTAGATACCGGCTCAGTAATCCAGAGGTCAGGCGTTCGCGCGCAAGACTGAAAGTGGTGGATTCGAATACTGCGAGGTGCAGGAGTCGTGGATGCTCACTGTCGATGAGTCCCATACCAGGACGAAAAGGCCTTACAGTGGTGGTGTAGCATTGATCGATTCATGATTTCAATAAATAAATATATGGAGATGTAAAATGATAACTACCCCTTCCCGTTCGAGTTTTGGAAAATCAAGGAAATTATATTTTCATTAATAGTGACTATATATATATATAGTCAAGTAATAAGTTCATTCTGCCTGCTAAAAGATTACTTTACTCACCACTAAATATTAGTATGATTTATAAATGTTTTTCACGACTATATAAGATATATTTATTTTACTGTCATTGTAATTATGGGATGCTGTTTTTTTTTTCTAAATATTTCTTTCATTTCACCCAAAAAAGGAATTACGTGATGCCATTGAATCAACACGTGTATTTATTCGATGGTGCCGCGGTTCATGTACAATTGCTCCAGGTGTAAGAATTGATGGCAGTGAAGATTTGCATTATTTTACATTTTATGAAGAAATTGCAAAATCTAGTGAAGTAGCTGATTTACTTCAACAAATTGCAAAAATTTATGCAAATCATGTTGAAAGAATGAAACGATTTCAAGATAGTTGGCGTAAACATAAAGGGAAGTTTGTTGCCAATAAAGTAAGTTGAATGAATTTGAAAATTAGATTTATCGTGCATAATTTCACTGTAAAACTACCACTAGAAATATAGAATAAATGGTTACAAATTTGGGTACTTATTTATGGGAAATGTTTGATAGTTTACTTGAAAATCCTTACAAATAACACTGTAGATTTTATTGAATCTTTAATTATTTTTCTCTATCTTGTTACTAAGTTGTACATGAATGCAAACTACTGAAAAATCCCTAATGGGATAACAAAGCTGTTCTGTCTTCTGGTCTTCAGCTATTCAGGATTTGGATGATTTAAAACCTTTTAAAATCGATGAAATGAAAATAGCTAATATTAGTCCCAAATATCTTTATTTTAATGATCATGATGATAAACACAGAGTGCTTTGACCTAGAAACAGGAGTACAACAAATGCTATAGTAATTTTTATATATTTGCCTGATATTACCCAAGAAGTGAATATACTACGCTCATGTGCAGTGAGAAATAAACTGTAAATGCAGAATGCATGGGGTACAGTTGGCGGCGGAATCCAGGCAGTGCTTATCTTCTTATATGGGACTCTTCTTCAGGACTTACTCAGAAGTTTGAAAGCAACACCGTTTGTCTCGAACCCCTAATATGTACACTTATTTATCTAATGAAACGCCTGTCCTGAATTGTACTGCCATCCTTATCACCTGTTCTATTTAAACGTATATCATTATGGTCATATTGTGGCAAACAGATTAGGAGGTATATACACCGAGTAAGACTAATGAAAGTTGATTCGAAATATCAACAACAAAATAATCAGATCAATACGGATTAAATTATCAAACGATATATTTTTGTTAACTGAGAATCACAGACACTGTAGCAAATGCAAAAGTAAAAAAATTCGATAACTAACCTAAAGATAAAAATGTTGAACAATCAAGATAATTATGAATAATATTCAATACACTCAACCCATTCTATTCTCTTTTATTTCCTAAAATGTCGTTGGAATTGAAATCCAGTTGGCGCATCTCGTCGTGTTTGAGATGTACTGTAGGACTGGAACACAGTACCGTTCGCTTCAAACTCCATTGAACTATCCAGATAACCATTCACTCGTGCAATGTGTATGAAATGTCAATCAATTTGAAATGGTTTGGATTACATCAGATCACCTGACGAGTCCTATACAGAGCAAAACCCTCGTCCTATTTTAAGCTGCTAGTAACATTCTATTGGTTCTAAATAAACTTGTGTCATAGTGGCTAGATCAAGGCAATACGCCAACCGAAATTGTTCAAATTCCAGTCAAAATATCAACAAATGGATAACTCTAACCACTTCACATTGAATCCCAGCCTTTTAATGTTACATTATACTATTAGCTTCTGTAGTATTAACAAAGTATCATTTCAATTATTTGAAATCATGAATTGATCAGTGTTAGACCACCATTAGAAACCTAGAGGCACCGCAAGGCCTTTTCATTATGATATGGAACTCATCATCAGTGCGCATCCACGACTCTTTCACCTCGCAGGATTCGAACCCAGGACCTTCGGTATTGTGCGCGAACGCCTAACCTCTGGACCACTGAGCTGGTTTCTAACGGTGTTAATGTCTAACTTCGATCAGTTCACGAAGTTGCGCAACCTGATACACTACTGTCTTCGGTAGTTACTGTCTACACCCGAAGAGGGTTGAACTGCACTGGTCATGACTTCCCACTAGAACTCGATGAAGATTCTTTATGGAGCTAGTCACTAGTGAGCATATACAACTGCATAACATTGATCGATTAATGATTTCAAATGTGTAACTTAACAATCTTCACAACCCCGTAATGGAATTTCAATTATTGTTAAAATCTAGCTCAACATTTATTTAATTTAAATTAGATTCTAATTTAATTTCCCAGATAATATTCTGCATTCTTACAGTTAATTCTTTACACACCTTTCAAGTCAATGATTACTCAATTCATTAAATTATTCACACTTGTAGTATTCTATGTTATAGTCATGAACAAGACCGAAACGCACTCTGAATTTATCATATTTTATGATTGTATAGAGCTCCGCTTGCGTATATATGTATATATATAATCTAAAAAATAAATTAATTATTTTAGCTAACTCAAGTGGAAAGATGGATGGAAACACCTCGGACTCCAATTGAAATTCATGAAAAAATATTAGAAATGAATAGTAAATTAAATGATTTATGTGAAACACCAGAATTAATAAATATTGGTTGTATACAATTACGACTGAAGAGTTTATTTCATAATATACAAGAACATAATAAAAAATGGACAATAGCTTATGGTAAACAACTTCATGATATTGGTAAAGAAATGTTGACAAGTTTACAAGATGAATTCAAGGTATCTATTAACTTCGTAATTTATATATAAATTTGACTAATCTGTCTTATTTGAAACCATGAATCGATCAATGTTACATCACTATTAGAAACCTGGAGGCACTGGACGGCCGTTTCGTCCTGGTATGGGACTCGTCACTGGCAGTGCGCATTGACGACTCATGCACCCCGCACGATTCGAACCCAGGACCTTCGGTATTGTGCGCGAACGCCCTAAGTGTTAGACCACTGAGCCGGTATCTAACGGTGTTAATGTCTAACACTGATCGATTCATGGTTTCAAATAAAAACCTAACAATCTTCATAACAACCCCGCAATGTAATTTGTCTTAGTTTGATAAGTGTGTATTTTCGATTTAATATTGTTTAGTAAGTACGCCAAATAAGATTACTAACCATATATCTTGTAAGATTCAGTGTTTTTTCCTCTTTAAAATACTTCCATTTCGTGATAATGAACTTATTGAATTATCCTCCACAGTATTACTGATATGCTCGAAACTATTAAGAGTTCATGTTAGCTGGTAAAATGAATGAAGAGCAATGACTCAGTGACACGATAGTCTATTCTAATCCGTTTGTCCCAACCCCGGCTAATTAGATCAAGAAATCTTGATAAGGCGTAGAAAGTGTATTCTACAAGCACCCAGAAAATATGAGGTTATACAATGATAAAGAAGCCCTTGGTGAGAACCACAAAATAGCATACGAAAATAATCCATCAACCAATGACAGTCATGGATTTTCCCGCGGGGGTATGTGAGCTGAAGGTCAACCAGTGCGAAAACATGGAAATTCAAAATTTCAGAATTGAATTACAAAATTAGGACCTTTTTGCAAGTGAGGTTTAGGGATCTAACCTCCCCAATAATTATTAAGTACATCTATTGAGGTTCTTATGGGTAAGGCTTTTTGGTCAATTTATTTCATAACTTAATCAAATCATATCATCAACAATCATACTGACAGAGAATTATCTATCAAAAAAAACTTTTAAAAGCATAGTATACGTCGTATAACTTATTCATAAACACGCTAAATCAACAGTGATCTTGTTATTGTATCATTCTTATCATTTCCATAAACCCCAATTGAAAATAGTTTTTCAACCTCTTGTCCTTATACATTAATCATTTACAATGATTATATATTAGGATGGATAAGAGAGATGGAGAGTTTGATCGTATCGTGTTCTGTCTGTATGTAGGATAATTTAATCACAAACATTTCGACGACAATCCGGAAAATATCTACGTCTAATTCGTAAATGTAAATAAAAATTTTCAAAAATGCATAGATTTCTTTTTACTTCCACTATCCATTTCATCAAAACCGACCGGTCAATAATGAATTACTCTCCCAAAATATTTCATGAAACCGCGAACCTTAATATATATATACACTTTTTGACTGAATGAAACATTTAGCCTATATTTAAATTATTCCACAATTTCATCTATCTTCCATTCTTTCAACAAACAATATTTATAGCAACAATTTGAAGAGTTAGAAAATGTACCAACAACATTAACTGAATTAACTGATATTTTACGTACAATTCATGAAATTCGTTCAACCACACTGGAAGCAGAAGAAAAATTAATTGGTATTGAAGAACGTTATCGTTTATTAGATTATCATAATTTACCAATACCAGAAATTGAAACTGAATCAGTGCATGCTTTACGATCCACATGGATGAATCTATTGAAATCAGCAAACTATAAAGATCATTCACTGAAAAAAATTAAAAAGAAATTTACTAAAATTACTGCAGAAGATGTTGGAAAATTTGATGATATAGTGAATGAGTTTGTAAAACGTTTTGCTGAAAATGGTCCCGGTACTATGACTGGTGATTTGGATTCAGCAGTAACATGTGCAAAAGTAATTTAAACTTGTATATATATTGTATAACATTTGTTTGTATAATTGATTGATTGATTGATTACAGAGTAGTAATGACCGATATCATGGTTGTTTTAGTCTTTCAGTGTTAAAATTAAATTCTATCGATCAAGTTAGGGTGCAGTTATATTGGTCTAATCCATTTGATATTGCTCGCACTAAGTTAAATAAAATGTTAGATACTTGCAGTAGTTCGATAGGAAACTCTGTATCTAAAGTTAACTGATCTCTTCTAGAACTCGTAAACAAGTTGTATTTGAAAATTGAAAATTGACGTTGTTAACGAGAGATCTGAGGCTTTTAAATCCGATCTCTTATGAGATAATGGATATGCCGTGCTTTGAAGTCTCTCATACATGAATGGAATAACTGTCTTATGTTCCTAGATTTTTGACGATCCCCTAGTTATAGTTAGTTTCGAAATATATAAACTGCAAAACTCATTAATCTTCAGAAAACCTATATACTAATAATGAATAACCATTCAGATGAAATTGTATTATTCTAATCCTGAGAAACACTTCTTGTTGTTATTATATTACTAAACCAAAAAATTAGTATGGTGATTAGAAATAACTAAATGACTTTTCTCTAGTAAATATTTCATTTAGTATTATATAAAAATAATTACATTACGAGGTTGTGAAGGTTGTTTAGTTACTCATTAAAATCAATGCTAGAGCACCATTAGAAACCTGGTAGTACTGGACGGCCGTTTCGTCCTGGTGTGGGACTCATCAGTGCTTCATGAGGAATCTTCTATGAGTTCTAGTAAGAAGTCATGACCAGTGAAATTCAACCTGTTCGAGTGTAGACAATAACCACCGAAAACAGCGTATGAGGATACACAAGACCGTGATTGATCGAAGTTAAACATTAACACCATTAGACAACGGCTCAGTGGTTCAGAGGCTCGGCGTTCGCGCGCAAGACCGGAATCCCGCCAAGTGCAAGGGTCGTGGGTAAGTATTGCTGGTGAGTCCCATCCCAGGACAGAACGGCCTTACAGTGCTTCAGGTTTCCGATAATGGTCTAACATTGATCGGTTAATGGTTTCAATTAAAATAATTGTTATTTCCGCTAATCAGTTTCTTAACATGCCATTTATCGACTTATGAGTTTTATTTGTAACTCTTAAAAAATATGAAAGTATTTCACTAGTCCGTAGGCTTCGTAAATTGAGTTTCAGAATTTCATTTATGGAATTATAGCACCTCACCTATACTTAAGTCTATATGCAATTAATTTAGTTAAAACTTATTTAGAAGACAAAATTGTTGAAATAGTAACAATTTGTCTAGATCTTTCTATAAATATCATCATGTTTATATGGACAAGTAAGTTTGATCGCTGGTTATAGCTACGCATATGTTTATCTTGCTAGCTTAAATGTTAGTTATTTAAAGCGATCGATGATTTGTTTGCCTTACTATATATATATATATATACTTCTTAAATTCCGTCCATTTGTTCTTCTACGAAGGCTATCTGTTTCTATTCGCTTCGTATGTTTGTTCCTCTGTGATCCTTACTGTATAATAATCAACTGTAGTCAACACCTTATATGGTCTTTTGAAATCTATGCACTGTCATGAATTATTATCTAAAAAGCTTATCAGGATGATTAATATACTAAGATAATCCAATACAGATTGAATGATTTCTTCTCTTTTGTAAATTTATTTCACTGAATTACACTTCTTGAATAGTAGTAATCTTTGAACCTTAATCTTCTTCATTAACGCCAATACTTCTATTATCTCGACCACTAAGTGGTCTGGTAACCTGAACTTATGTACGTACATACGAAGTTCCACATTGTAAATGACTGATTGACTGAGTGAATGATTTTCTCATCTCAAGTAACAAAGCTTTACAACTTAGTTTACTTTGTGTTATCTGAAATGCATGATTTATTCAAGTTCAGTACGATTTTCATATGTAATCAAAAACAGAACGAACCAGAGATTAAGTATTTTTTTGTAGAAAACAATTGTCGGATAATGTGAAATTATTTTGTTTTTTGATAGTTTTCTATTCTACTAATTTTTTAAAATTTTTATTTTGAAAAAAAAAATCAAACTTCAATCACCACTTTAGGCATATCATAAAGAATTAAATGAACTGGAAGCAAAACGTAAAGAATTAATTTCAGCTGAACAATTATTCAATTTACCATTAACTCAATATCCTCAATTTATTCATATTCAAAAAGAATTAGATGGATTAGATCAATTATTTAGTATTTACTTAAAACAAAAAGTAAATAAAATTGAATTATTATTATTATTATCATTATTATTATTATTATTATTATTATTATTATTATTATTATTATTATTAAACTGTTGGTCATTTTCAAACTAATACGAAATCTAACAGTAACTTTGTTAGGATATTCATCCAATATCCTAAGAGAATTATTGTTCAATTCCTATTAGTTAATTCCTACTGGTCAATTTTATGGTCGTCCTAGATATCAATGTCATGTGCTCCAATATTGTTTCTTATTGGTTGACCTGACTATCAGTGTCACTTCAAACGTTGTTTCCTATTGGTCGTCTTAACTGTTGTCACAGACTTCGATGCTGTTTCCTATTCGACCAAAATGTATAAATACGCATTATGTGTAACGTTTTATGACCACGACCAGGACCAGGACCCGGTCCCGGATCCCTAGTCCGAGAACACATCTGTTTTCAAGGAGTTGATTATGAAAAGCCACCACGGTGAATAATAAATAGTTTGAATAAAATAAGACAATTAAAATGTTTTTAGTCATAATTATTGAAGTGAAGTGATATCAGAAAGAATTATTGATGAATTCACAGACGTATGAGAAATAATTTAAGAGTAAAGGAAAATTTAAAGTTTGAAATTCATGAAATGAAATCACAGTAAATCATAAACATAGTTTAAGACCACGGTATAGGCAACCAATATGATGTTCTTATAAAGTATGCACAGTTTAGGCTTTAATTCATGAATAACTTAGAGTTTCTGATGTTTTAAAGAAGTTGAATACAAAGCATTCTTGATCGATTTGGACGAATTCTATAAACAACCTTAGAATCAATCGCCGACCAGTATCATCCAGCCTACTCTGACCTGGGCTTCCCTTTCCAGTTCTGTCCAATTTTTCTTCATTCTTCTCGGCGTAATGTGTTCCTTGGCCTTCCTCTTTTCCTTTGAACTTGAGGGTCCCAAGTGAGGGTTTGTCTTGTGACGCATTGGGTGCTTTCAGAAGTGTTTGTCTTATCCACTTTCAGCACTTCTTCCTGATTTCCTCCTCCACTGGAATCTGGTTTGTTCTCACCCACACAAGGTTGTTGTTGATGGTGTCTGTATAACGGATCCGAAGTATTTTGCGAAGAAAATTGTTAATAAATACCTGTATCTTCTGAATGATGGCTTTCGTAGTTCTCTAAGTTTCCGCTCCATATAGTGGAGGTATCTTGATATTTGTATTGAAAATCCTGATTTTTGTTTTGGTTGAAAGTTGTTTGGAGTTCCAGATATTTTTCAATTGTAAAAATGCGACCCTTGCTTTGCCGATACGCGCCCTCACATCTGCATTGGATTCACCTTGATTGCCAATGATGCTGCCCAGATATTTAAAGCTTTTAATGTCCTCCAAGGCATCTTCATCAAGAGTGAATTGGTTGACCGTTCGTCTCCCCTTTCATTTGTTGTCGCATGTGCGATAGGAGAGCCAGATCACTCACGAAGTCCATTTCGTCCAGCTGCATCCTGGCTGTCCACTCTATACCATGCTTCCCTCCAGATGTTAACATCTTGATAATCCAGTCTGCCACCAAGAGAAACAGAAAGGGTGAGAGTAAGCAACCTTGCCTGACACCGGTCTTCACCCCAAACGAGTCTGTTAACTGTCTTCCATGCACAATTTCGCAGTTTAATCCACCCCAAGAATTCCGTATGATGTTGACTATCTTCTCACGCACTCCACAGTGTCGAAGAAGCCTCCATAGTATTGTCGTGTCCACGCTATCAAATGCTTTCTCGTAGTCAATGAAGTTGATGTAGATAATAGTAGTCAGACTGTTTTACTGTTTATGTAATGCATACTAGGTAAGTTAGGTTACCTGTGTTGATTGCAGATGCAAACTACTAAATAGTTTCATAATTTTACAAAACAACTCTCTCCTAGTTCACACTGATCGTCAATGGTTTAATAATTACAAACAGTTTGTAATCTAAACTATAAAATTCAAATTTTCCAATAAACTCCTTCTACTTATTCTACTGTTATCATCATTTTACATTTTTGTACATTTAGCAAGCTCGTGAAGAATGGGCACATATACTATGGAAAGATTTAAATATAACAATTTTACAAACTGGTATTGAAAAATATTTAAAAGAAGTAAGAAGTTTACCAAAATCTATTAGAACATTACCAATTGGTACAGAGATATATGAACAAATTCGTACATTTCGTGATTCATTGCCATTATTTTTAGATTTAAAAAATGAAGCTTTAAGAGAAAGGTAAAAATTGCCAGTTTATTTACTGTCATTACTATTATTAGATATTTTTTTCACATGAAGATCCTAATATGAATAGTGTTATGAAATAAATAAGTCTGAAAAATAATGATCACAGTAGATACTTGATTTATTTGAATGATTTTCATTGTCCTAATTTGATTTCTAATCTTGTGGTGGCCGATTTCGACGTCGGGCTCACCATTGTTGTGTACACTGGCGAGCGAATGAGCGAATGAGTGACTGAAGCGAATCGTATGAAGCGATGTGGAGAATGGCTAGTGAGCCAACTCCCAGGATTACAATGCGAACGAATGGGGCGAAGGAAGCGAATGAACAGGCAAAGCGCGTTGGAGAAGGCTAATGAGCCAACTCAAAGAGATAGGGCATGACTAAGAATATATAGTCAGACAAATATAAGACAGACATGCGACAAGCGAAATAGGCACACATGAATAAAAGCGACAAGGTCAAATGACAAGTGGGATACGTCATGTGAGCTCATACAAACCAGACAATAATAAGAACGAATGGTACATATAAATTGTTGCAATACAAATGGCTTGGTTTAATAAATTAGTCGGAAGGGCTTAACCAAATTAAATGTAAGCGAACTGGAATATATGTGGAGGCACTACAATCTCATCCATTGATAATAATAAAATCAAGTATCAAGTTAGAATGTTGTACGTAGGATACGTTGGAGCTACTATGTATGATTCTGGTTTACACTAATGTGCAATGCATATTCAACAAATCACATATAAACTAGTGGCATCGGTAAGATTTAAATCCCTAACAAAGGCATTATTAGTTGACTGTTTGGGCAACCATATAGAAATTCAAATAATAGTTAGATCAGTGCAAAGAAACGTACAATGTGAAATCGTTGATTCTTAAGTGACTGATTGGTGTAAGCATCAAATTACTCATGGTTTAAAATACAAGAGGAATGATGAACTCAGTTTAGTTGTAGTGATTTTACCATTTATAACAATCGATGTATCGTTGACAATCCTAAATAACTACTATTGACATATTCATGGTTTCAAATGTGTAACTTGACAATCATCACAACCACGTAATGCGATTGATTACCTGTGCTCACTAATGACTAACTCCATGAGGAATCTTCTACGAGTTCTAGTAAGAAGTCGTGACCAGTGAAGTTCAACCTGTTTGGGTGTAGACAATAACTAATGAACACTGCTCATGAGGTTGCGCAACTCCGTGAATCGATAGAAATTAAACATTAACACCATTAAATACCGGCTCAGTAATCCAGAGGTTAGGCGTTCGCGCACAAGACCGAAGGTCCAGGGTTCGAATCCTGTGGGGTGCAGGAGTCGTGGATGCGCACTGCTGAGGAGTCCCATACCAGGACGAAACGGCCGTCCAGTGCTTCCAGGTTTCTAATGGTGGTGTAGCACTGATCGATTCATGGTTTCAAAAATGTGTAACTTAACAATCTTCACAACCCCGTAATGCATTAAGCCTTTCTCAAAATTAATCTGTATCTCACTGAGCCCTACTTTTAACCGTGTCTATGCCATTAATATTTTGACTGATTCCCGTTTTTTATGTATACTTCATATAACACCTTATTTTTCCAATCATTTCTATTTAAAACATTTATTTATCAAGCTTAAAGATTTATTATTCTGATATAATATATTTGCCGATTAAATTTATTAAATCTTTCTGTTTATAATAAATTCAATAATAGACATTGGCATGAATTAATGCGTAAAACGGGCGAGACATTTGATATGAATCCAGATACATTTACATTAGCAAATATTTTCGCTATGGAATTGCATAAATTTGCAGATCAAATATCTGAAATTGTAGCGTATGCAGTCAAAGAATTAAGTATTGAAAAAGTAAGTGATATTCAATTAGCTTCTATAAATGTTATAGTTCTTTGTTAATTTGCAAAGAAAAGAGAATATTTTCTTATTATTGTTAATAAAAAAAGAATTCTTTGATAAAAAGAGATTTAGAGAACTGAATTTCATATAGTTTTATTTTTAAAAAAACCACTGAAAGACGAATACCCTGAGCGATGGTAACGCCACCAAGGAGCTTGTTCAACTCTTTGTCGTTTCGGATGGCCAATTGAAGGTGGCGTGGGATGGTACGGGTCTTCTTGTTGTCACGAGCGGCATTGCCAGCCAACTGGAGAACTTCAGTCGCCAGGTATTCAAGGACAGCTGCCAGTTAAACAAGGGCACCAGCACCGACGCATTCAGCGTAATTACCCTTGCGAAGCAGACGATAGACACGACCAACTGGGAACTGGAGAGCAGCACGGGCTGACCTGGTTTTCGCCTTAGCTCGAGACTTTCCATCTTTACCGCGTCCACCCATTGTCACTTAGAGCAGAGAAACGTGCACTGGTTAGGTGGACCACCTGCAAATGCAGGTAAAGTACAATTACAATTGCCATTGACGAAGTAACCACCTCCACCTTCAGTAGAATCACTAAACATGACAACTACAAACAATGAAACGAAATGACCATGTACTAAGCCACTGTTCAATTTTATATTAGGATGTTGAGTATGGATTTTTTTAATTTAGAACTATTATTCATTTCAAATTCTAGTATATTGTTAGATGGTAATGCTCTTGACTATCTGCTTAGTGGATTAAGCGTTTAAACACGAGTCTCAAGGTCCTAGCTTAGATCCACTTTGATACTGTCACAAATGCATATTGCTAAGGAGTATCAAACTAGATTAAAACAGCTGCCCAGTTCTTTCAGGTTTTCAATGGTGATATAGCTAAAATCAACTTGTGATTTAAATTGTGACAACGTATCTAGCTGGTTGTTTTATTAAGCAACCGATCGATATACATAATAACCATTTAAACAATTGACGACTGTAATCCGATGTAGTGCACAGTAAATCAGATTAAATGGGATGTTGGAGTAGTAGACTAAACTTCTGTTTACTCAGTAATCAGTAGTATTCTTAGTACATTGAATTATGCCATGTGTCATCCATTCAATTTGGTTTCATTTACCCATGAATGTTATGGGTATTTGGCTATATTGGTCTTGCTTTATAAGAACGCAAGCCTTGAGTTTTGCTTAAAAACTAAATTCTTTTGAATTTTCACCTTACACTGTAATAGTGATGATGGGCAATTATAAATGACTAGAATGTTATTATTCTCAGTAATATTACCTATACAATGATTACATTACATCACTTTACAATACTGACTAGAATTAATGGTTACGCCCTCATATATTGTGATCTTTTATTGATATCACCGAATAGAATTTATGATTTAACATTTTGTAATGAAATTAATTCACAAGCAAATCAGTTTAACTATTTATTTCAGTCTTAGAAATTATTTATGACAACATTTTCTATGTTTCCTACATCAACTACTCAAATATGACAAACAGAAGAAGACACTTCAATTGAGTTTCGAATTCCAACTGCTCCTTCAAAAGTTCTTACTGAATCAGCTAAATAATAACATTAAACATTATACAAACAAAACTATGACTTAAAGTGTAAAACGCAATTCTTTTCCGTACTCTAAAAATAGATACACTCAATCAGTTAGTTTACATTTGTAAATATACATATAATTCATGTTCCCTTACACGTTCAGATTTTTTCAAGGTTGATTTTTCTACTACTAATAAGTAGGCTTACAATATATTCTAAATTTTTTGTAGGGTGTTAAAGAAGTTGAAGAAACTTGGCAAAATATTAATTTCAATGTTATTAATTATGTTAAAGCAGGACAAAGTAGAGGTTATATTTTAGGTCCATTAGAAGATGTAATTCAAGTACTTGAAGATAATACAATGAATTTACAATCAATGGCATCAAGTAAATTTATTGGTCCATTTTTATCAACAGTACAATTATGGGAGAAAAATTTAAGTATAATTAGTGAAGTCATTGATATATGGTTAATTGTTCAACGTAAATGGATGTATTTAGAAGGAATTTTTATTGGTGGGGATATACGTACACAATTACCTGAAGAAGCGACTAAATTTGACAATATTGATAAAATATTTAAAAAGGTAATGTGACACACACAAGTGTGTTTATATTTACATTTCATAAATCAAATCTCATCAATAATGGTGTTTTTCTTAAACTTTTCAAATTATTTATTGTTACGTCACTTTGAAAGTATTTCCAGTAGTAATAATATATTTTCAGGCAGAGCTTTGGAGGTTTGTGTTTTTACATATTTGAAATCATCAATCAATCATTGTTAGACCACCATTCGAAACCTGGAAGCACTGCATGGCCTTTTAGTCCTGGTATGGGACACATCAGCAGTGCGCATCCACGACTCTTACACCTCGCAGGATTGGAACCTGGGACCTTCGGTATTGTGCTCGAACGCCTAACCATCGGACCACTGGGTCGGCATCTAACGGTGTTAACGTCTAACTCTGATTGATCTAGGGATTTTGCGTGACCTCACCCATTTGTCTTTGGTAGCTACTGCCTACACCCGACAGGGATGGACTCCATTGGTCACGTTTTCTCAACTAGAACTCCGAGAATTTCCTCACGAATCTAGTCACTAGTGAGCATTGTTACGATATTTTCAGCCAGAGCTTTGGAGGTTTGTGTTTTTACGCACTTGAAATATCAGTCGTGGATGCGCACTGCCACTGATCAGTCCCATACCAGGACGAAACGGCTGTGCAGTGCTTCCAGGTTTCTAATGGTGGTCTAACAATGATGATTAATGATTTCAAATGAGTAATAATATAGCTGAGTCATTGATCAACAATGCTAAATGCACGTTGAGTAGGTCTAAGGAATAAACATAAAAACAAATAACACATGCTGTTATTTTAGTATGATATTGTTGTTGAAACATAATCAAAAGGTAAGACCAAGTTTTTAATTTCAATGTGATTATTTCAATAGCTATTTTGTACAGGGGTTATGTTTTTTACATTGAAGTTTACTCTGAATAATGTACTTTGTATTGACTGAGATGATCAGTTGTTTATCAAAATATGAAAGGATGAAGTATTTGTGAGAAATGAAAAATTTCTGGCTTTATTAATGTTCAAACTGGAATCTAAACGTATGATTGTGTCATTGCTAGAACTCAATGTTATTAAGAAAGCAATCAATATCAGATTATCAAAACTAATAATAATTGACTCATACGAGTAGCCGTATCAGCTCAAAAGTATGTCAGTTACTGAAAACCGAAATGTGTACAGAAACCGGTCGAATGATCAGATTGTCATAAAAGGCCTTCACAGTTATAGATCACACAGGAAGGTATACTATAAATACTGATATGGTGCAATGCAACTATCTTTTCATATGTGAAATTTAATTACCACATTGACATTTGATCAACTACTCTATTCATTTCAATGAATTAGTCATCCAAATTAGTTTTTTGTGAAAAGCGATGGGTTTCGTTCAACAAGTAATTAAACCCTAGTGAACTACTAGTACTACACCGAATACCAAACACGATTGTTCAACGACAGCCAACTATAAAATAGGACATGTCAAATATGAATAAATCATAAAGAATATTGACATGTTGCACATCTTTACTGGTTCCCTCAGTGAACTAAATGATTCATTTCCAGTTCCTGAATTGTATTCACATTTTCTATTTAATGCTGTTAACCATCCGTACTGGAAAACACGACTTGTATTTCGAATTTTCTAAAAATTTCACATCAAATGACTTTAATTCTCACTATACTCAGAATTAACTGTTGAGCATGTTAGGACAAGCATCCAGTATTGATTTGTTTTAAACTTTATCCGGGGTAATAACTAACATTTTCACTACTGAACATTAGAGTTAAACATCTTTATCTTAACTCATTACTAATCACAGATGGCTACTTAGAAAATTTGTTTATCCAATGAGAATTATCGATTATCTTTGGAACTTAACTTAATCAGATTGTAATAAAAAAAGGGTAGGTAAAAGTTAAACTGAGCATATAATTGGTTAGATTGAACCAATCACATAAGTAATTTTCAGAAAAATGAAAAGGGTAGAAATTTTCCGATTTTTCTCCCCCCCCCACCCCGTCTCGTAGGATTCTCGTCAGCCATATCACTGGGTGTCAGGTATGTTAGGTGAGAAGGGAGAAAGGTATGAAAAATAACTTATCAATGCTAGTGTAGGTGTGAATTAAAACCACAGTTCTAATGTTGTTCCTCTTCCCCCCGCAGGTTTTTAAGGTCTTATTTTATTTTTATCGTTACGTGTACTTTTAAGATTTATTCAGTTATCTCATGATCCGCTATTGATTTTCATCAATATGATTTATTTGTTTTATTTTTGTCTCGATATCTGTTAATCGGACAATAACCACCTCTTGAAAATCCGACCCCATTAACTGTTGTCATCGCGTTGTTCTTCTCTTATCCCTGGATCGTTTTCATTAGTTCCTTTTGATATTTAAAATCTCAGATCATCTTTATATAGATCTACCACTATTTGAAATCTGAAAGCACTAGACGGCCGTTTCATCCTGGTATGGGACTTCACTTTTGGAATCGAACCCAGGACCTTTAGTCCCCGTCGCGAACGCTTAAACTAGACCACTGAGCTCTAGCATCTATCGGTATTAATGTCTAACTTCGATCAATCTACGGTCTTACGCAACCTCATCCACCGTCTTCAGTGAGCACTGTTTCACACCTAAATAGAGTTGAAATCCACTAGTCACGACTTCTCACTAGAGACTTCACTTGAAGAAACTTCCTCACGGAAGTAGTCACTAGTGAGCAAATGATAATGTTCAGTATGGGGCTGTGAAGATTGTTCAGTTACTTTGAGATCACTTCCGTCCAGTGCTTCCACGCTAGTCTAACAACTGGTCTATTCATGATCTCAGTCACTCGACTATAGTGAAAAGAAGTAAATAATTTTATCAGAAAATAAATTCTTTTTCCTGGATTCTCTTATTATTATTATCGTTATTCAGCTAATATTTGTTTAAATAAAATTACCAATTACAATGAAATAATTGAATTATAAAAAGTTCTTGTTTTCTTTTCATTAAAAAAATTTTTTTGTAGATTATGTCAGAAACAAATAGATCACCAAATGTAAAAACATGTTGTCTAGTAACTGGTCGATTAAATGAATTAACTATGCTTGGTGAAGGATTTGAACGTTGTCAAAAATCATTAAATAATTATTTAGATGCTAAAAGAAATGCATTTCCAAGATTTTTTTTCATTTCTGATGATGAATTGTTGAGTATACTAGGATCAAGTGATTGTGAATGTGTTCAAGAGCATATGATAAAAGTTAGTTTAATTTAATTTTTTTTGTTAAAAAAAAATTTACCTCATCTTTAAGTAGTGACAATAAATTCGATCAATATTCAATATGATTTGTTGACCATAGTAATTTAAAACTTGATATAATGATTGTTGGGTACGTTAGATCCTCAGAACTCACTCGATTTAGGTCTTAAATTTGGATTTCGTGTTATATCACAAGGGCTGATCAGTTGACGTTGGGATTACATTTCCCACCCGGAAAATGCTTGACTGTTATTGGTTGATGTACTATTTTAGTACGCTAATTGGTGGCTCTCCCAAGGACGTTTCTATCATGCATAATGTTATAATGCTGCTACGTAGCTATTCAAATCCTACCGACGTCCGAATTCAAATATTCCAATACGATCCAAATACTATTCCCAAATCTCCTATATATCAGAACGCAACACCGTGGGATGGAGTTGTTTATTGGGTCGAGTACAGAAGAGAGGTAGGCAGGAAGTCATGAAGTCTTACAGATAGTGCGTATTTATACATTTAGGTCGAATAGGAAAGAGCATCAAAGTCTGTGACATTGACAGTTTAGGACAACCAATAGGAAAGAACATTTGAGATGACATTGACAGTCCGGATGACCAATAAGAGACAAAATTGAAGTATTTGACTTTGACAGTTAAAACGACCATAATTTTGACCAATAGAAATCGACCAATAAGATGGTACTTCCAAAAATAGTACTCTTACGATATTTGATGAATATCCTAACATATAACTAAACTCAATTTGTGTGTTTGTGAACCTCATACTTTCTTGGTCCTTGTAGAATACACTTTCTACGTCTTGTCAGCACTTCTTCCTCTACTTAGCTGGGCCTTGAAACGCTCGGATTAGATTAGCCTATCATGTTACTTAATCCTTTCGCTCTCGTTTACCGACTAAGGTGAACTCGTAATAGTTTCAAGCATATCAACTGACGCGCATATTGATGATACAATAGATCACTTTACCACATTTTAAGCTTGATTTCGAGGAAAACTACTATTAATAGATGATCAGTATAAACTTACTATTTCAAGTAATATCATAAAAATTTTAATTGAACATATAACTAGAAAAAATATTATAAAATCGGTCATTCAAAACAACTTCACGCTATTTGGAATTATTTCCTCTGACAATAATATTTACCAACTGTAAGACCGTTAATGATGTTTTCTCATACTAATCAAACCACTATTTGATATTTTACGTATCAGTATTATATTAGTGTCCGAGTAAACAGAGACACTAGGGTGCCTATATATGATTAAGAGGTTTCCTTTGTTTGAAGTATCATTTACCCTCAACATGTCTCGCAACTATCTTACTTACTTACCTTACCTTACAATCTACAGTCAAAATGATTGTAGAACAAAAATCTATCTACGTTAGTATACCACTTCAAACCTAACCAGTAAATTTAAAACTTCTTATCTAAGCTCTCTCTCTCTCAATACACTCTCCAAGTGTGAATTTTATTCAGTTTGCCCTCATCACATCACTCTCCAGTCTATTACTTAGCATTTTTTTTCTTTCACTGAGATACTTGCAATCATTTTTTAAATAACCAAGTACCTAACTATTTATCATAGATTTATATTTATATATATTGATTATCTATACATACAATTTCACAAATTTGGTAAGTGGCATTATAATACAAAAAACTATCCTTGCTGAGTTTCCTTTTCAAAAACAGAAGTTTATACGGTAAAGACATAAAACGAAAGTTAATATTTTGTATACCAACCTTTCAGATTTGAGTAGATGGAGCCGAGGGGGTGATTTCGTTCATTTTTAAAGGGGGCATTTATCATTTCCTTGCCCTAGATATAATAACAGCATAAACTGTAATTCGTGAGAATTACAATATCTGACCCTAAGACGAATAACTATTACATTACTTACTGATGTAGTTCTATCCTAATATGTTTCTTACTAAATTTGTGGGTCATGGGTGTAATTGAACAATACATCCCTTTCGTTAATCGATTACAGTTTAGTTTATCCGCCTTTAAACTAGTTTATATTCAAAAGCTGCTGCCATTAAAGATAAACATTTTTAATAGTGACCAAGTCGAGATTGACTATAATCACCATTAAATGTTCCATACTATCCAGTCACATAAATCAAAAATAAATCCATGTTCGAATTTTTTATTGAAGAAGAAAGTAGGCATTGCATACAGAGCAGCATGTTATGAAAAATGGCAGCAGCGCGCAAGAAAAGTGTTTTTGGTACAGTTAAACAAAACGAGTTCATTAATAATAAATGTTTATTTTCCACCAATCGCATTTTCTTCGTAGAAGTGTTCCATTACACAATGAATAAGTTGGAACTTTATTGATCTATTTCTTTCTTTTTCTAATAATCAATATACATCTATGTGTGTATAGATGTTTGATAATATAGCATCATTGAAATTTTCTAAACAATCATCAAAATCTGGACCTACTTATATTGAAATGACTGCAATGAATTCAGCTGAAGGTGAAGTGATGGAATTTCGTCATCCACAACCTGTTACTGGTAATATTGAAAGTTGGATGACTGCAATGGAACAAGAAATGAAACGAAGTAATCGATTAATCACAAAAGAAGCTGTATTTTATTATCGATATAAAAAATCAAGGTAATTCAATACTATTTTAAAACTATACACATCAAAGTAATGAACTATCAAAACTATTGAATAATAGTGTAACAGTAATATATGAATTGATTTCAAGTTGTATCTCTAACTGTTAGCGGGACATAGATGGAATTGAAGCACGACTACGTTGCTGCGCGCTGATTGGCTAAATTTCTATCCAATCAGCGCCTGATCGAAGCTTGGAGAACAGGATAGATAATTCTCGTATTATTACCTGCATGCTGATTGGTCAAATCCAGTCCAGTCGATCACGTGAATTTTCTTCCAGAAGTTTTCTCATCTAAAGGCTATAAATAGACCCGGATTGTATTTATCTTGGCCTTCTTAGCCTTCTTGCCTTTAAGCCTTCTTGCTTTCTTTGCCTTGGCTTTCGCCATCACCTCCGGCTTCTTTTCCTTGTTATTTTGGAATACAATCCTTCCTGTTCAACCGTGTTCTGGTTTGGGTTGCTTGTCCAGTGTTTTGTGTCAAGAATACTAAGCAATAAGATTTAGCCGGGAAATATCTTAAGCAACCGTTACAACACTAACGAAACCTTGATTTCATTCATAGTTTCATGATGATAAAAAAGTGCGCATTAAGCAACTGTCCATTCATAAAACGATATTTTTAGAAAGTTAATTTACTTAATGAAGTATGTATATAACCTTTGAGGTTAATTTAACAAAAGTTGGTATTACGGGGTTGTGAAGATTGTTAAGTTACACATTTTTTGAAACCATGAATCGATCAATGTTAGAGCACCATTAGAAACCTGAGAGCACTGGACGGCCGTTTCGTCCTGGTTTGGAACTCTTACGTGAATTGATCAAGTTAGACATTAACACCGTTAGATACCGGCTCACGAGGTCCGATGGTTAGGCGTTCGCCTACAATACCGAAGGTCCTGCGTTCGAATCCTGCGGGGTGCATGAGTCGTGGATGCGCACTGCCACTGATGAGTCCCACACCAGTTCGAAATGCCCGTCCAGTGCTTCCAGGTTTCTAATGGTGCTCTAACACTGATCGATTCATGGTTTCAAAAATGTGTAACTTAACAATCTTCACAACCCCTTAATGAAAAGAGCCAACAACTTAATCTTGTTATTTTCTTTTAGTATTCTATTATTACAATAAACTGCAATTAGTATTATTATTAATTTCTTGATGGTTTTTGTCATCCTATTTGTATTTTCTTTACTTAATAGAGTTGAATGGATGTTTGATTATCAAGGTATGGTTGTATTAGCTACCAATCAAATATGGTGGACATGGGAAATAGAAAATGTCTTTAATAAAATATCAGATGGTAATAAAAATGCAATGAAAGATTATTTACAAATGTTACAACAACAATTAGATGATATAGTTCTATGTGTACGTAATCCATTGAAAAAAAACGATCGTAATAAACTAACCACAGTGCTAATAGTGGATGTACATGCAAGAGATATTGTCTCTGATTTTGTACGTGATAGTATAATGGATGCTACAGAATTTCAATGGGAATCACAATTACGATTTTATTGGTCTAAATCTATAGATAATTTAATTATTAAACAATGTACTGGAAAATTTGATTATGGTTATGAATATATGGGATTGAATGGACGTCTTGTCATAACACCATTAACTGATCGTATTTATTTAACATTAACACAAGCACTTTCAATGTTTCTTGGTGGTGCACCAGCTGGACCAGCAGGTACTGGTAAAACAGAAACTACTAAAGATTTAGCTAAAGCATTAGGTTTACTTTGTATTGTAACTAATTGTGGTGAAGGTATGGATTATAAAACAATTGGTAAAATACTTTCTGGTTTATGTCAATGTGGTGCATGGGGATGTTTTGATGAATTCAATCGAATTGAAGCATCCGTTTTGTCAGTAATATCAACACAATTGAAAGTTATACAAACTGCTTTAATAAATAATGTCAAAGAATTCCTATTTGAAGGTATTTCAATTAAACTAGATTCAAGAGTTGGTGTTTTCATTACAATGAATCCAGGTTATGCTGGACGAACTGAATTACCTGAATCAGTCAAAGCATTATTTAGACCAGTTGTAGTGATTGTACCAGATTTACAACAAATCTGTGAAATTATGTTATTTTCACAAGGATTTTTATCAGCTAAAATATTAGCTAAAAAAATGACTACATTATATCGTTTAGCACGTGAACAATTATCTAAACAATATCATTATGATTTTGGTTTAAGAGCATTGAAATCAGTGTTAGTTATGGCTGGTGATTTAAGACGTGATGCACCAGATCTACCAGAAGATGTAGTATTAATGCGTGCATTAAGAGATATGAATTTGCCAAAATTCATTTTTGAAGATGCACCATTATTTTTAGCTTTAATTCAAGATCTTTTCCCTGGACTAAGTTGTCCACGTGTACGTTATCCAGAATTGAATGATGCTGTTGAATTGTGTTTAAGTAGAAAAGGTTATACAGAGAATCCAATTCAAGCAGATAAAGTTGTACAACTTTATGAAACAATGAAAACACGACATACAACAATGGTTGTTGGTCCGACTGGTGGTGGGAAAACTGTAGTTATTAATACTCTGTGTGATGCACAAACACATATGAAGTTACCGACCAAATTGTATACATTAAATCCAAAAGATAGAAGTGTCATTGAACTGTATGGTATATTAGATCCTGATAGTCGAGACTGGACAGATGGTTTATTATCAAATATATTTCGAGAAATCAATCGTCCAACAGATAAACAAGTAAGTTTAGTTAATGATTAAAGTAAAGTTGGTTAATACTACTAATTTTTCATGATAGAGTTATAGAGATTATTGAGTTTGATTGAGGTTATAAATCAATCATTTTTAGACCACCGTTAGGAACCTAGAAGCTCTGAATGGCCGTTCCGTCCTAATATTGGACTGATCAGTCGAGTACCTCTACGACTCCTGCTCACTGGAATCGAAACCTCGAATCCTTCGGTCTCGCACGCAAACTGTTAACCCCTGGACCAATGAGCCAGCATCCAACGGTGTTAATGTATAACTTCAATCAATCCAAAATATTGCGTAACCTCGTTTATTGTCTTTGGTAGTTTCTGCCAACATCTGACAGGGTCGAACTTCACTGGTCACTCGGATGCGAACTTCTAATGAGTCCAATACTTGGGTGAAACGGCCTCCCATGTTTCTAATTGTGATCTAACCATGATCGATTCATAATTCTAATAAAATAGTAATATCTGAGTTTTTCATTCAGTGTTGGTAATAGTCTAACAACCGTAAAAATACATGATTATTGTACATTATAAATGTAGGATTTAATTTGCTATACATATGTACTTCTAGAACTGTAAACGCAATATTGGCGATCACAGAGTCTATGGGAAAGCTATAGTCAGAACAAGACCAATTTTGCTTTAAACTTTATCTGTTTCTAAACATGAAAACAATTACATTAGTACAATAAATAAGGAAATTACAATTATCAAGTAAGACGAGCAAACGTACCGACAAATATAGCGTGCCTAATGGAAATGAGTAAAGTTATGAGTCACATCAATATAATGAGATAATAATGTCAATCAATTTGTAGCTCATTTACAACAAAGAAGGTTTACAGACACGTCAGGTCAGATCGCGTGATGGGCGCTTAAACCACAATTTGATTGGTTAGTTATGACATAACTACAATTTGTTATGGAAATAACTAACAGTAGATATTTCCCGAAATCAGCTTCATGCAGGAATACCGTGATGCGTCTGTAAGAAGATTAATCCCAAACTTCCATCAGAAATACTTTCGGTATATCAAAAACCTTCTAGTTTTACTTTAACATCACTTTACATGATCTATGCTCCTAATCGTTATTATTTCTGATAATCATTGTTATCTTTTAATCACTGAACAGAATGGAACAATTAACACTATCAAAACATTTTCTTAAAATATTTTGATCATTAAGAATAATGATGATCAAGGTGTAATTATAAAAATTTAAGAGTATTAAAGATTCCCATTGATAAAAACTATAGTTATCATATTTTATAATTTTCTTACTATTACTCTCAGTACACCTGTCTTCCTACTATTATCAACTTGTACTTTTGCCTGCTATGTGTGTAATGACGTCATCCTTTTCATTTCATTGTGATTATGACTCATAAATTGCCTTGATTGGTTTAACATTTTCATCATAAATTTTCATGTATATTAGAGTAAGAAGCCTGATGACGATCTAATCGATTGTTCGCTTATATATGTGTTGTTCTAATCAGAAATTTGTTTTTTTTAAAAAAAAATTTAATTTAATTCTTTAACAGGAAAGAAGATATATTCTATTTGATGGTGATGTTGATGCATTATGGGTTGAAAATATGAATTCAGTAATGGATGATAATCGTCTATTAACATTAGCTAATGGCGAACGTATTCGATTACAAGCTCATTGTGCATTATTATTTGAAGTCAGTGATTTACAATATGCATCACCAGCTACTGTTTCACGTTGTGGTATGGTTTATATTGATCCAAAATATTTAGGTTATGAACCATATTGGAAGAAATGGTTAAATCAACGTTTAACTGATTATGAAAAAACTGTATTAAATGAATTATATGAAAAGTATATACCAACAATTATTGATAGAATTGTTGAAGGTATTGCAGATGGTGAACAAGTGGAACGTTTAAAACGTGTCATTCCATTGACTGATTTAAATTTATTAATACAATTTTGTTATTTACTCGATTGTCTATTAATCAATATCAATGAACAAACTGATTATGCTGTAATTGAAAGTATTTTTTTATTCAGTATTTATTTTTGTATTGGTGGAACATTAGTTGAAGAGGAACGTGAAAAATTTGATAAATATGTAAAATCTTTAGCAAGTCTACCTGGACCATCAGTTGAAGAAACAGTTAAAAATCCAGCCGCTGCCGGGACTATGCCAAGTGCTGAGCCTAGTTTATTTGATTACTATTTTGATGTTCAAAAACAAGTATGGATTCCATGGCGTCAATTAGTTCCGGCTTATATACATAATAAATCAATTAAATTCTCAGAGATATTAGTACCAACAATTGAAACAGTTCGAATTAATTGGCTTATCGAAAAATTGGTCAATGCTCATAGACCATTATTGTTGGTTGGTGAAACAGGAACATCAAAAACTGCAATCTGTCAACGATTCTTACGAGATGTTAATCAAGATAAAAATGTAAATGATTTTTTTTTGATTTTATGATGTAAAAAATTTATTTTATTTATAGTAGTATATTTAGCTTTATGAAAGAGTAATCTAGTAGTTAATTTAACCCGTTCATTAAGTAAGAGTTTATATGGGCAACTGTTTTTTGTATGAAGATAAGTATTAATCTAAGGCTGCCCGAATTTAAGTAGGTAATATGTTGTTTGAAGTTACAATACGATAACTGATAGGCAATCGATATAAATTAGTAATTTTACTACATATCATGAAAATGTTTACTGGATACTTCATAGAAGTCCCGTTCTTTGTTTTAATTGAACACTATAAAATATGGATTGAATAGTTTTGCAATATCTAAGTTTGTAAACCGTTTGGCAGTGAACTCCATTCTTTATGTTTAACTTTATACTTGACTATAAGACATAATTAGTTAGTTTCAGTACACTCAAACAATCAACCGAAATCACTGACAATAAACCATTCACGTGATTTATACTTGCTTACTTACTTACGCCTGTCACCCCCAATGGAGCATAGAACGCCGACCAGTAACATACAACTTACTTTGTCCTGGGCTTCCCTTTCCAGTTGTGTCCAGTTTTTGTTCATTCATCTCATGTCTGTCTCCATTTCTCGGCGTAATGCATTCCTTGACCTTCCTCTTTACCTTCGACATTGAGGGTTTGCTTTGTGGCGCAGTTTGGTGCTTCCCGCAGTGTGTCCTATCCACTTGCAGCGCGTGAGTTGGATGGCGCAGTGTTGGGGATGTTAGATCCCAAGAACTCGCTTGATAAATGTCTTAATTCTGGATTTTATTCATGGGCTGACCAGTTGACCTTGAGATCAAATTTCCCACCAGGAGAAGCCTCGACTGTGATTGGTCACTGTGTCATTTTAGTGTGCTATTTTCGTGACTGTCACAAGGACGTCTCTATAGAGTATAAATAAACGCAATTTGGGTGCTTCGATTCATTGTTTGCTGGTTGGGTGTTTGTAGAATACAATTTCTACACTAGATCAAGACTTCTTGCTGATTCAGTTTCGTCAAGGGATCACAGTTGCCTACCTGGACGCTGGTTCATTGTTTTGTTCTAGTTATTCGACTAAGGTGAACGCGTAATAGTTTAAGCATACCTAGAAACGAGCGTAACACGCATCTTGTGTGGTATCGGAGAATCTTGCTTTTCCTTTTATGTATGTTAAGACCTGCTGCTGCTGAGGTTGATGCTACACTGGTTGTCTTCTCTTGTATTTGTTGTTGCATGTGCAATAGAAGAGCCAGATCATCCTTGAAGTCCAAATCATCTAGCTACTTCCTAGCTGTCCACTGTATACCGTGTTAGTAAGTCCTGAGAGAACTGATTAATACTAACTGCCATGTAATAATAAAAACTAACATATGTTTTTTTTTCATTTCTATATTAGCTTGTTTTAACAATTAATTTTTCATTTCGTACAACATCATTGGATGTACAAAGGAATTTAGAAACAAATGTAGAGAAACGTAGTAAAGATACATATGGACCAGTATCAGGTAAACAATTAATCATATTCATTGATGATATGAATATGCCACAAGTTGATCAATACGGTACACAACAACCAATTGCCTTATTGAAATTACTAATTGAACATAAAGGTGTTTATGATCGTGGCAAAGAATTGAATTGGAAACGTATGCAATCCATTGATTATTTAGCTGCAATGGGTCGTCCAGACGGTGGAAAACAAGATGTTGATCCAAGATTTATTTCATTATTTTCTGTGATTAATATACAATCACCATCAGAGTCTACATTGTATAAAATTTATAGTTCCATTTTAAGTGGACATACCAGTGAATTTGATAGTGGGATTAAAAATTCTGTCAATTGTATTACTAATATGACATTGAAATTATTTCAGTAAGTAAAATGATTAATTGTTTGAAACAAAAAAAAGGTTTAAAAATTAACAAAAAGTAAAATTCTGCAATTCGATACCATGATATTTTATGAATATTAAGCACTTCATATACACAGTGTAACATCTGTAACAATAGTTCAGTATATGAAATTAAACAGTTTTAATATTTGTTTTTATTAATTAAATTGAAACTCTTCAAACTAACTAGCATAAACTTAACATAATTTTCAACATAAACTGATGTACCTTGAAGTAATAGCATCAAGTGAACTTACTTATCTAGACCTATCATCAACATAAGCCGCTGGCCAGCATATTTTCTGTGGTTGGTGTTTTGTAGCGTATTGGTTTTCTATTGGATAGGGTTGCTAACCCCATACATAACCCTCCTCGTTTATCCGGGTCTGGGGCAGACAGTAACCTCTGAAGGGAATCAGGAGGAGTTATCAAGTGAACTACTGTAACAAAAATTGAAGTTCCTAAATTTTATGTGATAATGAAAGGTCTTAGTTAATCAATATTAAAAAGCAACAAACTAGAATAAATTAGATAACTAAAATCATCTAAACTTCACCATATTTTTCGATGGCATTACTTTGTAATGAAAATATAAAACATCGTTGAATGTAAAGTGCACTGACAAGGTTTCAGATATTGTAAAGAAAAAAAGCACTACATAGGTCAAACAGGACGTCCTCTGCAGCTTCGTTTGCGTGAACATAAATTAGCAGTCAAACGCCACGACATTTCTCCTCTTACATCAAATATATATAGACAACTATGGACATAGATGTAGTGCCTCCACATATATTTCAGTTCTCTCACATCTAACTTGGTTAATCCCTTTCGATTAATTTATTTAACCAAGCCATTTGCTTAGCAACAACTTGTATGTACCATTGTTATTTTTTATTATCTGCTTTGTATGAGCTTATACGACTGAGCATTGCTTACGCTTACGCACTTACTCATCCTTTTCGCTTTAATGTTAATCTCGTAATATTCCCATGAACTCACATGATTTGTATCACTTGTCATTTGACCTTGTCAATCATTCGTCGCTTTTATTCATGTGTGTGCATACCTATTTCGCTTGTCATATGTCTGTCTTATTATTGTCTGACTATATATTCTTAGTCATGCTCTATCTCTTTGACTTGGCTCACTAGCCTTCTCCTATTCGCTTCACTCATTCGCTTCACTCATTCGCTCGCATTGTAATCCAAAGAGTTGGCTCTTAGCCTTCTCCAATTCGATTTGTGGTGTGCCTCGAATAAACGTATACGATAATTGGAGTTCATCTTCTGATTTATAAACCGAGCTTAAGAACACGCAGTTATCGGCACACTACATAGATTCGTTTGGAACGATGTGAAGAAACCGGATGGAGGGAGCACAAAGAACACTCGGGAATTTTTAGAAGCTTGACATTCAGGTCAATCAGCAATCGACTAACATATCGACATTGATCCAATTTATCAACCAATCAGAAAAATCATAAGCAACATATGACCAAGAATCAGATCAAAGGGGAATACAATCAAAATAAAGGTGCAGACAGAGACAGGTTTAAGGTCAATAACAACCAATGGAGATCGAGGTTAATAGATCAAGCTACAGATCAAACGTGGAGAAATTCCAATACTTCACTTCTGTCTGAAGTTGTGCTGATGTTATCGTTCAGAAGAACAATGAGAGCTCTACAACCAAAACATTCAGCTCAGAGAACGAAACACCACCACAAAAAACAATAACTTCCATGTTCTGCAATCAGTGTCAATGTGGTTGTATAGTTTTTCATTTCTATTTTTTTAATAACTTAATGGGCCTGTGGCTGTGTTAAATTCGAATTAGGGTTCATTACTTTAGTGGTCTGTGATCTAACTCTGAATAATTAAATATGTTATGAAATAAATCTCCCCTTCAGTTTCCGTATATCATACTTAGGCGAACCGCGTTTGTGCGACAGAGGTAATAAGAAGTTAAATACGAACTCGATTGCTCGAGTTTTTTCGGGCAATCGTTTGCACAAACAGATATGAGAATAAGGCAATAAGGCGATAAGGCAAAGCAAAGTGGTGAAGGCAGACATACCAACTCAATGCTATGACCAATAACTAAACACCTAGTCAGACACATGAGCTAGACATGTGACAATCGAAGTAAGCGGCACACACGAGCACTCAAATAAAAACAACCAAGATATGAGCGAATGATTGACAAGGTCAAAAGGCATGAGACTAATGACTTGAGAAGAATGGATTGATTCAATTGTCCAGAGGCCGAAACAAGCCTTATGGGCTCGACATAAAAGTACACACATTATAGGTTATTTTCGTTGAATGCCTAATCATTCGTCTATTCACATTGTTAAGCTTATTAACTCCAAATATTTTGCCTGTAGGAAAGAACAGTTAAAAAATTTGTCTGATTTTCTAATAAACCTAACTTAAAGTAATAAACTGTATACCACCAGTCCACTAAAACGCACAACAAATTAATTCATCTAACCGAAATAACGCTACTCATTTTTGCGGCATATTTGATAAAATCAATAATGTAGGAAGTGTCTTAACTATAATCATTCTCTGAAAACAGTCGTGTACATGGGACAAATACTGAGGCTTCGACATCTAAAAACGTTATTTCTCAGCAATTCTATTCACACTTCAAAGAGAAACAAGTGTTTTTCTCCTAAACATGCTAAAATGTTTCTTATGTTATTGTTTTCGTCCTAAAATGTACAACAGTAAATCTTAGGTTCAATTAGTTCAACACTGTCAAAATCAGTTAGATTATGTAGGAATATTTTGCTAATTTTTATTTTATACATTTTTGAAACCATGAACCGATCAATGTTAAACCACCATTAGAAACCTGGAAGCACTGGACGGCCGTTTCGTCCTGGTATGTGATACGCATCGTGGATGCGCACTGCTGATGAGTCCCATACCAGGACGAAACGGCCGTCCAGTGCTTCCAGGTTTCTAATGATGGTCTAACATTGATCGATTCATGGTTTCAAAAATGTGTAACTTTACGATCTTCACAACCCCGTAATGTAATTTTTATTTGTATTATAGATTTGTTAGTGTTCAATTGCCGCCAACACCATCAAGATTTCATTATGTATTCAATATGCGAGATCATAGTCGAATTTTCAATGGATTATGTTTAATGACTGTGGATAAATTTAGTCGTAAAGAACAATGTATTCGTTTATGGCTTCATGAAGTTTATCGTGTTGTAATGGATCGTTTAATAAGTCATGCTGATAAACAATTAGTTGAAGTAAGTTTGGGAATAATTTTTTTTAAATAAAATATTCTAACATAATTTAATATCATTTAATTGATTTGTTTGAAAGTCTGTCAATTAATTATGATGGACTGGGGAAATATTTGTGATCTGTTATTGAAATAAATGAAAAGTCAATAGACGCCAAAAGTTTACGAAATTATAAACATATTTTTGAATTTTAGACTGGAAGTATGCTTAGTACAACTTTTAAACTAATTAATTTTAAAATCATAAATCGATCAATGTTAGACCACCATTGGAAACCTGAAAGCACTGGATGGCCATTTCGTCCTGGTATGAGATTCATCAACTCCTGCGAGGTGCAGGAGTCGTGGATGCGCACTGTTGATGAGTTTCAGACCAGGACGAAACAGCCGTCCATTGCTTCCAGGTTTCCAATGGTGGTCCAACATTGATCGATTCATGATTTTCGATGTGTAACATAACAATCTTCACAATCCCGTAATGTTACTGATTTTAACCTTGAATTTAACCTTATGTGATAATTTTCCTACCCTTTCTTATCCTTTCTATATTACGTTAATTTTACAATTTACAATTTACAATTATCACCTTATGCCTATTTGAGCTTTTATTTAATTGACCTTTTATCAATCTTCATATTAAAATACCTTGACAGGTGTATATGTGTGACCAGACTGCTCGAAATATGTATAGCGCGCAAATACATCACTTTTTTCAGATCAATTACGTCTTCTCACTGTCTAATCAAAATTTACAAAAGGGACAAAATGTTTTATTAATTTTTTTCCGATTGTAACCATTTGCGTGTTACATGTATTTGTAGACAGATTCAATATTCTAAATTCATCTACTCAATCTTATATAGTTAGGTTTACAGACCGTTGAGAGTGAAGAATATTTCCCAACGCGCTAGCAGTACATCCAAGTATGAACTATTGATAGACAACATAACTATGAAATACATTAAGCAATATATACTAGCCAAAAACCATTGTAGTTTCCGGTTAACCGATTGATTGATATTTCTTGTGAGATCAAACTCAGTTTACTTAAAGGAGCACATACTAAAGTAACACACTAACGCTATATGATCGAAAACTTTGTTATTATTATTATTATCGTAGTTTCATCTTAAATATTGTAGATAATTCGATTGTTATGAATTGTAGTTAAAGTAAATCACTTGAGTACTGAGGTTTTTGTTAAATTGTTTCATCAAGAATGTCAAATATTTAACATACATACATACATACAGAAGAGATAAAGTCGTTCACAATTATAAATCAGTCAACTATCATCTCTTGTTAATCAATCACATATTAGATTGTGTCTAGTTGTATTACTTATCTCGTAAATTGATTAAATTCACAAATTTCATTCAGTTTTCGACTGGAACTTCAACTGAGATCAATAGCTGGTGAATGTATTCTACAAATTTTTTGTTCATTTTGTTATTATTTCTATTATTACATTACCTGAAATCATATTCTGTAATAGTTAAAAATGACCTTTATCTTTAGATTTTTGTTTGACCTATTATCCTATATACTCTCCATAACTTTCAAGTAGTTTGATGAGTCATTAGTTATTTACATTACGCCTGTTACTCCTAATCGAGCATAGGCGGCCAACCAGCATAGTTCAACTTACTCTCTCCTGGGCCTTCTTCCTTCCCAGTTCAGTTTTTTCATGTCTGCTTACAATTCTCAGCTCAGTGTGTTCCTTGGTCTACCTTTCTTTCTTTCGCCTTGGGGATTCTAAGTAAGGGCTTGCCTTGTGATACAGTTGGGTCATTTCCTCAATGTATATCCTATCCACCTCCAGCGTCTCTTTCTAATTTCTTCCTCAACTGGAATCTGGTTTGTTCTTTCCCTATAGTAGGTTTTGCTGATGGTGTCTTTCTTGCTAACGGATTCTCAGTATCTTACGTAGATGATTGTTAATAAACACTTGTATCTTCTGGATAATGGGTTTCATGGTTCTCCAAGTTTCTGCTCCATATATGATAAGAACTATTTTGACGTTCATGGTGAAAATTCTTTGGTCAACTAAATTTATCTACTATTATTTAAATTACACATCCACAACTTCTTTTCAACAAAACTTTAATATTTAATCACATACTTGATAATAAGTTCGATTGAACAGCTTAACACAGAAATATTTTGTTCTTTAATAGGCTCGATAAATTCTTATTTATATAATAAACCATAAAATAGAGGTTAAAATATCTCGTTTTTTTTTAATGGGTAATGATATAATGTGTGTGAATCATCACACATCAAGGATGACGTCATGACTGCATCAAAATATGTAACTAGTATGCATTAAACCTATATATAAATATATATATATATATATATATATATATATATATATATATATATATCATGATGAACATGATCTACAGAAAGTTTGACAAATTCAAATTACAACTGTCATAAATTGTCAAAGTATAGCCTTCCTCTTTTATGTTTTGCATGAATTAACTCCTGTGAAACGATTCAATCAAATTTAGACATAAGATTTTAATTTTCTAATAGCCAAGGCCTCCATAAACCTCAAAATTCGTCCTTCAACAATTCTATACAATTTTTTGAAGGCTGTCTTGATGTCAATCTTATGCCCTGTCTCAATTATGTGTTTTAAGACCGATGAACATGGTTTTCTATTTACCAACACTAATCGGCTCATCTGACGTTAACTGATTTTGAAACCACTTAGGTACATGTTCCACAACCCTTGATTGCAAAGTCCGATTACTCCTCCCTATGTATGTGTGTCCACACATACTTTTCCCCTTAAGTACCCATAACAAACATAATATTTTTGAGAAAAAATTAGCTTCCATTCTAAAAACCATTAGCCTGCTACAACATTCTACTAGTGAACTCATCAATAATCTCTGCTCTTAACAGGCTTATTATCTTAAATTATTGATCACCAAGTTTTTCAATGAGTAACTTCTCATCTGGTGAGTGTTGATTGAAATTTATTCAAAATTTGTTGATTATTAAAATTAAAAATTATTCTTACTACTTTTTCCCTTTACTTTAATTGAATTATTTTTTCTAGAAATATATCGATGAATTATTACAAGAGAATTGTAAAGAGATTCAAGAATATGTAACTAAAATGCCAATACTATTTGGTGATTATCAAAATGCAATGGATGAATCAGAGATTCGTTTATATGAAGATATGATTGATCATGATAATTGTCGAGTTGTAACTCAAGAAGTAAGTTTGTCTATATAATAACACAAAGAAAATGATCACAAATCTTGTCTTAGAAAAGGGATAAGTATTCACTTGGAGTTTTAGGATGAAAATCGAAACACATAATAATTATGTTACGCCTGCACGTAAACATGTCAACTTGATATACTTGAACTATTACGAGTTTACGTAGTCGGAAAATGAGAGCGAGGATCGAGGATCAGGCGACACGACATGCTACTCAAATCCTATTATCCCAACCCCCATATTGAATAAAAGAAGACAAGACTTGATATGGAGTAGAACGTGTATTCTACGAGCACCCAGAAAGTACGAGGTCTGAGTCCAGAAGAGAATCAGGATCCCGGACTAGGGATCCGGGACCGGGTCCTGGTCCTAGTCATAAAACGTATTTATACATTTTGGTCGAATAGGAAACAGCATCGAAGTCTGTGACATTGACGGTTAAGACGACCATTAGGAAGTAACATTTGAAGTGACATTGATAGTCAGGAAAACCAATAAGAAATAACATTGGAGCACGTGACATTGATATCTAGGACGACCATAAAATTAAACAGTAGGAATTAACCAATAGGAATTGACCAGTAATTCTCTTAGGATATTGGACGAATATCCTAACAGATTATTAATTAGAGTTATGGAGGTTTGTGTTTGTACACACTCGAAATAATCGATCAATCATTGTTAGACCTGCATTAGAAACCTGGAAACACTGGACGGCTGTTTCGTTCCGCTATGGGACTCATCAGCAGTACACACCCACGACTCTTGCTCTTCACAGGATTCGGACCCAGGAACTTCGATCTTGCGCGTGAGTGTCTAACCTCTGGACCACTGATTAGTCATATTTATGTTGAGACATTCACATTATCGACGGAAATCAGTTAGGATGCCATTAGTAAAGGGAGTAATGCATGATTGTTCCTAACTAGTCACATAGATTCGGCATCAGTGCAGAATAATGAGTTATCTTCAGAACAAATCAGTTGGAATCCATTAGTTTACATTACAAACTTTGATCAGTCAGCGATGTAGTGTGACATCATCAGTTCCTAATGAAGCTTAAGTCCTCGTTTTCAATAATTCTATATGATAAATTTTTTTACCTGTTTACATACATGTCATTTTCTCAATATCATTCATTGTGGAGTTGTGTTTATGGATAATAGACGCCACAATTGAATCAACAAAATAGATATTCACTTTTCATGAGTAACAGAATATGTCAGACAAATGTTTTGTTTTAATTAAATTATCATCGATAAACTTTAATAATTTCCTTTTAATGTTCTATTACAAAAACTTTGAAATAGATTTTAGATAGTTATAATGAAAGTATTGGTCAATTACAAATGATTTTATTCAATGATGCCATTGAACATTTCACACGTATTGAACGTGTATTGAGAATGGAAAATGGACATGCACTTTTAATTGGTGTTGGAGGTTCTGGTAAACAAAGTCTTACTAAACTAGCAGCTTATGCTGCTAATAGTTCACTATTTGAAATTCAACTATGTCGAGGTTATGGTGAACGTGAATTCCGTGAAGAGCTGAAAGCGCTTTATTTACGACTTGGGATTGAAAATAAATCTACTGTTTTTATGTTTACAGATCAACATGTTGTTGAAGAAGGTAAGTAATTGTTGTGGATGTTATGTCTCCAGAACTCGCTTGATAAATGTCTCTTTTCTTCTTTCCGTTTGATGGGCACAATACCATGTTAGACTACTTCTGAGCAATCCTATCTCGAATAGAATTTTCAGAATGACGTCATTAAAACTAGCCTCATGATTTATTTAGTCACATTATCGATTCTGATTAATATAGGCTATGTAGATTGATATCAGAGCTTGTAGTAACGGAAACAAACTGCGATCTTTGCATGCCTGTATTTAAGCATAATCAGTTGTAACATTTCCTCTGTATACATCTGTTATAAATATGTGCTTGTCTATATCCGGTTGCAAATATTATCCTTCTTTATGTGAGCTAAGTAAGCTGAGATATAAAATTATATAAATGATTCTGGCGCAAGTCACTTCGATTCATCATCAAAGCATAAAATATGCTTTTCCAGTTGCATTAGGTATACTGATTTCGAATCATCATCAATCAATCAACAGCAACGTAGAACTTCGTATGTCAATACATCACTTCAAGTCACCACACCACATTAGCACAGAGACACAACTGTCACTTCAAATCCAATAGTAGTAGAGGTGTGGTGTGAGCTACTTATAAGTAGTATATGACGTGAGTGTCAACGTAATGTCTGGCTGCGGAAGATGGGGAGAGATCAAGAAAGGAAGAGTTAGAACACAATGGAATTTGTATGAAACGCATGAGTAGTGACAATGGATTGATGTTTTCCAACAGGAACAGTCCAGTTCGATAGGAGGAACCATTTACGATATGGTTTTCCAATTTTACTGAGTAACTCTGTAATTTTCGCTAAATACAATCCCGTTGCCTCACCTGTGTTCTCGTTCACTACAGAGGTAATAAAAGTATTAGCAGTAATTGGAGAGATTAGAGTTCGAAGATAATATTCAAGAAGTATAATTCAGTAACGTAAATTTAGAAAGCGAAAGATAGAGGTTATGAGGAATTCCGAAGGTTAGGGTTTGAGTGAACACATTAACCATCAATTATGATCATCTCGCAAGCCCCAACCAGGTAGTCGAGACCTAACGACATGGCTCAGTTCACTTGTCAGTGACTTCATGGATCTGTGCCATCTTTTGATCTGGCCACCCCACGGATTTGGAATACCAATGTTGCACAATGGGGTTAGTCGAAGTTACTATTTCTGGAACTACGTGTGGAAAATAATTCACTTTATTTATCAGGAGTCAGATTAGAGACCGAAAAATTCTTCGATAGAATGATTTTATTCAGATTACATAAGTTTGATTCATTCATCATTCATTAACGAATCAAGATTCAAGTTTTTTAATAAAATAAACTGATTTTATTGATTACTGATTTTTTCGAGGGTATTTCGGAGGTATGATAATATATGCTATCAAGTGAGTTGAGTATTAGTAATGGTTTCATTGTCAGACTACCAAATCTAAAAGAAATGAACTTTTATATTCTTTTTCAAACGGTTGTGTTCTTTCGTATACTGATTTATTAAAATGGTTGCATTTAAACTTTTCTGGTGTTAGCCACAACTGTGCTCATAGCTGGAGATATAATTCATTCTATTTAGTTCAAAATCTACTAAATTCCGAAACTTTGCAGATATTTTAGATTCCTTAAAAACATTTCTAATATAAAATTGACTTGGTTTTCGTACTTGTCAGTAAACATTGATTTTAGCGAATTGATATGGTTTCCTTATAGACGTAACAGGTCTGAAATACTTTGATAAAGTGTGATACAATGGCCATGAGAAAAAGCAATCTTACTCATCTCCTGTGGTTGCGTTATTTTTAAACTCGCATTACTTGTTCTGTATTTTTCTTTATATAGGATGTGCTTAGTTAATGTCAATTACTAATATTTAGGCTGTTATAAAATATATAAATATGTATGTAAAGTTGTTAATCAGCCAATAAAAATAATACCTTCTTAATTTTGTTAAAGGCTTTCTTGAATTGATCAACAATATGCTGACAACAGGTTCAGTTCCTGCTTTATTTGGTGATGATGAACGAGAATCAGTAATAGGTCAATTGCGTGATGAAGCTACCGCTGCTGGATGTCCTCCATCTCGTGAATCGATTTGGCAATATTTTATACAGAAAGCTGCATCCAATTTACATATTGTTTTATGTATGAGTCCTGTAAGTAATAAAACTTTTATTGATACTGATATCAACATTAATACATGTTCATATTAAGATGATGAGCATTTTTCTGGTTCTTAGTTAACATGAACATCTTACATTTGTACATTGTATGAATTGGTCAAAGAATGAATATTGAATGCCATTTTACCTATTGTATTATATACCGTGAGCAAATGCTCACCAAGTTTATGCTACCAGTGATTGAGATACTCGGACGGTACACCAAACTGAGAACAGATCCCATTACATCAGATACATGATTCACAACTAACTAGCGAACCAGAGTCAACAATATAAAGTATCATACTCCACGCAATTAGAAGCAACTATACACAATGAGTCAGGAGTAGAAATCAATAAAAGGGAATGAAATCATGTTTAATAGTTAGTGTCTGTGGCTGTCTGTCCACGCTCTATGACCAATCAGATTTTCCATTCACTACCACCCATCAAAATCATACTATTTTCGGCGACTTCATTTAAGTAACATTGAGATGATGATCTTAAATTAAAAATTGAAATTTCAGCTTCTCTTTCATTCGTACTAGTTTATCACTGAAATAAAAATTACATTGACTTATTTGAAATGAAGTAATTTATCATTTATACTAAGTTTATAAGCCTATAACTATTTATAATTATTATTACGCACGATGTGTCGATCAAGAATTCATAATAGTTTCTCAGATATCTTTTTTTGATTAAGTCTCATTTTTAGTAAGCTTCTTCTTTTTATGAAACTTAAAGCTATGGCAACTTCTTTAAACATAGTTGTACTTGTGCGTAGGTGGGCTCTATCTGTGTGGATATATGTCTATCGCTTCTGTATGCATTGCATTTGAGAATTAAATATCAGACTCATGTTTCGAGTGGATTGTTATTGACTCTGCGTACTACATACATTCATCCAATCATTCGGTTTGTCTGCTTATTGCAAATCTCTGATATATGCCTATTTCGACTAGTGATATACTGTTGTTGTTGGAAATGTGTTAGATCGACCTCACTAGTAGCATTATTTGTCATCCAGTTGAGTTAACCCAGGAGGACTGTAGCCAATAGGGAAAAATGTACGATGATTAGTTATCAATCTGTTCAAAAAGCATGAAATAAACTTTCGTTATTTTTTTAGTTTCAAGTAATTCAGCTAAATTTCCACTGATAATTGTCATAGTTCGTAAACATTTCATTTTATTGAATTTTGATTGGTAATTGTTGTTTAATATAACCTGTATCATAGGTTGGTGATGCACTACGAACACGTTGTCGTAATTTTCCTGGTATTGTTAATAATACTACCATTGACTGGTTCTTCCCATGGCCTGAACAAGCTCTTTATTCTGTAGCCAATGTACTCATATCGGAACAATTTAAACTTGTGCCTCAACAATATCGTGATTATGTTATTGATTATTTTGTGGCAACACATGAAAGTATACATGGTTATACAGAAGAATTTGCACAAACTTTAAGAAGAGTAAATCATGTTACACCGAAACACTATTTAGATTTTATTCATACGTACAAAAGGTAAATTGTTAGTATTTAAATTCGGTTTTTGTTTCAAGGATATCTCATCTCGTAATTTTGGATTTTGATTGGTTTAGATATTAACTTCTGATTTGTAGTGATTCTTTTCTTACTTAAAATCTAATCTAATTTATAAACTCGTTATGTTTATATCACAGTCTATAACTGATAGGTTCGTCATTAGGTACACTTGAAACTATTAAGGGTTCACCTTAGTCGATAAACGCGAATAAAACAATGAACCAGCGTTCAGGTAGGCTACCTTGACCCCAAAACGGCGAAAAAGAAGTGTTGATAATCGTAGAAAATATATTCTACAATCACCCAGCAAACAAAATACAATCAAGCACACAAATCTCGTTTATTTAAACATCATAGAAACGTCCTTGGGACAGTGACGAAAATAGCACACTTGAATACACAGCAGCCAATCACAGCCATGGATTTTCCTGGTGGGAAATGAAATCTCAAGGTCAAATGATCAGCCCATGCTCGCAAACGCGAAATCCAAAATAAGGTATTTATCAAGCGAGTTCTGGGGATCTAACGTCCCCAACAATAACCAAGTTTTTCTAAATCAAAGTTGATGCTTTTGTAACACTGGATAAGAGAGAATTGTGTATTCGAAAAATAAGCACTTTCTTTAACGTCGTAAATATACCACATTGATGTATGTTATTGGACATTGAGCTGATGTCAAGAGTTGTATTCCAGCTTTATTCTACCATTTATTATTGGTAATATGTTATAATTGAGACATATGTTTAATCAAATGAATTGGATTTAAATTAGCTGATAATAGTGAATCCTCTGTTGTTGTTACTTTGTACGCTTAGGATCAATGAATTAAAAGTCGATATCAATAGATAATACTATGTCCCATGAAGTTCACACATATATATCACATCAGCTAAATTAGTCTGGTATTTACATTTACAAGCTAACAAATGATATTTCATGAGAAAAAAAAGAGCTGTTCATTTATATTTTGAACTATGTTCATCACTAAACTTATAATTGTATCGACCTCTCAACCTGTAGTTTCAACGAGCTGGTCTGATACTACTCAGACATGAAACCCTCTTCTAGTTTACCTTGTGTCGACCTTTCGCTATAATAATAATTAATGTCCAAGCTACAGATCCATCCCCATTTTTGAATTGATTAACTGCTTAGGTCACAGATAGCTTTTGCCTTAAAATGTGTCCTTGGAAATACTGCAGTGAATACATTCACTGAATAAACTTAATGTATATATTTACAAAGTTATGATTAGGTAGTTGATGAAATTACGGACATCAAAATCTACTGTTGTGGATTCATATGAAAAAATTTCAATCACACTTAAATACTTTATCAGTACTAATTGTCAGAAACTTATGCGTTACTTTTGAATGTCCAGCTTGTGATTATAGTGTGGACAGTCTTTTTACTTGAGCATAATTAACAAGATCCAGTGTTTTTATGGGAAAAATATTCTCGAATCATTTTTGAACATAACCTAGACTACAAGAGGGGATGCACCTGCGCCATCGCAAACGATTGTCGGCCATGTCGTTTAAGGTCTCTAACCATTAGTAACTGTCGTCTCGCGAACCCCAACCAGGTAGCCTACATCCATCAACATGACTCGGTCCACTTGTCAGTGACTTCATGGATTTGTGCCATGTTTTGGTTTGGTCGCCGCTAGCTTTCTTCCAACCCACTCCTACACCACAAAATATAGCTCGTCGAGGCAGTCGGTGGTTAGGTTGTCGTAACACATGTCCCGACCACCTCAACTGATGAAGTTTCACTACCTCATCTATTGATTTGCCATCCCTACCTAGAACTCGTTTACTAACGATAGCAATGCATCGGATACACATATGATCGAAGACAAGTAACCTATGAATGTCCTCTACTCTTAACGGCCATGTTTCGCATCCGTATAGTAGGACAGACCGAACTGCTTCACGGTACACTCGTCCTTTGGCTAACAAGCGGACATCTCGCCTGCGACATGGGTGACTCAGGATGGCAAAAGCCAATCGAGCCTTCTGTAGCTGAGCTGAGATTTCGTCAGTCACTAGGCCATCGACACTGATGAGACTCCCAAGATAAGTGAAGCGGTCAACACTCTCGATTACTTCACTCCTTATCACTAGTTCAGGTGCCAATGCAACCCAGTCTTGAAGCAACATTTTTCATTTCGAGGTGGGAAAACCGCATCCTGAAGATGCTTGCATTGTTGCTCAGGGTGGTCAGAAGACTCTGCATTTTTTCAGCGTCTTCACCGAATAGAACTATGTCATCGGCATATTCTAAGTCGATAAGCGAGCCTCCTTGTAGAAGGTCTACTCCTGAAAATTCAGATGAAGATAAGGTTATATCTAGCAGCATGTCTATGATAAAATTAAACAAGAATAGAGAAAGTGGATATCTGTGACGGACACCACTTAAAGTGAAGAATTCCGATGACAGTTCGCCATAAGCTCTCACTCGACCAGTGGTGTTTGAGTAGAGAGCTTATATAAGGTTAATGTACTTCTTTGATACACCTTTCAATGACAGACACTGCCAAAGAACCTCACGATCAACAGAGTCGAATGCCGCTTTAAGGTCAAGAAATACTACTATTGTGGGGCCGCCGGGAAGTGACAACCTCTCTCATACCTCTCATACCACTCTCATAGCACGCGAGACCAAATTGGTCAAAATAAAATCTCCCCTAAAGCCCTTAACCAACAAAGTCAACACTTCGAAGTAATAAAAGTGGAAGATTTTCAACTGTCGAGGTTTTTCTCCATCTCTTGTCCACCTTGCAACACCTAAAGATTATTATATCTATTCTATATTAAAGAGTCTTAAACTTTGAGAAAAAGACTATTTATTGTCTTTTCGGTGGTTTTTTTCTCACATGGATTCATCTAGTGATGAATATTGCCTGGCTTTGATTCAATTTCAAAGTTATTCGTTTAATACTCTAGTTTATAATTTGTTAATTACATAAATATTAGTAAAATATAAATTGATTTCATATATATACATATTTTATTTTTTTATCTGTATAAAGATTACTTACAGAAAAAGATAATGACAATGAAAGACAAATTATACGTTTACAAAGTGGTTTAGAAAAATTAGCTGAAGCTTCTGTACAATTAGAAGAGTTAAATGCAAAATTAGCTGTACAACGTGTAGCTATGACTGAAAAAACACAAGCATGTGAAAATTTATTAAATGAAATTGCTAGTAGTAGTCAATTAGCTACAGAGAAAAAAGAATTAGCTATTACAAAAAGTAAAGAAATTCAATTACAATCTGTGGAAATTGAAAAAGAAAAAGTATGATTTGCATTTATTGGCCTTGATCTTGATGATGATGATGATTATTTTCACTTTTGTTTATCTCTTCTTTTTTTTATTATGATGAATCCAATTAATCGATTTCGTTGAAGGATGTAAAGAGAAAAAATAATGAATGGAGTTGTAAACTTGAGTGATATTGTGGTGGCCAATTTCAACGTGTTCTTAAGTTTCATAACTAGCTCGTTACTAAATAGCGTCTGACGGTTTATAAATCAGAAGGTGAACTCGAAGTGTTGAATAGGTTTATTTTAGCACACCACAAATAGATCAGCAAACTACAAGCATTCAAAGTTAAAATCGTCATGCGAGTGCCGGAAAGCAAGCAAGCAAGCAAGCGAATTGGCGGATGAATGGATGAAACGAAGTAGAGAAGGCTAGTGAGCCAACGCCAAGGAATAAAGCATGACTAAGAATTTATAGTCAGAAAAAATAAGACAGACATGTAATAAGCGAGATAGGTATACACAGTTATGAATACAAGCGACAATGTCAAGAGACAAGTGGGACAAGTGATGTGAGCTAGACATTGAATGACTCACTATAGTATCACTAGATGATTTTAACACATTAGAAGAAAAGTTTCTAGTTCTCTTAGGTTTAGCGGTCAAATTCAATAACTGATAGTCACTATTACATCCGATCAATACAACTATGCAGAAAGTGAAAGACTGTAACTAAATGAGATGTACTGTTGAAAAAGAAATAAGTTTATTCACGACTTACGAGTATATTTTAGGATTGATGTTGACAAGAATATATATATGTATACTATCTCGTTCGCATTTGTATGTTACTTAACATAAAACAGTTCTTAGTTAGGATGAAAATAATTCCTTCAGCTTAATGAAACCAAGACTTTTAACACCGAATACTTCACACATTTGAATATTTGATAGTAAAAGTGAAAATGAATGTTTGCTTGTTCAGGTCGTATATTTCCATTGTGTTTGATTCTCGATCACATACTGTCTTATGAGAAGGGTGAGTTCATTATTCTGAAAGCTTTTCCAGATCACTGTCCACAAAAAGGGCTTTGCAAAGCGTGTACTTTTGTGTCGAGCCCACAGGGCTTGTCCAAGCCTTCAGACAAACTAGATAGCCCATCCTGACTGATTTACTTTTGACCATCTGTCAACTAATCGCTTTTATTTTGGTTGCTTCTTTTCTAGTATAAATGTATGTACCGCTAACTTCAGTTCAGCTTATTTTATCTGACTAGTTGGCTTGCTCGCCTTTTCTACTTCAGTTTGCTCTGCTTGTAGGCTTTTCACTATCTTCTGTCTGCTTAAGCTAAAGCATGAACGATCGTTTGAAATAAGCTCATCCAATCGAATCCGTATTTGGCTTCTTATATTACTACCGTCGCACAAACGGGGTTCGCCTAAGTATGATATACGGAAATGAAAGGGGGCATTCATTTCATAGCGTACTAGAACATCCTTAAATAAGGAGGTCAGCTCATAGGCCACTACAAACTTAATATTCCATCCAAACATAAATACATTATTTAAACAAGCGCAGCTTAAATTCCTATACATTGAAGGGTTAACAAAAGCTGTAACGTTTCATGTATATGCCGTTTTTCTGTAAAGCACTGATGATGACTGATGACTGATGGTTTATTCACCAGGAAAAACAATCTGACGGGTCAAAGAACCAAGTCATAATCCCCACCTGCAGCAAATCAACTCACTATCCAAAGATTAGCTAACTAATTCAAATTCATACTTCATCAAACAAAGTTATTATTATTATTATTATTATTATTATTATTATAACAATAGTCCAAACACGATAACATAATCACGGTTTATCTATCATATAAACATAATCATTAGGAGAAAAATTGAAGCTTAGGAACAACTTATATGCTTAGACTCCTCATCGTCATACTATTGACCAACGTAAATATCATATTAGGATTTTGAGGAAAAGTTTTTACATGATTAGACTAACTGGTGAAACAATGATTGATAACCAGAAATCACTGGACAACTTCTTCATCTAAATATAGAACTTCACATTCGTACTTATGTAAGTCCTCGTTGGACACAGAACTCTGCAGTAAACTCATAAACTTCAGAATAGTGAATTGACGTCCGGTGACCGACATTCCTAACGTTAGTTAATTCAGGTATATTTTTAATTGGATTTTCACAAAATTCACGTAAGACACTACTGAGGATCCCTAAAACAGGACACGAAAGTACCTAGCTGTTACCAGTGAGTAACAGGGACTCTATCATCTAAACTAATCTTCCAAAATCAAACCCGTATTTTCACATGTTAATTTTTTGTAAACTATAGATTGATATGTAATTCATTAGTATGCCTCTTAATTTTTCACTTTAGTTCATCTAATCAGGATTTTTATAGTTTCGATCTCCAACTGATTTTAGCCATATCATCGATGTGAGAACATTGGCACAAGATTTCCCATCAGTGCGCATTCATAACCTTTCACTTACGAAACTAACCCAGGGCTTTCGATCTTAAAACCACTGAGGTGATATCTTGCCTCACTCAGTTCACGTTACTGCCCAACCTTCCTCCATTACTTGTGGTAGATAACTGTCTCTCTCAAGAAATGGTTGGAATCGACTGGTCATAACGTCTTACTTGAACTACAGAAGTTTTATCTTGAAGGCAATTAGAATTAAAAGTTTTCTTTTCAATCATTAAATAAAATCTCACCGATATTAGAAAAGCTGATTTGCATGTTGTTATTGAATTATAACTGTGTTACTCCTCATTTTATACTTAGACGGAGGCTGAAACCGCTTTAGCTGAAGCTTTACCAGCTTTGGAACAAGCTCGTTTAGCTTTGGATGATTTGGATAAATCAGATGTTACTGAAATCAGGTCATTTGCAAAACCACCAAAAGCTGTACAAGTTGTCTCAGAGTGCATATGTGTTTTTAAAGGTTTTAAAGAGGTCAACTGGAAAACAGCTAAAGGAATGATGTCGGATACAAATTTCCTACAGTCTTTACAAACCATGGATGTGGACAACATTACTGCTAAACAATCATCAACTGTTAAAGGTATAATGAAGTATTTTAATTTATACTACTGACTGATGTTAATAGTAGTATAATCAAAATCGTTATTATTCCTGTTGAATGATTCCATAACTCTACTGCAAAGATTACTAGATTCTTGCAGCATTTCAATTCATTTTACATGTAATTCTGTCAAAAAGACTGTTTTCAAATAATAAAGCTCACCATTATGGTTAGAGTATTTGGGGCTAATAGACGATATTGTACGGGTGATTGATTCGTTTAATAATCCCAATGATAAAATTGACTAATTGTATACCATACAGCTTAATATTAATATTTTTAACTATCGTAATGTGATATGCATTTGTAGTTAAAGCCATTTTATATTGAAAAGTGATAATAAACAAATAGCGTGTTATTAGCCCTCAAATGAATGAATTCGACTAGCTTTTTTCAGATTAATCATAATTGATATTTAGATAAATGTAAAAAAATTTTAATGTTCATTTTTAACTGTTTAATACTCCACTCATTAAAAAAATTATCTTTGTTCTCAAATAAAAAGAGTGTTTATATATATATATATATATATATATATAGGAGTAGGTTGGAAGAAAGCCAGGGGTGTCCAAAACAAAACATGGCACAAATCCACAAGGTCGCCGATAATTGGACTGAGTCATTTTTGCAGATATAGGCTACTTGGTTAGAGTTTGCAAGACGATAGTAACCGATGGTTAGAGACCTTGAACGACGTGGCTCAAAATTGTTTGCAGTGGCGCAGGTGCATCCACTCTTTGTGTTCTCTCAAATTGTAATCTTCTGAATTCCTCATTGACTTTATTTCTCTCTTCTCAAATCTATTTCACTGAATGATACTTCTTGAATAATATCTTCGAACCTTAATCTTCTCCATTACCGCTAATACTTCTACTATCTCTGAATTGACAGTTGAGTCTCTGTGCTAATGTGGTGTGGCAACATGAACTGATGTACGTACGTACGAAGTTCTTCCTGGTAACTGACTGACAATAATTGTCTTTTATGATCCTATCTTACTTGAATTTAACTGATCATAAGTATATAACAGTTTATTATTTAAAAAAAAATAGAACGATTTTAATAAACTACACTGAAACTAAATTTACGTATTGATTTACATCAACACACTTGAATGTTCTTTCAAACTATGCATAATGTAACAATTGAAACATGATCAGCTTTTCTAATGGTGATCCAACTAACAATGATCGATTCACGACTTGGAAGTCAGTCAAAAATCTCCTCAACCCCATAATACAAACTTTTCCATATATGTATATATACATCGTGTTATACACTTCTGTATGATTTTATTGATTTTTCTTCCTTTTTTTGAATAGATTATTTGGATAAATCAAAAGTTACAATGGATGAAATGAAAAGTGTCAGTAAAGCTGGTACTGGTTTATTAAAATTTGTTGTCGCTGTACTTGGCTACAGTGAAGTTGCACGTGATATTAAACCGAAACGAGATAAGGTTGCAAAATTAGAAAAAACCTTTGCGCAAGTAAGTCATCATCATATTCTAGTGTTTTCAATTAGAATTATGGAGATTAGTGTTTTTACACATTGAAATCATCAAGCAATCATTGTCGCGCGAAATCTCCAGATTGATCTGAGTTAGACATTAACACCGACAAATGCCGGCCCCGTGGTCCAGAGTTTAGGCGTTCGCGCTCAAGACCGAAGGTCCTGGGTCCGAATCCTTTTAGGTGCACAGCACAAGTCGTGGATTCGAACCTCTGATGAGCCCCGTACCAGGACGAAACGGCCGTCCAGTGCTTCCAGGTTTCTAATGGTGGTCTAACAATAACTGGTTGATGATATCCTATCGTATTAATTATTTGAATTAAAATAATTTCTGATTAGAATATAAATTTTAACTACATGTGAAATTTATTAAATATTTCATTTATTTTCTTTCTGATATCCTGCATTAGAAAATAATGTAAGGTTCATTACATCTAGCTTTTGAATATATCACGTGATAATGTGGATATCATCGTTTTTGTAAGTTTGCTAGTGTCAGTTGATTGATTTGGAAGAGAGCAAATAGAACTAGAAGAAAACATTAACAGCTAACTAGTTTAGTGATCAAACTCGGATACAGAAGGCTCGATTGGCTTTTGCCTACCTGCGTCACTTATGGCGTAGGCGTGATATCCGTTCTCTAATCAAAGGATGAGTGTACTGTGCAGCAGTTCGCTCCGTTTTCCTATATGGCTGTGAAACATGGCCAGTGAGAGTAGAAGATATTCGTAGGTTACTGGTTTTCGATCATAGGTGTCTTCGAAGCATTGCTCGTATACCGTGGGACAACCGAGTAAGCAATGCTGTCGTTAGGAAACGAGTACTAGGTAAGGATGGGAGAGCAATCGATGAAGTGGTGAAACTTCATCAGTTGAGGTGGTTGGGACATGTCTTGCGTATGCCGAACCACCGACTGCCTCGACGAACTTTGTTTTGTAGTGTAGGAGTGGGTTGGAAGAAAGTTAGGGGCGGCCAAACCAAAAGCATGGCAGAAATCCATGAAGTCATTGACTAGTGGACTGAGCCATGTCGGTAATTGTCGACTACCTGGTTGGGGCTCGCGAGATGATAATAATCGATGGTTAGATACCTTGAATGACATGGCTCATAATCGTTCGCAATGGCGCCGGTGCATTTATTCTTTGTGTTCTCTCAAATCCTAATCTTCTGGATTCTTCAACACCTCTAGTTTCGACTCTCTAAACTTTTCTCACTGAATCATACTTCTTGAATAATATCTTCTAGTCGTAACCTCTCCGATTACTTCTAATACCTTTACTACCTCTATTACTATTGGATTTGAATTGACAATGACATCTCTTTGCTAATGTGGTATGGCAACATGAACTGATGTACTTATGTACAATGTTCTACCTTGCATCTGACTGACTTAGTGATCAAACATAATCAATCCAATTATGTTTATAAAATTGTATATAAGCAATAATGATTAACTTTGAGAAGATATTGATTCCAAACAATCTGGTACTGGAAAATATCAACACACGGAAGCAAACGATGTTAAGTGATGTTGCATACAATTAGTCTTTGAGAAGGCTTGTATAGTTGAAATAATAACTTAACTAATAAAATGTGCTGTTGAGAAATGACATTGTTGTTGCCATTTTCCATTAAAGCTTAATATCATCAGTGTCAAGTTATTTCACTGTTGATTCAACATCATTTACTTTATCCTTGTTCTTCATCATTAATATCACTATAAATAAAATTTTACTTCTTATCTTTTAGGCTAAAAAAGATTTAGCTCAAATTAATACAGAATTATCTAATCTAGAAGCTGAGCTAATTAATCTTAATCGTCGTTATGAAGAAGCAATGAGTGAACGACATAAATTACAAGAGGAAACAGATCTTATGGAACGTCGTTTAGCTAATGCTGATAAATTAATTGCTGGTTTAGGCTCAGAAGAAGTAAGATGGCTTAAAGATTTAGATGAATTAAAAATAAAACGTGTTAAACTGTTAGGTGATTGTTTAATCAGTGCTGCATTTCTTAGTTATGTTGGTGCATTCTCATCAGAATTTCGTACACGTATGATTTATGAAGATTGGCAAATGTGGTTACGTGAAAAACAAATTCCATTAAGTGATCCATTTCGTTTAGAAGATATTTTGACAAATGATGTTGAAGTATCCAGATGGAATTCAGAAGGTTTACCACCAGATGAACTTAGTGTTCAAAATGGTATATTAACTGTACAATCGTCGAGATTTCCTTTATGTATTGATCCACAAGAACAAGCACTTCATTGGATATGTCATAAAGAAGAGGCAAATAATTTGAAAATTGCTACATTTAATGATTCAGACTTTTTGAAACAACTTGAACTAGCTATACGTTATGGTATTCCATTTTTATTTAAAGATGTTGATGAATATATTGACCCAGTTATTAATAATGTATTGGAGAAAAATATCAAAGGTGATCAGGTAAGTAAATATTTATTGTTTCTGTCTAACATAAGCATGAAGTTTAGTAGTATTCCTTATGAATGAGTGACTGCTTTAAAAACATAACACAGTAGTATACTTGTTCGATTTCCTGAATCATAAACTTCATATCGTCAGAACACTAGAACAATATGCTATTCTATAAGAAAGGCTGTGATAAAACGTCCTACTTTTGATTACACATTGAATGGATCCTCTACATCAAAGCTGTTTTCCACCGGCTACTCACCTTTTTCACTTGGAAACTTTATAATGGTTTTTTTCTCTATTTAATTCAAAAAATTGTTTTAATACATTTACTTATTGAATTGGGAAGAAAAAGTAGTTGCATATTTCACTGTTTTTATTCTACCAAAGTGCTCTCTTTGTTCAAATCAATGGGTTTAACACTATTCATTTATTGCAAATGAACATGAAACAGATCAGGAGTTCTAGTTTAGTTACGTAATAAGGCATTGAGTCAGGAATTTTTGATTGAAAATGGTCCCACTTAATGTTAATTATTAATTTCTACACAATCAGCTAATCCAGTGATAAAAAACGTAGACGTTAACTCATATTAAGACCGTTCAAAATTAGCAAACATCACTTAAATTTGGAAAAACAAAGTCACTCAGATCTTTTAGAAATACTACGAGAATTGAACACAAGAATAGTTTTGAATGAATGAATAAAGTTGAAGAATGAAATGCACTAAATAATAGTTATCATTAAAATTACATGGGTGACACAGAAACTTATTAACACAATGCACTTGTATCAGTTAGAGGTTTAAACTTAAATCATGGACTGAACTGGAAAGGGAAGCACAGGACAGAGTAGGTTGGAGAATACTGTTCGGCGACGTATATTCCATTGGGGAGTAACAGGCGTAAATAAGTAAGTAAGTAAGGATATTATCCATTTGTAGTGTTGACATTCAAACTCTTACTTATTGTTACGCAGTTAGTTTGAGACAAATCTATTTTTCTGCTTTATTTATCCAATTTAATTCTACAACTGTTGATTGAGTCATTGAGTTTCAAAAAAGTTAATGCGCGATTAGTTCAGAGACCTGATATGACTTTGTTCGAATTGTATCATTTTGATTTGTTATACTAACATTTCACTGTTTTTTTCTACAGAATCGTGCTTATGTTATTCTGGGCGATAAAGAAGTAAACTATGATCCAAACTTTCGTCTCTATCTCAACACAAAATTGTCTAATCCTCAGTATGGACCAGATGTGTTTAGTAAAGCAACAGTTATTAATTATACTGTCACAATGAAAGGTTTAGAAGATCAACTACTAAGTGTCATTGTCAAATCAGAACGATGTGAACTAGAAGAACAACGTGAATCTTTAATCAGAGAAACAAGGTCAGTTAGTGTTCGGTGTGATATTAAACAGTTTAATAAGCATATGGGACTAGTAAAATACATTCATTCCCTACTACAGACACTAAACGTTCGACTTACAAATTCGTAACATGATGCATCCGATTCCCATATGTTCCTGGATCCGTTTATCCATTAAGATGCCTTCTTAAACTTTTACAATGAACAGGAAGTAAGAGCTTGTTAGACACTTCAAATAACCAGTATTGATTATATTTGTTTAAATTAGTAGTCACTCTCCTAACGGAAATCTCTAACAGTAAATTAAATAAACAAAATTTCAACCAATGTAAAAAATGTTTTGAATTTATTATTTCCGTTTACTAGTTTATTCAAAATGTCTGAAGGCTATGAAATTTCTTACTTGAACTTTAAAGACTAGACAAAAGAATTTTGCATCATTCTAAACTGTTGACTGGTTTTTCAAAAAACTGTCAAATTGTTAGATTAAACAAGTGCTTCTTATGATGACAAGACAATTGCCAGTATTTTATATATTTGAGACAAGAGTCTTAATTGTTATATCAAAAGCCTTGTTGGAAATAAATGACTAAAGTGGTATTTTGCTTAAAATGTCACTAGTGGCATATATGTTAAAAACACTTGAAACTCACTACAAATGTTTTATCTTATTATATAAAGTAGTATAGATGATTTTTTAAAAATATATCACTTTTCTTAACTAAAAATATTCAAACAAATATTTATTTTGTTACGAATACCTATGTCAGGATAGAAGTAAACTTTTAAAAAGATATACAATAGATCAACTCAATCTGATCATATTTCACAAACTTCATAAAATGTACGACTATGCTAAATAACGTTAGACTTTTAAAAGAAACCTTCATGAAGCCCTGAACTTAAGTTTTGTGTCAGTGTGTACTCCTGATAATTTTGTTGATTATGATAGCAGTTGGCATGTTTTAGTATCTTACTAAGAGTGTTAGTCTCTTCAACAAAGTTGAGAAGCTTTGTTGTTTAGTCATTCAACATCTTTGATATTGATCTATTTAACAAGATCAGCAGTAACGATTAAGCAAATTCTCATTGGTTATAACTATGTAGTAAGCCAGTGTGAATTTGGATAGAAAACATGAGCCCTTCAGTCAGTCATTTACAACGTAGAACTTCGTACGTACGTACATAAGTTCAGGTGGCCATACCACACTAGCTCAGAGACGCAACTGTAAGTTCAAATCACATAGTAGTAGAGATAGTAAAAGTATTAGCGGTAATGCAGAAGATTAAGGTTCGAAGATATTATTCGAAGTCTGAGAGAGAAGTCGTACTGCTCACAGTAGAGGGGTGTGGCAGCAGTAAGGTGTTCCCCTCGGACAACCAGCATCTGCAGCAATGCTGCCTTCTCACAAGGAAGCAAAGGAAGGGTTTGAAAAGGTCGACCCTAAAAATGTCACACTTCACCCTACCTCCCGGATTTCTGTCTCCCGCGGTAAGACTTTTTAAAAAGAGCTGAGCTAACACTTTACAAATTGAGCCTTTAGTTTATTGCTGTAACTGAAGTTATCAGTCATGGGAATAACTCTATTGGAGGAAATATACGGTAATAAATACATATATAGACACGTATATATAGTATGAAAATCTGAGATGAGTTTCGAAAATGGATGAATAAACTGTAATTTAATTTCTCAATAATATTTTTGCCGCTAGTTGATTTAAAACGATTTAATCCAATTGCTAGAAAACGACAAAATGTTCATCATGGTTTGAAGTGATCACAAATGAGTCAACCTTAATTATCCTACTCTCAGTCGTTTCGACTTCTTTTTCGGGACGTATTTCTAAATAATAAAGAGATTTTTCTTTTCGTGTCTATCAATACATCATTTAACAGGTATTTTTCTGACTTTCTTCTTCTACATTCTATTCTCTAGTCAAAATAAAAGATTACTTAAGGATCTAGAAGATAGTCTATTGCGTGAATTAGCAACAAGTTCCGGAAATATGTTGGATAATGTAGAATTAGTGAATACTTTGGAAGAAACAAAACTAAAAGCAACTGAAGTAACAGAGAAATTAGAAATGGGCGCTAAAACAGCCATTGATATTGATAGACTACGTGATGGTTATCGTCCAGCAGCAAAACGTGGTGCAATTTTATTTTTTGTTTTATCCGATATGTCATCGATTAATTCAATGTATCAATATTCATTAACAGCCTATCTTGATGTTTTTCAAATAACTTTACATAAAAGTATGCCTGATGTGGTTTTAAAGAAACGACTTCAAAATATCATTAATAAACTTACATATAATGTGTATACATATGGATGTACAGGTAAATTTGTGGTTGATTAGTTTAAGAATAAATTTTTTTTTATTAAAAATTATAAAATAACTATTGTCTCATTAATTAATGAAACTGCGCAACGATTTTTGAATGCTGAGTAGTCGAAATCAAGATTTTCCATAAGAGTTGATTATATGTAAGATTATAATTAGCTATCCTCTTGATAAACTATGCTCTTTAAGTGAACTTCATCAATCCAATCGATAATCGAAATATACTACTGTCCACAAGTTAGTAGAACAGATATGAGCTAGTTGATTATTTAAACTAAAAAACCTTCAGTAAATTGCTTCTGTTATTAAAGTAATTTTGAAAATGTTAAATTTGTATTATGATTGAATATTTACTCCCTCAATCAGTCAATAAAACAAGTAATACATGACGCAAAACTTGGCACATATGTGCATCCATTCGAATTGTCATATCCCATTAGTACAACGAGATGAAATTATCAAAGTGTATCCAAGAGCAGTAAAAGTAGTAACAGTATAGGTGGAAACGAAAAATGATTAGATTTAAAATATACGATTGAAGGAAAGGCAGCTTAACGAAATGAAAAAATTTATAAAGTTATTTAGAAACTTATTATCTGAGGGAAAACAAAGAGTGAATTCACATACACCGTTGTGAATCGTTTTGAGCTCTGCTACCTGAAGTCTCCAAGAATTACGTTACAATGATCACGTGGAGTTCAATTAGATAGTCTAAACCTATACCGATATGGCCCACTTAGACAGTTAGTGTCCTCATGGATATGCGAAACTGGACAACACTGATTCAGTATAACACATTCAACGAATAATATAATATTATTTATTACAATTAGAGTTATGAAGATGAGTGTTTTTTACGCATTGACATCATCAATCAATCATTGTTAATCTAGCGTTAGAAATCTGGAAGCACTGGACGACCATTTCGTCCAGGCATGGGAATCATCAGTGGAGTTAAACCCTGTTGGGATGAGGTCGTGCAAAATCTGTTGAATGCTGGCTCAGTGGTTCGGAGGTCAGGCATTCTCATGCAAGGCCAAAGGTCCTGGGTTCGAATACTGCGAGGTACAGGAGTCCTTGGATGCGCACTGCTGATGAGTCCCATACCAGGACGAAACAGCCATCCAGTGCTTCCAGGTTTCTAATGGTGGTTTAACAATGACTGATTGATGATTTCAGTGAGTAATATAATATTAGTTATCTCTATTATTTGATTTATGTTGAATGAAATCAGCGAAAGAAACCTATGGTATCTCACTGAAAAAGGAAGCAAGCAATTCAATGGAATTGTTTTAATTTTAAAATTGTTTCATGAATCGAAAATCTTAACTCTCACATACACACACACACACGCATACCATACATGGTCACTGTTGTTAGCATAAATCATATAATAATAATAATATTAAAAAGTTTATTGATAATTATTTATAAAACTTTTTTAAATAGTTATATGAATTGTATAATATTGACTAGTATACTAACAAACTTTCTATATAATTTGGTCATATTTTCAAATTGATAGTAATTAAATCATTAATGAAATCAATTAGTAATGATGAGTATACATACATTCACTGCTAATCGATATAATCTCTTGTTAAAATGTCTGATATTTAGTGTTTTTTTACTTAAATTATTTCATCAAAGTATCATGTAGTTCTTTTAAGCGATAAAATAAACTTTTCAGGGTTTAATTTAGTTTCTTTGAGAATAAAACTCCTGATTTTTTTTCTTATTGAATAATTTAAAATCTATAAGAGTAGATCTGAATTGTAGACATGAATAATCAGTTATCGGTTTATTTCAAGCAATAAAAATCGATTTTTTTATACGATGTGATTATCATCAAGAGAAATGACTATTGGAAATATTAAACGGTAATTTTTTGCCTGATACCAGCGTATTTTAAGGATTATATGTTTTCTTTGGCTAGCAGTTTGATCCAGAGCATGCATTTCATCCAATGTGGAATTCTTCGTCTGTAGGGACTTGGATTACAGTGGTGATGTTCAGTTGGAAGGCTCTAATACCAAAAACTATAAAGCACAAACCCTTGATCAAATTAATAATTATCTAAACTCATTGGATAATGCTTTATAATTAGAGTTTAAATGTTTTGGTTTAAAGTCTCCATTTAAAAATATCAACACCAGGCTACCTTCATGTCAAGATAGATTGAACAGTTATGGGCCTGAAGAGGAACGACTGGAAAAATTGAGCATTTGTTTTTACAAAGGTTTCTTTTTGTATAAGAGTGATATGCGTAATTTAATTAGAAGCTGCATTTTGCATTGTAAAAATGTAACTTAATACTTCGACATAGGATAATGACCTAAGTTTCCGATAGCCACTGAAATATGTCCTATTGAAGACTTAAATAATTAACCGGAGAACTTGTATTCATGTTACGCATGCACGTAAACACGTCAATTTGATATGCCTGAATTATTACGAGTTTACCTTAGTCGGGAAACGAGAGCGAGGATCGAGAATCCGGCGACACGACAGGCTACTCTAATCCGATTGTCTCAACCTCCATTGAGTGAAAGAAGAAGACTTGATATGACGTACAACCTGTATTCTAAAAGCATTCAGAAAGCACGAGGTCCGAGTCCAGAAAAGAATTCGAATCCCGGGCGAAGGATCTGGGTCCGGGTCCGGTCATAAAGTGTTACAGATAATGCGTATTTATACATTTAGGTCGATTAGGAAACAGTATCGCAGTCTGTGACATTGACAGTTAAGGCGACCAATAGGGAAAAACATTTGAAGTGATATTGATAATCAGAACGACCATAAAATTGACCAGTAGGAATTAACCAATAGGAATTGACCAATGGTTGTCTCAGGATATTGGATGAATAACCTAACAATTCAAAGAAACACCAAATTTCAATTGAAACTATTCTATTAATCTGTCGTTATGTATATGACCTTATACTAGTACTAATACGTGTGAACAATTCTATTAACCCTGATATGATCTTGTGTCATACATAAATACTAATTTAATTTGAAATAAAGTGAATGAAATGTTGACAAATTAAACAAAAAAAACTCTTGTTTTATTTAATGATTCATTGAAATTTGATTTTTTTCTCAAAACTTTATTTTGATCAAAATTCAATATAGGTATTTTTGAAAAACACAAACTCTTATTCAGTTTTCAAATAACTAGCAAATTAGAAATGAATTTAGGTAATTTAACAACAGAAGAAATGGATTTCTTTATTAAAGGAAATGTTTCTATTGAAAAAACAAAAACAGTGAATCCATTGCCTGATTGGTTACCTGATTCTAGTTGGAAAGATCTTAGTCGATTAATTGAACAATTCCCTGAATATTATGGTTCATTAACTGATGATTTAGTGAGATTAAATGAACAATGGAAAAGTGTAAGATTTCTTTTTTTTTAAATCGTGTTTTGAGATTTTATATAAGAATTTTCTAGTGGTGGTGTTTTGTTCTCTGAGCTGGTTGTTTTGGTTGTGGAGCTTTGATTGTTCATCTTCTGAACAATAACATCATCAGCACAAACTTCTTCAGATAGAAGTGAAACATTTGAATTTCTTGACGTTTGACCTGTAGTTTGTTCTGCTAACCTCGATCTTGATTGGTTGTTGTTGACCTTAAACCTGTCGTTGTTTGCACCTTTGATTGTACAAATTTTCTCCACCATCTCATAATTTTCTAGGTTTATTTGTTATCTTATATTTTTCATTTAAAATGTGTTTATCTTTTGGACTGTTTGACATAAACTTAGTGTTAAGGATGTAACCAAATGAATTAAGTAGTTTGTGTGTGCATTTTTTTCAAGGTATTCTGCAAATCTCACCTTTAGATAAAAGCTTTCATAGAAACTCACAGTTTATTGTTCAGCGTGCTAACTCATTACGAATAATATCCATTAGGTTTAGCGTAAAACTATAACATCTGAAATCAATTAAGCTGTTAATTATGACGCGGGGATACTCAGTGTGGAATAACAAAACAAACAAACTCCGATCATTTCAATTTAACGTAATGAATGTTTCAAGACTATTAAGAAACTCAACAGTTAGTTCATTGATGGATTCTAATAAGTGTTATTACTGAGCAATACCCAGCATATACTGAATAACTAACTATATGTTGAATAGTAGCCGGTAATCAAAATGTCTTATAATATCAAATGATTCTCGCTACACGGTGATTTAATTGATTTCTGATATAATACTGAAAAGAATTTAATTAAAAATAATCAAAACAATTCAGTTAGCATGAATGCAGAAACATGTTACATTTTTATTACCGTGCATTATAAAATTACACTACTATAATATAAAGATTTGATTTTGAAATCAGTAAACATGTTATGAACTTTAGATTATTTATAGTTGAATTTTTCTCCAGCTGATTTCAGTTTGTAAGGAGAATTTCAAAAAACATCACTGAATTTAAACGAAGATCTCTATTTGTGTAAAGACAGTCGTAAAATTGTTCGAATTGCGTGATATTTTAATGAATAAAAAGATTACGTTGTGTATTATCAAAGTGTAATTCAACTATCTATATTTTTTCAATTCGAGTTATGGAGATTAGTGTTTTTACACATTGAAATCACCAATCAGTCATTGTTAAACCACAATTGGAAACCTGAAAGTACTGGATGGTCGTCCCGTCCTGGCAGGGGACTCATCAGTGCACATCCACGAACCCGGGAACTTCGCTCTTGCGCGCGAACGCCTAACCTATGGACCACAGAGCCGGCATCCGACGGTGTTAATGTCTAACTCTGATCAATTTGGAGATTTTGCAAGACTTCACCCACTTGTTTTTGGTAGTTACTGCCTACACCCAACAGGGTGACAGGACGCAAGAACGAAGGTTCTGGGTTTGAATCCTACAAGGTGCAGGAGTCGCGGATGCGCACGGCTGATGAGTCCCATACCAGGACGAAACAGCCATCCAGTGCTTTCAAGTTTCTAATGCTGGTCTAACAATGATTGATTGATGATTTCAATATCTATATATTACAGAAATAATTGAAATGAAGGTTTAATCCTATTAACCTATCTTTATTCTATTTTAACTATTCTCTAGTGGTATGAATCAGACAATCCAGAGAGTTTACCAATTCCAGGAAATTATGAAGAACAATTGAGTAAATTTCAACGACTTTGTCTACTTCGATGTTTTCGTGTAGATCGAATTTATCGTGCTATTACATTATATGTTGCTGAAATAATGGGTGAAGATTATGTTAGTCCACCAATAATGAGTTTTACAACAATTTATGAACAAAGTACAGCTAGATCACCAATTGCATTCATTCTTAGTCCTGGCTCAGATCCAACAGCGGATTTAATTAAATTTGCTGAAAGACAAAATTTCGATAGAAATCGTATTAAATTTTTATCTATGGGTCAAGGTCAAGAGAAAAATGCTCAAGATCTACTTGAATCATGTATTGCACATGGAAATTGGTTAATGTTACAAAATTGTCATTTATTAGTAAAATGGTTAACAATTTTAGAGAAATATCTTGAAAAATTATCAAAACCACATCCAGATTTTCGTTTATGGTTAACTACTGAACCATGTGATGCATTTCCAATAGGAATATTACAACGTTCATTGAAAGTAGTCACTGAACCACCAAATGGTTTAAAATTAAATTTACGTGCAACTTATCATAAAATATCCCCATCATCATTGACTGAATGTACACATCCAGTATTTGCATCATTAGTCTACACTTTAGCATTTTTTCATGCTGTTGTACAAGAACGTAGAAAATTTGGTAAAATTGGTTGGAATATTAATTATGATTTTAATGAATCAGATTTTCGTGTATGTATGCAAATATTGGCAACATATTTACAAAAATCAATTGATGAAAATGAAGTGAAAATTCCATGGGATAGTTTAAAATATTTAATTGGTGAAGTAATGTATGGTGGACGAGCTATTGATGAATTTGATAGACGTATTTTAAGAACATATATGGATGAATATTTTGGTGATTTTATATTTGATACTTTTCAACCATTTAACTTTTATGCATGTGAAAGTTTTGAATATTCTATTCCAGAAGGAAGTTCACGTGATGATTTTAGTCGTAAGTTTTATAGAATTTATTTTTCTAATCGTTGATATTGTAGTGTTAAATATAAAAAAAGATAATTCGTGCCACAAAGATTATTGAGATCATGAATCGATTACTGTTAAACCACCATTAGAAACCTGGAAACACTCGATGGCCATTTCGTCCTGGCATGGGACTCATCAGCAGTTCGCATCCATGATTCCTGCACCTCAAAGAATTCGAACCCAGGACTTTCGGTCCCGCGAGCAGGATTCATAGATGCGCACTTCTGCCGAGTCCCATGCCAGGACGGGACGACCGTCTAATGCTACCAGGTTTCTAATGATGGTCTAACATTGATCATCGATTCATGATTTCAATAAGTAACTCAACAATCTCCACAACCTACAAAGATTATTGTTGTTTTATGAGTTCGATTTAATGACTAATATACATTTATTATTACTTTCCTGGGCTACTTTACTTTATGCTGAAAATAATCTATTGTCTTAACAGAGTTTCATGCTAATTACTTATTGTCTTTGGGTTACTCTTTTATAAACATGTATTCATTGCAATACACTTTTTCGAGTTTATATCTGCTTCAGTAGACTAATTACGGAAGATAATTGTGTGTATTTACACACCCACGATAAAGTGTACAACATAACTACTACGAAATGAAACAACAACCACCAATGTGCTTGGTATAGTTTCCTCCTCTTCTATCCTAAAGAGAAATGAAACAACATTACGTGTATCAAATATATTTGATGATCTTAAGTAATGTCATATGGATGAAACTGTTCGTAAACCATTTGTAAATTAAAGTGAACAGCTGCTAATCACTGTTAAAAATCTTTTCACGCAACGATTCTGTATATTTCCTTATTTTCTACTGTTATCAATTGTTTAGTGTTGATTAAAGCGAATAATATTATTTCCAGTTAAAGTTTTGGAGATTTGTGTTTTTTACACATTTGAAATCATCAATCAATCATTGTTAGACCACCATTAGAAACCTCGAAGCACTGGACGGCCGTTTCGTCCTGGTATGGGACTGATCAGTGGCAGTGCGCATCCATGACTCTTGCACCTCGCAGGATTCGAACCTGGGACCTTCGGTATTGTGAGCGAACGCCTAACCATCGGACCACTGGGCCGGCATCTAACGGCGTTATTGTCTAACTCTGATTAATCTAGGGATTTTGCACGACCTCACCCATTTGTCTTTGGTAGTTACTGCCTACATCCAACAGGGTTGGACTCCATTGGTCACGTCTTCTCAACTAGAACTCCGAGAATATTTCCTCACAAAGCTAGTCACTAGTGAGCATACGTTATTATTTAAACGTTTCACTCATGATCTTTAAGATGGATGTTACAGGCATGAAACTCACTAATTAATATCAATAGAACTGTTCCTATATCTTATCGTATTATAATTTTCTCAATCCAGGTTATATTGAATCACTTCCGCTAACTAATACACCTGAAGTGTTTGGTCTTCATGCAAACGCTGAAATTGGTTATTATACAAATGCAGCGAAAGAAATTTGGAGTCATCTATTGGAATTACAACCACAAACAAGTGGTCAAACAAGTTCAACTAATCGTGAAGAATTTATTTCACAAATAACCGAAGGTTTATTAACTAGTCTACCACAAATATTTGATAGAGAAGCTTTAAGAAAGAGATTAGGTGTGAATATACAACCGATTACAGTTGTTTTATTACAGGTGAGTAAATAAATAGGTTTAAAAATGAAATTTTTGTGATGTGGGCAATATTATAATGAAGTGTGAATTTCAACATTTAAGTTAAACAACCATCTTACTTCTTTTAATTATCAATAATTCTATAACTTACTATTCATATAATGTTCTCTATGTATTAATACATGTTTTGTACTGATAGGAAGACTTTTTTTTAGTTCGAACATTTACCTGTTAAGTCAACTATAAATCGAAATATTTCCACATGAAGATAATTAATGTTAATTACGGACTAATTGTCACATTCACTTAATTTATTATTGATACGCCAAGTAAAACTAAACAGAACTGATGATGTCCAGCGGCTTCAAGAATGTCAAATGAGCAAAGTATGGTAAATACGTGAATAATTCACTACTCGACTACCTCTGTCTGAATGAAAATGGTCCTTACTTACGCCTGTTACCTCCTCCCCCCTATGGAGCATAGGCCGCCCACCAGTTTTCTTCAACCCACTCTGTCCTGGGCTTCCCTTTCTAGTTCTTTCCAGTTTTTGTTCATTCTTCTCATGTCTTTCTCTATTTCTCGGCCTATTGTGTTCCTTGACCTTTCTCTTTTCCTTTTACCTTGAAGGTTCCATGTGAGGGCTTGTCTTGTGACGCAGTCCGGTGCTTTTCGTGGTGTGTGTCCTATCAGCTTCCACCGCTTCTTCCTACATAAGTAGAAATGGTTTATAAGTACTTTATTCATATCTACTGTAAATCTCGAATTTTATCATAGCCCAGTTGCTTTGCTTAAGTAGTATAATTGTTCTTGGTAGTTTACTGAAGCGAGCGATTATAATAAGTATATGGATTAAGTTTTCATTGGTGAAATATCAATGGCTATTAAAATTTCCACACAGTTTGAATAAATCAGCACTTTTCAACAAATTCCCATTCGGTATTATAGATTTCAAGGTTCAACATGATTATGTGAAGTGCCATTTGAGTGAATATTTAAATAACTCAGCTAAATTTAGGGTTTACAACCACAAAATAACAAATGTAGTGCCCTATAAATAATTTTTGGCAGTAAAACATGTTAAGTATACTCACTGTAGTTTTTGTAGCTATGAAAATGGGAACGAAATAATGTGACTAGTAGAAGTACTTGCCTTCTCGATGCATATATTTCCGTATATACTCGGTCATTATCATCATCTTTTTCCCTTCAAAATGTACCTTGCCTTAAGAAAGTTAAACAAACAGTGAATTACACTTATTTTCTATTGGACAGTCTGTTTATGTATATTAGCAAAAATATAGTGATCTAATGCTCTACAGAATAATTAGGACTTGGCACCATTCAGTGATGTGATGTACACTGTCTTTTGTAGAAGTCTTTCATCATCATCTTGCTGAGTTTTGTTATGATTATACTTTAGACTGTAGGATCTTGATAATGAGTTATTCACCTTCAAAGTCTTCGTATTGAATCTTGAAGTATTATCAATAAAGCATTCTTGTACTTCCTAATGAATTTATTTGTTCTGCATTTATTTTAATTCTAGGAACTAGAGAGGTTTAACTTACTCATAAAACGTATGGATCGAAGCCTTAGAACATTGAAACGTGCATTGAAAGGAGAAGTTGGTATGTCAGCTGAACTTGATAATGTTTCACGTTCATTATTTAATGGTCAATTGCCAACTATATGGCAACGTTTGGCTCCATCAACTAAAAAATCATTAGGCAATTGGATGGTACACTTTCATGATCGTCATAAACAATACACTACTTGGGTAAATTTATAAAATATATGTTCATGAAATAATGCTACATGTTTTGTTATTAACCTATTTGGGTTTCTTCTTTTAATACTAGATTTTCAGGTTTATGGTAAACATTTATTTCCAATACAATATGTATAAAAAAAACATTTCAAGACGACGGAAAATATGTCTTTGGTTGTGTTACACTCAAATAGGTCTAGGGCATAAATTTGATTAGGAAAATATAAACGATGAAATTCAAAGAGTGCTAGAGAATTTCTCATGGTGTGATACATGCTATCCACGCAAAATTGTATATTAGAATAGCACTATATCCAAATAGATTTGCAGTCATCTCTTACTTATCCAACATGTAGCAGCTGACTTATCAAACTGTACAGAAGAAGTTAATGAATCATGCTATCTAATAACTTAACCTGACAAGATGGACGTATAAAGACAAATGAAGTTATCAAAACCTACGAAGATAACCTAACACTGACATTTTCATCATATCAAGCTAATTTGGCATTTGTGAACAAACTAAACACCCTTGATGATATTCCAAACTAATATGAAAGATTCCAAATCAATAAGCCCCAGCTCAGAAAACGCAGCTTGTTAAATTGTATTTTTTCTTTGTAGAAGTTCCATTAAATTTTCATAGACTGTTAAGATATAATTTACTCTAGTTTCGTAAATCAAGTTTACATGAACAAATGAACTGTGAAATATTTACTCTTGTTTTTTATAATACTGAAAATTCGATTATAAACATGAGGTGTGAATACTTTATTTTAATGCACTTTTGTGTAGTGACTTGGATTAATTTGGATGAAATAAAAGACGCTACGTTCAATAATCTGTTTGTATATATGTATAAATCAGAATAAGAGTGAATACGGACATGAAGTAAAAAAAAAGGATCATACAAATTAAATAGATATTTTGAAATCAATAATAGTTTGTACAGTCGATTCTTGATTTTATGAACTTATCAATTAGATAACTAACCAAAAAGTGTAACCAGAAGCGAATGTATCTGACAATCTCAAACATTCATTTCCAGTCACTGCATTTGAAGGTAATATCTTTCACTGTTAAAAGGATTTTAAGCCTGATAACCTTTTTGCTGGTGTTTCTGGATTCGTAGATAGTAGGAAACTACTAAACAACACTATCTTTATAATATTTTAAATAATACTGACTATTATGTATCTATTTATAAATTTCGTTATAAATCTACTACTAATCTCCTCTGTAAGGTGGAAACGTGTTGTAACGCTTGCTTAAGATAATTCCCGGCTAAATCCTATTGCTTAGTATTCTTTGACACAAAACATTGGACAAGTCCCCCAAAATCAAAACACGGTTGAACAGGAAAGATTATATTCCAAAATAGCAAGGAATAAGAAGCCGGAGGTGATGGCGAAAGCCAAGGCAAAGAATAAATACAACGCTAGTTTATTTATAGCCTTTACATGAGAAAGCTTCTGGAAGAAAATTCACGTGATCGACTGGATTGGATTTGACCAATCAGCATGCAGCTAATAACACGAGAATTTTCTATCCTGTTCTCCAAGCTTCGATCAGGCGCTGATTGGATAGGAATTTAGCCAATCAGCGCGCAGCAACGTAGTCGTGCTTTGATTCTATGTCCCACTAACTATAAATACTCAGGACGTATGCTACATTCTTGATCTACAGGAACAGTTTAACCTTTAAAACTAACCGGAAGTAGCCGATCTAGACAATGTTGATACTTCCCAAACTTTGTACCCCCAATACGAACAAGTAGCCAACATATATACTCATTAAAATATCAAATATGAACCTGTCAGAAAATCGCTTATGGATCAGTATTTCGATTGCAGTGATTTTTTAAAAAGAAACACAACAAATCCTTCTTGAAATGAATACATATTTGTGACATTATTATCTGATCCAAACTTCATAGATATTTCCAAGATTATATTTATTTAGTGTGAGTGAACATGGAACCAGTCCATGAATTCATTGACTATTGGACCTTGGTCCGGGTCCGCTAAACAATCATAACCGGTGATTAGAGACTTTGAATGACATAGGTCATAATCGTTTGCAATGACGCAGATGCATCCGTTCCTTGTCCTCTAATCTCATTAGTTCCTCATGACCTATTTCCTCTTTTTAAGTTTATTTCATTGGAATATACTTTTCCAGTAATATCCTTGATCCTTAATCTTTTGCATGACCAATAATACTGTTACTTTCTCTACTAGTATGGGGTTCGAACTGATATATTCATCTCACTGTGCCAATGTATTATGGTAACTTGAACTAATGTACATACGTATCAAGTTGTACTTTGTAAATGACTGTAAAAGCTCTTGGTTATTGTAATTTTGACTTTAATATGAAAATATGAACATTATATTACTCGATTGTGAATTGAAACTACTTTTCGTTCACTTCGACAAAACTTCACTGTCTATGATATTTTTGGTGATCTTATCTCACAAAAGGTATAGATAGTTATCATGGATTACCTAATATATTGATTTGTATAGGAAGCCAAAAAACCAGTAGGAATTAAAAGTTGGATAACAAAATATATACATTTATATTGTTTGGCTTAATGTACGTTTTTTTAATAAAAGAATTTTATTAGTAAATTTACTATCGATAAATAATAGGTAACCTAGATAGAATATAACAGTCAGTTTAATATAAATCTACACAAGTAAATGATATCTAAAATCCTAAATTCGTTTATACATTTTAGCCTAAAGTTAACTTGCCTTTTAGGCTACTAATTAAGGATTTAAAACTGCGAAATCTGAGGAGAATTAATTTAAAGACAATATGATTCATTCATTTTTGCGTATTTTAAGATAATGGAAATTTTTAGACAGTTAAGATTAAATAAGTTGATAAACTTCACAACAGTATTTTTACTGTAGTACAAGCTGCTAGAACGAAAATTCATCATATTGTTAGATTGAAATTCTGAATTATTGATATGTTTGTGGACATATTACAAACTTCTAATAAAAAGGTTAGTTTATTACACTATATCATCAAAAGACTAGAAACTACTCAAAAATTAAAATAAATTTAATTTACAAGTGAAGATTTAGTCATCCTAAATCCGTTGAAATTCAATAAGTTCTTCATTATATGGTTCTGGAGATCGTTCAGCTTCATCGAATTCATGAATCGATCAATGTTCGACCACTATTAGAAACCTGGACGTACTGAAAGGCCATTTCGTCCTCTTATGGCACTCATCCACCGAACATATGCATGAAACATAACATTTACCAAGTGCCGACTTGTGGCTATCTTTATGAAGAAATTCTAGTGAGGAGTCGTGAAGAGTGGAGTTTAACCCAGTCGAGTGTGAAGCAGTTACCTGTCAAAGACAACAGATGAGGTTGCGCAATGTCGTGGATTGATTGTAGTCAGGCATTAACACTGTTGGATGCCGGCTGTGTGGTTTAGAGGTTAAGCTTTAGAGAGCGAGACCGAACGTCCAGGATCCGATTCACGTGAGTATGGTTCATGGATCGGCATTGCTGCTGAGTCGCCTACTAGGATAAAACGTCTGTCCAGTGCTTCCTGGTTCCTAATTGGGTCTAACAATTATCGATTCATTATTTCAATAAATAAGTATTTTGTCTTTCCATGTAAAATTCTTTATAGATAATATATTAGTTCAGACTATTCACATCATAGCTTTTATTTTACTTTTTATGCAGATTGAAAAAGGTGATCCAAGTGTCATTTGGTTATCAGGTCTGCATATTCCTGAATCGTTTCTGATGGCTCTAACTCAAACAACATGTCGTCGTAACGGATGGCCATTAGACAAAAGTGCACTATTTACAACAGTAACTCAATATACAGACTCTTCTGAAATACAGGAACGAGCACATCAAGGATGTTTTGTTGAAGGACTGTATTTAGAAGGTGCAAGCTGGGATTTAGCTAACAGTTGTCTGCAACGTCAAAAATCAAGACAATTAGTTCAACCGTTGCCAATTCTTAAAATCAGTGTCATTGAAGCACATTGTCTAAAGTTGCAAAACACATTTTGTACTCCAGTTTACATTACTTCAGAAAGACGAAATGCAATGGGTGTTGGATTAGTTTTTGAAGCCCATTTAAAAAGTGAAATTCATCCTAGTCATTGGGTGTTACAAGGTGTATGTCTTACTCTAAACACTGATTAGCCATCATGTCTTCTTAGTGACTCTTGTGGACAGGATATTTTTTACTGAATTTGGCTTGTTTTTTTAAATTTCTCTAACAAGCCAATATTTTGTAGATATTTCAAAATAAATAATTTAATTTTGGATTTGTCGAATTTCTAATGATAATTTGAGAAGTACACCATCTTATTCATGTTTTAATCACAGTGCTAATCAACTTACTGACATATTTTATTTGTTTTCGATCGTATCGTCAAACTTACAATTTAACCAAAATTTGACCACACGAACGGAGATATCAAAAGCAGACAAGGCGGAATCTTATTCATTACAAGTGGAAATATTGTTCGAAACAGGCAAGGTACATAGTGACACAGAAGCACACTAGAAAAAATGATTAGTGTACGGACACATACAAAAGCACACATAAGATGCATTGGTGTGGGATTACAGGGATATGGATATAAGAGGTAGATGAAATAAGGATTATAATTTACTATGCAAAGAATAGCTATTAGGAAAGATCGAACGACACAGTAGTTACACTGTTGGAGTATTTGGGGCTGTGCAAACACACTGTACATCACGCAGGTGTATGGTAGCATAGAAGCTTCTGCAAACCATCTTAGGTTCACTACTATTCCGATGTTAATAGTGTATTTATGACATAAAAGTCATTGTACCAATAGACTATCATCTTAATCCGCAACAGAAGTAGTAGTAATCTAATTTGTAACTGGCATGGATGTTCAGAAAATAAAGGTTGAACCAGAGTTTGATCTCATTTAATTATTCAGATGGATCGAAATCGGTAGTCAATAAGAGTTAGCTAGTTTTGACACTGTTTACCGTTACACTAGCAAAAAATTCAGGGCTATAAGTTAATATTTACTGTTACATAAGGAAGATTGTGAACGTCAAATATTTTTCTGTTTTATGGCAACTTCTAGTAGCGTTTGACCGCCTAAAAAGCGTTATCTGAGCTCTTCCAGCCTTATGTGAACTCTCTGATTTGTCGCTAACAATGAGAAATATCCAGTTTTAATTATCAGATTAGAATATTTAGCCACTTCCGAGAACGCAAGTTGCGTCTACCTTTACTCGCAATCGTTACCATGATTAAAAACATGAAGAAAACAATCATAGCAAGGTTGCAGTGCTGTGTAGTGGATCTATTTGTCACAATCAACTGCTGTCCTCCTGGTTGCTGTAAATACACCATACAAACTATTCATTAACGTGCAAACACGCAACTAGTGGAAAAGTTACCGGATCCGTGCGAAGCTGTTTGCTTAAACGGTAAGAGAAAAAGAACTATGTGTAAAAAACATTCCAAACCACCGGCATAGCGGTTAACGTGAGAGAAAGGATACAATAGCTGTAATTGTATAGCGTGCCAGTTGCCGCTTAAAATTATCAGCTTAGTGACCTTGATTATTATTATCCTGGTACTACGGGTTAATGTTAAGTCGATCGTGCCCGTGGTTATGGAATGTATTTTCAGATTGCAGAAAAATAAATTAATGGAAACAGCAAAAAAAAAACTTTCATTACAGCAGCCAGGTCCTAGTGTATACGGCAGTTTTCGTAAAGCTAAAAAGACAGAATTCGATGCAGAAAGGACAAACCAGAAACGGCCGTTACCGAAACGTAGGGGTAAGTAGAGGGCGGTGAAACGCATTTACTTTCGGTTGCATCTGCAGATTGTGTTGGTAAGTGAAACAGCTGTTTCTAGACTTCGCAAATGATGATGTGAGCATGCAGGTCATGATAATTCTTCCGATGTGTTAGGGTTCAAAATACAGGACATAGAGTGTCAGTATATTAACAACCACTTCAGAGTTATATGAGATAACGACTAGAAACTCTTAAAACTAGATTACTTGCTAGCTACTAATCAACTTCTTGCATGTACATAACATCACTGAGGAGTAGTGACTGTAGAATCCTTTTTGAATGTTTTGTTTTTTGGAAAATCCCTCCATGTTTACATATTTTTGTTATGACATGACGGACTCTTTCTGTTGACATTTTTGGTATTTTATTTGATTCCAATTTGAGAATTTATCATTGTATATTGTTATTATTTCCATATTTTGTACTTATATTGAAGTTTTTTTGTTTGCTTCTGATCTGTATATATGTTGTTTAAATTTGATCTTTAATATGGCTACAGCCATATTTGGATTGATACGGTAGCTGTTGGACTTAACGTCACTTATTTATTTCTGTTTCGGATACTCTTCGGAGTAATTGTAACCTGGAAGGTGCATCAATTCCAGGTACTGCTTTGTATTTCCATCTTTTTATTAATAAAGACCGTTTTCTCCTAGGATTTTTGCTTTTTCTGGACCTTGAATTGGGAGATACGCGTTCGGAGTGCACTTATTGGAACCCATTGGAACTGCCACCGTAGAAATCCATTTACAGTCTGGAATTGTGTCTCGACCTTTGATTAGAAGACCAATTACAGTCGGATTATTAAGAATAATAAAGAAACATTTGGAAATTTAATCGTTTATAACACTATCTTTCTTGAAAGAAGAATCTTGGATTACTTATCGTATTTTTGTATTCGAACTGTATTTTGGAAGACGATTTTATGATTTTGGATAATTTATACCTTTGGAATTCCTATATTTTGTATTTGTTATTTATCTTCCGTTGAACTTCACTTATAATGACCAATCGCAAGAAAACAAACACGAGGAGGGTGGAAGAGCTTGACGTATCCCGAAATGCTAGGCAAGTCGTTAATGATGATTGTTTAATGGGTTCCTACTATGTTAATAATGATGTTATGTCTGATACTTATTATTGTAAGTCACCTTTGGCAGGCATTAAGGAACCAGGATTAAGTGAGAGTTCTAAGGTACCAGAGACGGATCAGATGCTTAGGACACCGATAGTAGGCTTAGAACTACCTAAGGTTGAACTTTCATTTTTTGATGGAAAATCTCGCGACTACTTTAGATTTATGCGCCAAATCGAAACATTTACAGAACCAAGAGTAAAAGATGAAAATCTGCATTATTATTGTATTTAATTCACTATTGTAAAGGAAGGGCAAAAAATGCGATTGAAGGTTGTATATAATGGATCCACAAGCGGGATATAAGAGAGCTAAGGCCATCTTAAAACAGCTCTTTGGACAGTCGCATGTAATAGCCCGGGAAACCTTAGAGGACTTATTTAGAACCGGGAACGCAGATTTTAATGATCCTGAGGAATTGACGAATTTGGCTATTAAAATGCAGAATGCTGCTTTAACTTTAGAACAGCTAAATTGTACAACGGAACTTCATTCCCTGATTACTTTAGAACGAATAGTCAGGCTCTTACCTCGTCGAATGCAAGCCCAGTGGGCAGAGATGGGAATCAAGTGGGACGAAGAGGAGAGAGAGCCTAATTTCAATGATTTGACGGAATTTATTATGTCTCGCGCTAAGATAGCTAGTAGTAGGTTCGGAAGATTAGCTTATCGGGCTAAAACAGGACATAATACGGAAGCTACTAGTGATCTGCGTGTGAGACATGAGGATTTTTCGTTTCTACCTAACGCACGCCCGGAATATAAGAGAGTTGTCAATTATATCGCGTTAAAAGCTGTTGAAGGACGAGTATGTGACCGTGACGATGTAAAACCTCTTGATGCGTATCCCAGTAAGAAGCCGGTTGGTGTAACAGATAAGATGGCTTTTCTAAGTATGGAAAAGAAAGAAAAAGGTGAAAAGTGTAGGCATCAAGATGGATCCGAAGTGTGTGATGATAAAAGCCTCTTAGCTGCTCGAAAAGCCTGGGACGGTTATTTGGATTCGAGTAAACAGAGGTTAATGAGTTCAGTAAATATGAATAAGGCCCAGGCAGGATTGTCTGAACGGAATAAAGCCTATTTTCGGAACCCTTCAGTTAGGGTAAATTATATAACTGGACCTAGAGTAGATTCTATGATAAGTGATGGCGGTACTGTAAAGGCTAAGAAGCCTAGGAAACAACATGATGCTACTATTATTAAGAAGCCTAAACATCATTCTCTTTCGGATGCTATGACTAGCAATGGAAATAGTAGTCATCAGAGTCTTAGTAGTGACAGCGATAGTAAAGAATCAGAAAGGGTGAGCAGTCCACCTATAGTGACTAGTCTATCAACTTCATCCAATGAGCCTTCTAGTGTTTCGACGTCATCGGACCTTGTCACGAATGTTAAGTTGATTGAAGATGCACAAGGTTGTGCAACTGTAACTGTTCCTATTCCGGTTTACTGTCAGTCGAGTGATGATGAGAAGGAAGTGTCTGATGGTAACAACCAATCTACAGTGTTGCATGATAATGATGCTATTGATGAGCATATGTCGTGTGTCTCTGAAACGGAACATGAAGAACAACAAGTGAGTTTATCGGCTTTGGATTGTGACACTAATGCTGTTCTTTCATGTAGCGAGATGAGTTATACCACAATGGAAGAGTCTCAATCTACGGATGCTAGTGCAGACCGAATCGACGCAACTTGTCTGACAGAACGGAATCATGATGACGTTGATAATAATCTGGATGTCACTGATGTGACAAATGAGTTACCGACGATGACGAATGCTGATCAAACCTCCTCTGTATCAGGAGATGGAGAGATAAATATTGATCCCACGTTATGCTACTTAAAGTCTTCTGGAGACGATGAAATGTCGAAATTGGAGATCCCACCCTTGCATATTATCTATGGGTCAAGAACTTCTGTTGATAAGTCAGAATCACGGACTTCATGGTATCTGCTGATCGGAGCAAGTGGTGGTGGATTGACGACTCATCCCCATGATATGGAATGTAGTTCCCGGATAGGATATGACCAGTTTTACGACGTGTTGTACATGTTCGTGTGGGTTAATTGGGTAAGGTTTATACTACCGTTAGGTCATGCTACGATAGATAGGGGAATCAAGGGCCTGATGGGAAGGTATAGGTACCTAGTTAGCTTGATAGGTCATATCCATGTCGGATGGCGGGTAGGCGTACTGCTGTAAGTCCTACACGTTCTTCCGGTGTGGATTAGGGGATGAGTGGGAACCCTAAACAGAAGTGTCATTAACGCCTGCTCTTTTTGCATGGAGGGATTTTGCGGGCCGGTGTAGAATCCTTTTTGAATGCTTCGTGTTTTGGAAAATCCCTCCATGTTTACATATTTTTGTTATGACATGACGGACTCTTTCTGTTGACATTTTTGGTATTTTATTTGATTCCAATTTGAGAATTTATCATTGTATATTGTTATTATTTCCATATTTTGTACTTATATTGAAGTTTTTTTGTTTGCTTCTGATCTGTATATATGTTGTTTAAATTTGATCTTTAATATGGCTACAGCCATATTTGGATTGATACGGTAGCTGTTGGACTTAACGTCACTTATTTATTTCTGTTTCGGATACTCTTCGGAGTAATTGTAACCTGGAAGGTGCATCAATTCCAGGTACTGCTTTGTATTTCCATCTTTTTATTAATAAAGACCGTTTTCTCCTAGGATTTTTGCTTTTTCTGGACCTTGAATTGGGAGATACGCGTTCGGAGTGCACTTATTGGAACCCATTGGAACTGCCACCGTAGAAATCCATTTACAGTGACCATAGCACAGTCATATTTATTGTGGTCATAAAGAAGATACTTGAGAGGAACGAGAACTTTATCTATCTTGAAGGAGTATCTTCAAAAGAGCACTGAGCACTGACATTGGATGACCACTGGAGAATAGTGGGGAATATCATACTCCTTACTGTCCATCCATACAATGCACCTAAGGGAAAAACATACATCTGGGGGGAGAAAACCGAAGTTGCTGCTACATTTTCTTTGATCTCCAAGGGTAAAAATGAAGAGGAACGAGCTGATAAATCTATTAATACTAAAGCATCCGTACGGTATCCTCCTCACTTTCCGGAACTTTTCCATACAATACCGCACGTTATTCATAAAAATAAGGCTGGGAAGATGAGTTTCACTGGCCCACTTCTATTTTGATTTCCAGAACACAGGTAAGTGTTTAGTTAAAAGATAAACAGAATGCACGGGAGTTGGAGGTTGTCAACACCGAGAGTCCAACAGGAGACAATCCTAGGTCGACTTTTCTTCCTAACTTATACTAATGACTTCTTAGATGGAAAATGGCTCGGGAGTAACAAAGTGCAACCAGTTTGCTTCAGCCGTAAAAATATCTTACAACAGTACATAAATAAGCAGTACGTAAACAACGCCAGTAGATTCGTCACTTCATTAACATTCTGCTTAATGAGACACAGTGATCTCACGACCATTATGGAAATCCGCTCTAGACTACCTCTATGGAACTTGACCTCACGATAGTAATCATATGGAGCTTAGAAACTGGCCAAAACTGCATGAAAGGCGGATCTACCTAAAGGCATCTCTTCACTTTACGAGACGACTTGGAGCAATCACCTCAGAAATGCTTCTAACACTCCTTTAGATCGCACAACCTGAAGCCTACAATGTTGCAGCACCATATTTATCCCGAAGAGAGGTCTATTTGACCAAATACATAGAAGGGTACCTAAACGATCTGAGAAATAAATCTTAGGAAGTCATTCTGACAAAAGGGAGTTCATTTTGTTTCCTTGATGCTGACTGATCCATCTGAGTTGTGGGATTTGTTATCAGCTTATGGCACGTAACACATTAAGTGCGCCAAATAACCCCAATATGAATACTCTAAGAGGACATCCACACCGCGTCCCTCAAGGTTATCCAAGCGAAACTGCGTACCAAAGATCTAAAACTGAGGTTCGAGAATACTTTTCCTCACTAAAAATTGCCTACATTTGTAGTGCGTTTCCAGTCGCGTTGACAACTGAATACTCAGTAGTTCATCGTATTACTCTTGGACTAGATGTGCCTATTGCATGTCTCGTATCTTACTTACTGTAATACTTATCATATATAAGTAATTTATTCTGATGGCAATTCTTATCATTTCCTTTCCCTCTTTTATCCCCACACTTTGATCTTCTCACGCTGTCTACATAATAAATTAACTTGTTACAGCGGAATCAGAGGAGATCTGATCATGGCATACAACATATTAAGAACGCCAAATAATTGCAACGTGAAAATCTTACCGATGCATCACTAACACTCCTTTTGAGGTTCTCCTCGAAAAAAAGCGAATACCCAGGTCTGTGCACATCTTTTCTCATTCAGAGTTGATGCAGTTTGGAATCTCCCAGCTGAGGTGACCACATCACCCTCAGCTTTAAGAAGAGAATTGATAAACATGTACTCACAGGCGGACTATCTTCTCACTCATGGACAAGTTGTGCCTGATGCATGTCGTTGGACCTGATGGTTGTTATTATTGTCATCTCCTCAGATCTCTGACTTAATCTACCTCACATGTTATCTCATTTCCTCTCTCTTGCTTACGCTTCTGTCCTCTCTCACAATCTTCACTACCAATTAATAAACTAGATTGTCGATTAATTAATTGGTTCAGAAATCTTATTCTTATTACAGTTTAAATTTTCTCCCTGTTATTCTCCTTAGTGCAACTAACTGACCTCCGGCCTCATAAAGTGATTGCTTCTGGCATCCAGAAGTACCATGAGAAAAAGTACTCATTCAAACCATGGGAACTACAAACTCACGAAAGATTGCCGAACGAGTAGAATCAGGCAGTCGAGTGCCAAGACCCTTACTCATTGGGCACTATGAAACACCTGAAATTGTACCGAAATAAAAGGATCGAGCGCAAAGAAATCAATTGGTTAATGCTAGCTCATGCAAAAGATATTAGATATATTAGATTATTAGTACTCCCCTGAGATTAATGGACTTAAATTACCAAATATACGTGGCCACAAACAGTCACAAAGCTGAGTAAAATTGGTATAGCACAGCGGTTATTAGAATTTATATTGATCCTACCAAATATCTAGAACCATCTTGAAACACTAAAAGCAGACGCAAAGAAATTAACTGCTTTTTATAAGCTTGTCACAAAGACATTATACAGTGAATACCCGAATAAGCAATACCGGCCGTATCAACCGACGCTTATGGGAAAGAATTTATCATAGATATACTGGATATGATTACTGTAGACTTACTAAGGAAATTATAGTTCAGTGGTTTGTTTTAACCATGCAGTTGGTGTAAATATTGTAATAACCTAAGCACGCGAAAATATGAAATGGCTCTTTTTGCTATAGCAGGTGAAAAGGCTTGGACTTCCATATGTTATCAATTGTAACTTGAAAGGGCCAGTGATATCAGGATATTACTTTGTGATATCTATAATGTTATACATTATTTCCGGCTTTCAAACCAACGAATCTTAAGGTAGCCTTTGTATTAATTTTTAGGTTTCCTGGGGTAGGAATGTTTAAATAACTCTTGTTTTCTCTGCATGAAAATGAACTATAGCAGCATAAGTAAACATACTATCAAGGACATCTGTATTTTATGACAGGTTTACTCATTCAAAATATGTGTCTAAGAGTTTATAAGTAAATCATTTCATTCAGCTGATAAGTAGTTTATTTGCCAAGAAAATAGAGTGAAAATAGGCTTTTTTGTATTAACACTAAATGACGCGACATGATTATCAAATTAAAACCTACATTTATTTCTGGCTGCAGCATTCGTTCAGGTAGTGATTATAAAAAAATCATATTCTATGAACGTTTTGGACATTCACTATCTGCAACTCATATTAACTTACAGAGGCTTTATACCATTTCGCCGTTATAATTATTTATCTGTCTTTCACGTATTAGATGCCCGAATTTCTATGTAATAATCTTATCTTTTGAGAGAAAAAATAAAGGGAAGAGTACTTCAACGACTGGAGTGTTTCTAATTAAGTTTCTTTCGTATTTATCAGAATGGTAATTCACAAGTTTTTATGTAGCTGTGTGAGTAAATGAAGTTGGTTTGATTCAAAGTACTTCATTCTGATGGATAATGACTCAACAATTCGAATTTTTGTGACGAATAGCCAAGATGACTGTAATTTTTATCCGAAGAGAATATTTTATTTTATTTATTTGTATCTACAGGAAAGTGTGACTGCCCGTTTTATGCGCGAATCGAACTCTTAGCGGATAAACTGTCGTTAAATTTACCCGATTTCAGGGTGACAAAAATAGTTAAACAGCCACAAGATTGGGAAGTAAGTGGATCATCTGTTGTATATTCATTAAAACATATAAGGACTTCACTGCATGGATTAGAGAGAAATATGGTTGGTTTGTGGGTGAATCACCTGTCGTATGGAGAGAGTTAGTAGATCAGGGAGGAAAAGGAGTTTTAATTGGAGGTGCAAATGAATTTCAAGAGTTGGTTGCTGCTTATTACGGCGAACTAAGCTCAATGAGTACGGATGAAATGTTAGATGTAATGAAGGATAATATAAAATATAAAATTCAAGAAGATCAAGAAGAACAAATGAAAATCATTAATGCACCTTCTCCATCAAATGTGGTAGTTATTGGTGCAGCCGGATTGGCTATTAGTGACTTTCTGGCGAATATATTGAACGGGGAAGTTTTTGGTGATGAGATGATAGAGTTGTACTTAATCGACGAAGTCAACAAAAAACCAAAGTTGTTTGAACTAAGAGAAGTACTGGAGGAAGCAGCTTTCCCCAAACTCCGTAACGTGCACATTAGTGTTGATATTGATGAATGTCTCGCACACGCGAAGCAAGTCATCATTCTGGATATTATCCCAAGAAAGGGTCCGAACTTATCAGATAACAAAACACTAGATGAATGGGAACCAAGAAATCAGTGGTTACAGAGACGATTTTTATATTTTGACGAACTCGGTCAAAAAATAAAAGAAAAATGTCCGAAATCTGTCAGAGTTCTGTTAGCTGGAAACCCAAGAGTAGATGCATTTTCCATGGAAACGACCACACCTACATGTTTTGATGTAACAACACTTTATAGGTCGACGAAAGGAAAGATACCACCAGAGCAAATAGTTGGACTCGTGAAGCCATTTGAAATGAAAGTTAGAGCTACTGTGGCGAAACATCTGAAAGTTCGGGCATATAACATCACTGATATAGTTATTTGGGGGAACTTTGGAAGTTCAGTATTCGTGGATTTATCTCGCGCTTCTGTGTCTTGTAGAAGACACTTCAGTGCAGGTGTTGTCGGTGGAAGCCATATCCAGCTTCCAGCCTTAAGTGTAGCTGAGAATCCCAAGTGGCTGCAAGAGGAACTACTTGACGAACTATGGAAGGAAAATAGTAAGAGACAATCAGAGTATATTGGACTGTGCTACGAAAATGCCATGACTGAGTGCCTAAAGGAATGCTGGAACAGCAACAAAAATCAACCTAACCAAATTACTTCACTTGTTATGATATCAAGAGGTAACTAAAAATTTTCAATTTTAGACTTATGATGACTAGATCCCCGTCATCTTGATTTTACTTGTTAATACTTAGAGATGGAAACATTCTAGTACAACAAATCAGACTGAATCGTACATTGAGACAAAGAAGTGTGTGTAATGGAAATCAACCAACTGTCTTATTCTCTTAGTCTAGGAAAAGCAGCCTGAAGTAGTGTTCTGCATATATTATACCATATAGGTACCAAAGGGTAGCGAGGAAAATGAGTTCAAGTTACTACAGAATCATTACATGTCAACAAACTATTTTTCTACTTACTCTTGTACATCCACAATTTACTTTTACAAATGGAAACGTAACTATATGCAAGGCTGTACGGTATTTCCAGTACAAAATCCATTAGGTAATACTAGCACCAACTAACACTTTAGCGTAACTTTTGGACTGGAATCGTCCGTGGGATTACATCAATTTAGATAATTTGGTCACTGACAAGATTTCAGAGCGAATATGAAACCATTAATGGCCTGAATACTTATGATAATGATATGACACTTAACTATGAATAAGCTGGACGTATTCGGAAGCAGTTTGAATTGTGAGACTCAGAAACTCTAGATATGAAAACTATGCGTATACTCAATGTACCTTTCCATAAATATCATTAACCAGTCAATAAAATATGTAGGGTCAGGCAAAAAGGAGTTAGCACAAAAGACCATTTGCTACACATACAGTCGCTAACTTTTACGACTAACGACATTTCGCAAAACAGATCTAAACCGACAAATTTATGATACAAACAAAGGGATAAGTTCGCGAAACCCTGAACTGGTTAGTTTGGGTTATGTCAGGAAGGTTAAACGTTCTGGATTTGGTTTTTAATATGAATTAGTAATTAAATCTGCCGACTGATATGATTCTCGATATGCCACAGTAACACAGACATTCTTTAACCTGAATATGTTATCAATGTTAATCAACCTGTCCTATGTTTACTCTCACAATGATAATCTATTTCAGTTTGTGCCCATATGATATCTGTGTATGACAGCTTGAAGTGACACACTTGTGATATTTTACGTTATTTATCAATGTACATTCGTTGTTATGACTAACGAACTAGGAAAATTAGGGTACTTAACATATCAAATAACTTGAAACAGGATATCACGGTGTAGCTAATTTTTACTGATAAAAAGTCAATATCGAATGTTATGCATTGGGTTACTGTTGATAATAGAGAATATTGCTTGTTCGAATGAATGAGTTTGGCGGTCTTGCATGCCTAATTACGATAGTTTGATTGCGAAACTTTTATTTTTGTTGAGTGCCTGTAAGCAGAAGTGACAATTTAAAATTATTTCACAAGTTTTAAATCAATCACTTATCATAACCTTCTTTGTAACAGAAGATACTTACAATTTCTACTAATGGATTCCAATTGATAATCATTGTTGAACTCCAACAGTAATCGCACACTGATCGAAGTAGTGATGAGAGTAAGAACACTACTGAAATCGAATCTTAGAAAATACTCCAAACAATCAGATAAGTAACAAGGAAATCCGCAAAATCTATGATCAATTGCATATATGAGTTCAGAGGTAGAGTATAAAAAGCAGATAATAAAAATGGGATGACTCGTCTAATCATCATTATCTAGTATCATATACGGTATCTACCTAAACAGATTTGCCTCGTACATCTACCACCTGTTTGTAAACTAAAATCTTTGAGCAGAACTGATTAGTAGACGCAAGTGAAAAGAGAAATAATTGAAGTAAAGGTCAGACATTTCGAGTTTTAATTTAAGTAGGAAATATAAATGACATGATACAGTGAAAATTTATTAGGTAAAAGCTCTAGTGTACTAATTTTCAGAACTTCCCGATATAATATGGCCAAAAGTAGGCAATACACACGTCTTAAAAATAAAATCCAGACTTGACAGGAAGTTGCTATCCAGGTATTTTAATGCTATTTGGTGGATAGCACATCCGGATCTACGAGCTGTGATTAGAAAGGCTCAAGCTACACAGGACAGCTTTATTCTTGACGCAAAAATTACTACTAAGTTCGCATGCGTTTGCATCGTTGTGTTCTTTAAAAAGCTATTTACTCGCTTTCAGGCTGGTACGGAGTACCCGAAGGCATTGCATTTTCATTCCCTGTTATGTGCACTTCTTATGGTTGTTGGTCAATTGTGGAGGATATGCTTCTTACACCAAAAGTTGAAACTCAGTTAAAAATATCTATTCAAGTAAGTATCATCACTATCACAAAAGTAATCTTTCCTTTAACCTTCCCACTAGCGATGAACTATATGAAGTGAATACACTATCAGTACATATTCAGAATTATTCCTACTCAGACCACCATTCAACTTAAATTCCTATGTGTAAGATCAGAAACTAATATCCACTGATATAGAATTAGTCTACAATGTCAGATACGAACAAAGTAAAACTTAATTCAACCTTTCATTCAGTTTAAACTTGCTTATACTGAATACGTAATGAAAATGAATTTCATTAGAAGAGTAATTTACCATGTGATACATATAATAACATTTCAAATTTAAAACAAAAAAACGTGAAGTTTAACTATATCAGAAATAGGAATAAAGATTTTGGAGTCTTAGATTCATGCCATGTACAATAATACAATACATTACAACGAACTACAATTTCACAATCTAATAGAATAGACACTAAACAGCAATAGTCGTGTAGTTATTTTTCAATTATAAGTAAAAATAAAATAAAATAAAATAACTAGACTACCTACTCTTTATCCAACAAACATACATGACCAATTGTTTTGATGTACAATCTTGACTAGTTAACTATTTCATCATAATCTATTCTTTAATTGTATTTTGAGTTAGTTATCTAGGGTCAATGAACCAACCAGTTAGCTCATTTTTCTAAATAATAACTTCTTACAACGTAGTACAACAATGACACGCACACACAGGTAGTAGGTATTCTTTATGTTAACTCTTAAAAATTCTCGATTATTTATATATATATTTAATGATACTAGTAATAATAAAATGATTTCTTATTTCAATGTAAAAGATTTCTTTTTCTGTTGCACTTAGAGTGTACTCGAAGATTGGTCAGTTGTTGATCCTTTACCGTTAGAAGAGCTATTAAAAGAAGGTAAATTTATTCCATTGAAAATAAATTATATTATATTAAATTTGTGAATAGGACAAAAACCTAAAACAGACAAAGATAATGAATATCATGCAGAGGATGCTGAAGAAGATTAAGAAAAAAAACACAACAAACTGGATAAAGACAATAAATATAACACACACACACACATTGAATTTCGTGAAAATAACTAAAAAACAAAAGAAATATTTATCATGCACCATAAACAAACATTAGCTTTGTAGATGATAGAAAATAAGAATTGTTATAAAGAAATAATTTTAAAAAATGTTCCAAAAAAAAGCTGAAGCTAAAAACCTTATTATAAAAAAAAAGTTGGTCACATCAACTCCGTCTTCTCATTATTTTATCAAAATTAAATAAATAAATAAATAATAATAATAATAGTGATTATAAGAACGCTTATTTTAAACAAGTTATATAGTCTTGATTTGTATTTATTACAAAAAAAAGAACGGAAAAAGCCAATCATATTGAAGCATATTGAAGCTTCAAGTCATGATTACTAGATGATGGTGCTTGATGTGAAATCAAACAAGAGATTAAAGCTTCATTGAACTTTACGACTGATTTTTTTGGATTTATCAGCTATTGGTCTTGGTTTATTATCAGCTGCTATGTGTCGTTGATATAAGCTGGGTAATAAAGATAAATATATACGAAAAGGTGATTGATTGATTTTGGCAAGAAATAGACATAACTGATAATTTTAACTAACAATTAATTAAATATTTTCAGTTAGAGTTTAGGAGATTTGTGTTTTTTACACATTTGAAATCATCAATCAATCATTGTTAGACCACCATTAGAAACCTCGAAGCACTGGACGGCCGTTTCGTCCTGGTATGGGACTGATCAGTGGCAGTGCGCATCCATGACTCTTGCACCTCGCATGATTCGAACCCGGGACCTTCGATATTGTGCGCGAACGCCTAACCTATGGACCACTGGGCCGGCATCTAACGGTGTTAATGCCTAACTCTGATTGACCTAGGGATTTCGCGTGACATCACTCATTTGTCTTTGGTAGTTACTGTCTACACCCCACATGGTTGAACTCCATTGGTCACGTCTTCTCACTAGAACTCCGAGTCCCATACCAGGACGAATGGGCCGTCCAGTGCTTCCAGGTTTCTAATGGTGGCCTAACGATGATTGATTGATGATTTCAAATGTGTAATTAATTAAATCTTACAAATCTTACCTACAAGTTGACAAATAATACATACAGAAAAAGTATTACTTTCTTTAAAGTTGACTATATAACGAATTAAAAGGACAAAAGAAGAAAAACCAAATATCATCAACAAAATTAATCACTCAGACTGTGGAAAACACTACATAGGACGAAGTGGACATTCTCTTTAGCTTCGTCTGCGTGAACATCAATAAGCAGTCCAACGCCACGATATTTATTCCCTTATATCAATACATACGGACAGTTACGGACAAACATTAGATTGGAACAACGTTGAAATACTGGATAGGAAGAGTATAAAGAACAACAAAGAATTTTTAGATTTTTGACACTCAGGTCAATCAGTAATCAACAAACACATCGGCATTGACCTATTTTATCAACCAATCAGAAAGATCATAGACAAACATAGGATTAAGAAACAGATCAAAGGTGGATACAATCAAACCTAAGGTGCAAACAACGACAAGTTTAAGGTCAATAACAACCAAGGTCGAGGTCAACAAATTAAACTGCGAATCATACGTGAAGAAATTCGAATATTTCATTTCTGAAGTTTATGCCGATCATGTTGTTCAGAAGAACAACGAAAGCTCCACAACTAGAACATCCAGCTTAGAGATCAGAACTGCACAACAGTGACTATATACATCTGTAACAAGTAATGAAAAACATTTCACATTTAGTTGAGTAGCTTTTCTAGGTGTAGACTGTTTCAGTGAGGTCTGCATAATTACGACGACATTTGGTTGGAGACGTTGGGTGACATAGCTGCGAATTGGTTGCAATTGAGCAAATACACTCACTCGCTGCTTTCTTTTAGATTGTGTTTTAAAATTATCTGATATAATTATACGGCGGATTTAATCTTCTTGAACTATATTATCCATTTTTTCTAATACCAATCATCTCGTTAACTCACCTTGCGTCTTATCTCGCTATGTTGATATTGTGTAGTCACTGTAGCTGTTAAACATGTGTACGAGGTTCTACCTTGTTTAGGATTTTTTAGTTTAATTGCACGACAAATAAAATATACTTTCATATTTCGAAACTTACAATTTGTATGTCTCCGATCGGATGTAATCAAAGACATGAGAGAGACCAACTTGTAATTGATCTTCAATTGGTGAAACCCAATCATTACCTGATAATTTTGCTACCTGCTTAGGCCCACAGAGATCCAGTATACCTTAAAAAATAAAAGGTAGCAAGTCAAAAAACCTTTTCTTTCACAGTAATAAAAGTACCGAAGAATTAAAAATCATAATACCGAACGGTACTTATTTGATGAGACACATTAACAAATTACTTGTAACTTATTTTTCATGTTTACAAACCTGACTTCTAGCTACACTCTGTGTGTGGGGAGTAATAACATGTTATGGCTGCTCAAACTGGAAGTAGGAGAGTATTTTAAACGGGAACTTATTGATTGAATGTCTAGCGCTATCACCAACAGGATTGTTCCGACAATTGAAAGGAGTTAGTAGCGTTTTGATGACTGTATCAAATTTTAAATGTTAAAATACCATCTAAAACACCAAACAAAGAAACGTTCATGTTGCCAAAATAAACTCGGGTCCTGAATACACTTTATCTCTACGATATGCTTTGGTTGATAAGTTTACTCAATTCGCTATTATCGATCTAAACGGTTAACTTACAACCACATATGGTGATTTCAATTCATGAGAGTGTAGCTTACATACTCTGGTAACCTAAATGTAGTCTATTTTCTAACTTATTCTGGTGCCCCCCCCCTACATCTCGTTTTTATGAATGATACAGGAATAAAGGGGACTCTCAAACGAGCTTCTCTTCTCAGTCATGGCCACTTTTTAATGTTTCTTCTCCTTAAAGCCTATGGTAAGCTCAGAAACAATGTTCTTTTTTATCACACCATGAAAGTTTGACATGTAAACCACTAGGGGTTAGTATCCAAGATCTCAAAAACATATTTCGAGAGAAACTGAGATTATTTTTTATAAATGATACGATAGAAGACACAGTCGGTGCTGTTACCTGTCACCCTAAATCTTACTTTGATGATTTTTGTTTTAGTGAGGAAAAAACTTATACGATTCAACTACCATATTCCCCACAACTTAAAAGACTGGGAAAAGGCTCTACAATCAAGAGAACTCTATTGAAGCTTAGAGAATAAATTTAATAGTAGGTAAATATATATACATATAGAAACGTAGAGAGATAAAAATTTACGAACAACAAGGATCCATTGAAGTATTTTATGCTGAACATTCTATATTTTACGGATCATATAGTATTGTATAGTGATTCTTATTATCGCTATTACTAAGCAAAAAGTCCCACTAAAACTAATTGACTTCGCCAATTTTTACAGATATGACTAAGTTGTAAACTCATTATCAGTAAGTTGAAAATCGAGTATTGAGACTAATCGATAAGCAAGTGCATGAATTCATGCTGACAAAGGTCAGCACTGTGATGTAGGTGTATAAACGAATAAGAGATCCAATATCTATTTTTAATTAACTGGACATAAACTTGGGATTACAATATCAATAGGTCAATCAAAGCCATTTATATACACGGGTGGAAATATCTTAGTTGAGGTAGAATATAAGGTTTTGTCGCTATAATAAAAGACTACATCTATGACTTGGGTAATTCGCGTTCAATCTTAGAATTAAAAATTCGAATTTGAGTCCATCAACTTCGATTCGAGGTGTGGAATAGTATTTTAAGTCCATATACATCAAGCGACTTAGGGCATAGTACATGAAGTTTGTTAGGAACCAACTAGCGGATTTCTTATTGAAACGATATTAATTGGTGAACATAAACTTCTTTACAATTATTTTTCACAGGATATGCGTTTATTTTGTTGTATATAAACCTAAGCCAAACATTTTAAAATCTGTTAGTTTATTTGTCTAAATGCGGCCTAGTTAAGGTTGTTTAAACACCAGTAGTAGATTTAGGAAAAATGAAAAAAGTATCTGAATCATCCTACCACTTTAAATGTATAACTTCTGTAACAGAACTGTAGTGAACCTATAAAACAGGGAAGATAGTTCAAATGTATTTGTGAATAAACAATAATATACACAAGTCATGTTTCATATACATTTGAAAACACCTCTGGTATATTTACCTGATAATCAACAGACAGATTAATCATTAATTTTCTGAGGCACATACCTCAGTATCCCATTGTACTACAATTTTTTTTCAAAAGGAATCAATAATTGACTAAGCAACGAAATGAGCCATCATACTAATAATATGGCGAATTATCTAGTACTCAAGTGAAAATAATATTAACAATAAAGTACTAGTAAACCTTACTTACCTAATTCAGGAGGCAATACAGCAAGGCGATTGTTCTGAAGATGGAGCTCCTTTAATCTAGTAAGTAAACATATTTCTGCTGGCAGCGACACAAGATCATTGTCACGAAGAGCTAACTAATTTGTTTAATCAAAATATTAATATCTTACTATTTCCAAGTTTACGAGTTTGCCAATTCCAGGTGGAATGTGTTCGAAATCATTATCTGACAAGTATAATGCTCTAAGTGTCACCAGATTGAAAAAGTTATCAGGCAAACTAGTTTCTTTTAAGTTATTGTATGTTAAGTCGAGAATTTCGAGAGAAGGGAAAGCACCGAAACCGCGAGGTAAAACAGACAGTTTATTCATCCTTGTAATTTTAGGAGAAGTTAGACAAAATAGTACTTACCCAAGATTTAGAGATCTTAAGTATGTTAACTCCACAATCTTTGGTGATACATTCTTTAAAAAGTACTTTAATTGTGAGAAATAGTGCCTACCACAATACAATTATTAAATAGATTCAAGTGTTCCAAAGTTTGCAGAGTTGATATTTCTTGAGGTACTTCTGAACCACAAATGGTAATCAATAGAAATCATTAACGTACCTGTTATTTTATTGTGAGACAAAGTTAGGGAACGTAAGTGATCCAACTTTGCTAAAACAAACAATCAGCAACCGCGAAGAAGTTACCAAGCTCTGGGAGGTAAGGAATTGAAGTCAGGTCTTTACGGATAGCCTCTAATGCATGCTCCTTTCCCTCACGTACGTCCTCTATCGTTTTGCGGAAGTTTTTTAGTTTTCCAGATATCATAGTACCAACAACATAACCAGTAATCTGAACGCAAGTATGAAAAATAGTAGTTACAAAAATCATGAAACAGAGCATGTCTTTGATTTTTAAGGATGCACATAAACATGGACAAGCAAAAGGGAGAAAATGGAAAAAGACGCAGAAAGCAATACGGCAATCTGTCACAATCTTGACATACCTTCAACAGTAAAGTTAGTAATCAAATCAATGGAGAAATGTTACATATATAGGCAAAAGTAATAAAGATAACATCAAAAACAAGGAACAAGATTAAGCACAGCAAAAAGAAACCCGTCAAGTGTAGTAAGATGAACGGATTAGGATCACTAAAAGATAGTCGATTACCCTACTTGACTCATTTGCTTCGTGGAGCACACTCGTAAACTTAACGATTTAGAGTTATGTGTATTAGAAATCCATCTGTTAGCGAAAATATCTCAGAAAAGGATGGGCTTATTATCCATTCTGAATCCAGGAGATTGCATCGATGGGCAGGACACTTTAGGGATCAGTCCAACTGGCCTGCAGCCAAACTTCAGTTGCCCACGATCTCCAGTCATCCTGAATGACAAATCGATATAAGTTCTTTGAGTCTGTCCGAAGATGGGAAAACTATAGAAAATCTAAAGCGAGGTAGAGCAGCAGGCATCGCAAAGTACGACTATAGCTGCTACCTTGTCGTGGTGGCCGGGCTTGCCGATCGTGATGACCCAACCGAGCTACACTGACTGGAACATATGTTCCTGTAGGTCCTACCATACCAAGCAGGTCGATTGGAGAACGGTGAGAATAAAAGCAGCTACTCAAGGTCTGAGGGCGAAGTCAGACTCAGCCAGTTACAACGTAGAACTTCGTACGTAGGTGCATCAGCTCAGGTTGCCATACCACATCAGCACAGAGACGCAATCGTCAATTCAAATCCCATAGTAGTAGAGGTAGTAGAAGTATTAGCAGTAATGCAGAAGATTAAGGTTCGAAGATATGATTTGAGAAGTATAATTCAGTGAGATAATTTTAGAAAGATAAAGACGGAGATGATGAGGAGTTCAGAAGGTTCGAACTTGAGGGAACACAATGAGTGGATTCACCTGCGCCAATGTAAACGATTCTGAGGCATCTCCTTCAAGGTCTCTAACCATCGGTTACTATCGTCTTGCAGACCCCAACCAAGTAGCCTACATCCGCCAACATGACACAGTCCACTTGTCAGTGACTTCATGGATTTCTGCCATGCTTTGGTTTGGCCGCCACTAGCTTTCTTTCAACCCACTCCTACACCACAAAAAATAGCTCGTCGCGGCAGTCGGTGGTTAGGCATACGTAACACATGTCCCGACCACCTCAACTGATGAAGTTTCATTATTTCATATATTAATTTGCCGTCCTTAACGAGAACTCGTTTCCTAACGACAGCATTGGTTATATCGTTGTCCCAGGATACACCGGCAATGCTTCGGAGACACCGATGGTCGAAGACTAGTAACCTACGAAAGTCCTCTTCTCTTAACGGCCATGTTTCGCATCCTTATAGTAGGACGGAGAGAACTGCTGAACAGTACACTCGTCCTTTGGTTAGCAAGCGGATGTCTCGCTGCGCCATAGGTGACGCAGGTTGGCAAAAGCCAATCGAACCTTCTGCATCCGTGCTGAGATTTCGTCAGTCACCAGGACATCAGCACTGATGAGACTCCCCAGATACGTGAAGCAGTCTACACGTTCAACTACTTCACTCCCTATCACTAGTTCCGGTGAAGTCGCAAGCCGATCCTGAAGCAAAATTTTGCATTTCAAGTGGTAAAACCGCATCCTGAACATGCTTGCATTTTTGCTTAGGGTGGTCAGAAGACTGTATTTTGTCAGCGTCTTCACCGAATAACAACGATGTCATCGGCATATTCTAGGTCAGTAAGCGAGTTTCCTAGTAGGAAGTCGACTCCTGAAAATTCAGACGAAGATAATGTCTAGTCTGTTCTTCACGAGCTTTACTTAGGCGTCTAAGTATAATCGAGGCTAACAATTTAGAAACTATATTAGTTAGACTAATTCCCCTGTGACTACCACGAGAAGACTTTTGTCCTTTCTTATAAATTGAGACAATCAGGGATTGAGACCAGTTAGACGGGATTACGTCCAGTTCCCAGATTCTACCTAAGATTTCAGTCGATCTAGCTGAAGGCTAGTTGAACTGATCCCTAAAGTGTTCTGCCCATCGATCCAGTCTCCTGGATTGAGAATAGATAATAAGACCATCCTTTTCCGAGAAAGTCTCACTGACACTAGGGTCTCTAATACTAGTTTCCTTGATAAGTCGGAAAAATTGTCTACTGTTGCCTATCGCCACTGCCTTTTACACCTCTCTCGCTTTCTCCACCCACCACTGTTCACGGTCGTTGCGTAGGCTTTTTATCAGCCTGCGCTTAAGCTGACTTCGTTCTTCATCATGTTCAGAGCCTGGAGGGATGAGTTTTCGAGCATCCATCAGTTCGGTAGATGCTACGGATGCTACCTTACTAGGAGATATCACTGCTGTTTCTACAGCCTTTTTGATATCATTCCAACCTGCTTCCGAATGGGAATCGTTTACATGACTGCCTAACTCTCTTTCTAGTTGTTCCTGAAATATCTTCGTAGCTTTATTATTATTAAGTAAAACCCTAAGAGGCTTCCTTACGGTGTCTTTCCTACGTCCAGTAAGCCTCAAACAAATACGCGCTCGCACTAGGGAATGATCTGAATCTAAACATGTGCCACAGAATGAGAGACAGTCCTCTATCGAACACCTTCATCGGTGGCTGATGGCGATGTGATCTAGTTGAGTCCAACGTTGAGACCAATTTGGTGGTCGCCAGGTCTAAAGAAATTTTTCCTTATGCCTAAAGTTAGTGTTTGCTAAGAATAGGCGGTTATCTGAGCATACTTGCAACAGACGGTCGCCATTGTCTGTTCTCTGAGCTGCAACACCATAAGATCCACCCAGGTGTCTTTCATTTTCACTTAGTCTACCTACTTGAGCAGTAAAGTCACCAGCCATCATTACTACATCAGAACGCTTAACATCTTGAAGAGAGTCAGAAAGCTTTCTGTAAAACTCATCTTCCACCTCGTCTGAACTGCAGTCAGTGGGGGCATACGCAGATACGACGAAGAGGCAACGACGAGTGTCCCTATCTTTCTGAGTCCTTACTGTCCCGTTCAGTCGGACAGCGCACAAGTGATTATCTACTGGGATCGGGCTGCTTCTTTGTTTTGATAAGGTGAAATCAAATTAATAACTTTGCTAGGATCCTGTATGCGTGTTCCCGGGAGGCAGCATACATCGATTGAGCGAGATTCTAATGTATTAGCTAAGGAAGCCTGTTGCCTTATTTGACATAATGTCCCTACATTAAATGCTTCAACATATAATTTAGAACGGGGTTTCGGATATGAGAAGAATGTACAAGAATTGGACAAAACTAGCAAGGAAGGCCCAGGACAGAATAGGATGGAGAACGGTAGTCAGAGGCCTATGCGGAATTGGGGGGTAATAGGCGTAAGCAAATAAGTACGTAAGGTGCCTAAAAATTAAGTTCACATCCCCACTGATAATTGAAAGATCTTGACAAACTCCGAGGTATCATGACACAGTTTCATATACAGTATGAAAAATAAACTAAGCAAACGTTAAATGAAAAAGGATAATGCATATAACATTTTGTTTCTCTTTACCAGGCAAAGAGGATATATATTGCAACATGACTGTTAACCATACCCAATTTTATGATCTATCATCATTTTGTATTCTGGATTATACCTCACACTGTATTTGTTTATTATCTTATAATATACTCAACGATGATGCGGATTGCGATCGACGGATTACTGATTGATGAGGCGCTAAATGTATTGCTTACTTATTTTGCTATCATTTTCGCCTTTTGTTTTGAGATCTCTAACAAACTGCTACGTTTTCTTATTTTTTCAGATATCAAACAACTACGACAGAGCTACAGCGAAGACCAATCGTAGTAATTTGGACTTCTACTTTGAAGCTGACTCGATTGCAAATTAATAGTAAAAATAAATCCTTAATTTTGTGACAATTAACGTTCACGCTATTGCTTATTTCCGTGGGGAAATAAAAGCGAATTTCCTGGCTGTTAATGGAACATATGGAATACGTAGTATGAATGCAGGCAACACTCCGAGTTTGAGTTAATTTGAGCGAGTAAGACAACACGATGTTGCTTTAGGCGAAAATTAGACAATCCGGTGCGAATTTGGTGTAAATTAATAGACTTTTCGCCTGTTATGAGATACTTAGGGGAAACGTCTTATAATTATCCTTACCCTAGGCAGAAAAGGCGACTTTTAATCAAAGCGATGCTTGAAATTACACAAATACTTTGTAATCAATGTTGTATTTCCCGAAAGTTCGCTTACATTACACAGTTCTCATTTAATTAGGCGAATTTCTAACTCTATCTCCTACCATTAATTTTCAACCGTATTTTGATATTTGTGCCAATACCCTCGTCTGTCACTGGTTTCGCTCTATACTTTAGGTTGATCAAGACCAACTGCAGTGTCAGATCCGGTGGTTGATGGGTATCTGTTCAGTAACTGAAGCAGGACACTCGGTGAACTGTCGTGGGTCTTTAAGAGCGAAGGCATAAAAAGCCAGTATCAGTAGAAGCCTAGCAGGCTTTACCAGGACCACAAACAGACATGGAAGATAGGCACAGTAGCGAAGCACCAAACGAAAGTTACTTCTCACTTTCAGGTCCGACCGCGCTTTATTTCCCACAACCTTGAGTGGACCTGATTATCAGAACTCTAGCGTACTTAAAGTGCTTTCCCACTTGAGGTCATCCCTATTATGTAGAATGGTTTACAGTTGTTCCGATATTAAAGTAATCGGTGAGCCTAAGGAGACGTTACCTAAAGCAACTTAATTTTGTCATTTCTTTAGTGTAAACCTCAGCTTGCTTGTTGCAATGTAACGTTTCTTCGAAAACCATGGGTTGATAAATTTATTTGGAAAGAATATTGTTTCTGAGTAAGAACGTAATATGAACTAAACAAAGAGACAAGATTACGGTTTCAGGTGTTTCATAGTGTAAAATGTATGGTGTCTAGCTACTCGATTGCCTGATTCTAGTTAGTCGGCAGTTGTTTGTCATTTTATATGTTCCGTGATTTGAAAGAATGCGTTTCTTTCAGGGCGGTAGGGTTTCTGGATGCCAGCAGCAATCATGTTACCAGACCGGAGATCAGTTATTTGCAATATGGAGAATAATGAGGCGAGATAGATGAAGTTAGTGCTCTAAGGAGTTGGCAATAATAACGACTAGCAAGTCTCAAGATATGCGTCAGGTACAGCTTTTCCAAGAGGGAAATGATAATCTGTATGTAAGTACGTGTTTTTCCAGTCTCTTCTTAAAGCTGTCCGCTGAGGGGCTCTGGTCACCTCAATCGGGAGATAATTCCAAATTTAACTGACTTTGAATGATATGAAGTTTGCACGAATCTGAGTATTCTCTCTTTGATGCGTATTTTTTGAGGATTGCCTCGGGGAGAGTGATAATGATGCATCGGTAAGATTCTCACTTTGCGATGGTTTGGGGTGCTAAATATGTTGTACGCTATATTCAGATCACCTCTGATTCCCGTGTAATTTAGGGGGAATAATCCCAAGTGATGAAGTCTATCCTCATAAGTTTTATCTTTCAACCCTATCATCAATTTCGTTGCTCACTTCTGCACTCGATCCCAGAGATTTATGTCTCGTTTGGGGAGAAGGGTTGCGACGACGTTGTGAACCCCAAGGTGTGAGCGCACATATGTCTTAAACAGCGTCAAGAATAACTCTAGGGTGACAGCACCAAGTTTTCTTCGCACAAAGTGAAAAGTTGCATTTTCTTTGGCTGCGTCCCCTTTATAGTTGGAACTGGCTTGGAGGCTTTCAGTGGTTATTAAACTGAGATCGCGCTCTGAGGAGACATTAGGGAGCGGACTTCCATTGAGGATGTAAATCGTTTGCTTCATGTGGGGCATGACGTGAAATTTCGGCTGGCTTAGTTCTAAACCCTTTTCCACTCCTCAGTGGATGTAAGGTCCCTTTGAAGCTCAGCCGAATCCACTTCGCTTCTAATGGATCTCCAGATCTTTGTATCGTCTGCGTTGATCAATACCGGCGAGCTAACTAAGCCAAACAGTTCGTTTATAGACATCAGTAAGAGGAGTGGACTTATGATGGTCCACAGTGAACTCCCGATGTTGAGACTAGCTAACTCGCATGCATTCTGTTTAACTTGGTACGAAACTTTCTATTCTCAGGGTAGTTTCTGAGCCAAGATAGGAGTGGGTTAGTGAAGCCCATTTCCGCAACCTATGCGATTAGGCGTACTTTGGGCACTGTGTTGAAGGTTTTTTCAATGCTTAAAAATATTATGTGCATCGGTATCTTTCGTTCCTAGCAGGGGTGTACAACTTTCCCACGCTATGGGAAGTTTGGATGCGCACGACCTGCCTTTCCGAAACCAGTGTTGAACTACAGGGATGATTATAATCCTATCCATGTGCGCTCTCATTTGCTCATTCGCAAATCCTTCCATTGTATTCTGTAGTATTGTTAGTTCTGAGACTGGTCTACAACAGACTGGGTCATTCCGATCTCCTCCTTTGAAAATTGGAGGGACAGCATCTGTTCTGTTAATAAACTGTAAACTGTAATGTTCTTATGTCCCTGCCCTTAGCATTTGAAGTTTCCTCAGTACTTAAATTCGCATTATTATTTTCTAAATCTTTCAAGCCATTTCTAGATTTATGTCTAATAGACATAAATTAAAAAAGTCTATCGATGCTGCTGAACCACTACCGACCACAAGAAACCAATTGCGATTTCCTTCTTATTCACGTATTAACACTTTATTCACTGACCAATATCTTACAACTTGTAACATGAGCAGAGTGATATGGTAAGTGGATATATAATGCAGTACGCGGAAGCTAAAGCTGTATGGTTCGCTTTCAACATGGAGTTACAAGGGACATATTATTATTACTACGACTTTTTTCGTTGAGAATAGATCACTATTATTTTCGTCCTTTCACTGATGCCTCATATTCAGTACGCCAGTGGATTCTTTTCATTCTAAAATGCCTCTTCGTAAAGCTAATGATTTGATCAATGTTCTAAATCATTTCCAATAGCTTTGATTCTATGTGGGAATGTGACTATTCACTACCATATATTCTCATGTCAAATTCAATTCCGTAACTACCAAATGAATACACCTCATAAGCCTCTAGTTACAAATCATGTTCCTTAGCTTGGCCTCGATTGACAACTACCAAATTTAAAGCCGTTGATTACTGAGCGATCGACAACAGGATGTGTCCAGTTAATTCGTCAGCTTACACATATAAGCCAATAATAAATCACCCATGTCCAAATGCATGGTTTGTATCATATCTCTGAAAATTATACTCATCTTTGCTGCTCTCTGTGATTTAACTTAAAAGCGAAACAGAGGTATGCCATGAATTGGATGGCAAAATTATAGTGTTATGATCAACATACTTAATGTTAATGATTGGGTTCTTAAGCCTTGTCACAGATTCATTCAGCCAGTTAGTCACAATGGATTAGGTTCACGAACAGTAACCCCGAATCAAACACATACTGTTTCAAAATGTGATCTTATTTCTCAGTCATCTTGAGACTACTTATCAACCGAAATTGCCTTATCTGTAAGTTATCAGACAGGCGCATATTTTGGTTTTAGAAGTCGTTATTATTTTAAATACAAGAAGTGTTTGTGATCTTTAGATGGAGCACTATGGAATTATTCATAACACTTTGATCTGGCATGTGAGCTGGCATACCTTATATGAGTTATCGTTGATTCCGAATAAATCATTAATACCACTAAAACTAGCGAGCTGCTGAGTCACAAGTAAGGTGTTTCTAGTTTGAATCTATCATATCGTTTTTAATTCACCATGACCCTCACTCTCAAGTAGGACTGGAGGTTAACTCTTTATCAAAACTGGAATGTCTGCAATTATAATATGATTGTAACACTGTTTGTGAGATATTCGAATGAATCACCTCACTACACAGTCACGAAGGTTGAGAACCACAAAAGTAACCACATGCACCAGTTCTCATAACCTGTGATCGTATAATCACAACCATAATAGACGTAGAAGATATTCATGCAACATTTTTAAGCCAGATTTACAAGTTTCAGGTTATTTTACTGCTACTTATTGCATTAGATTTTCCGTGCCCAAAAACATAAAGCTCATCAATAATTACCTTTCACAACAGTTATACACTTTTAAATCAATGATTTCGATACTTTTAAATTTTACTGAGTGCCTACGTTGTCAGAAACAAGTCTAAGTGGTTTATTGTTTGATGTCTGGAATAACAGAAGTAGAGAATAGTTGCATCCCTGCATCACGTTCTCAAATTGTTTTATAATATTGATTGATAATAAGTATTTATTCGCAAATAATAAAATGTTGCAATGGGTATGCTAGTTTACAGGCAAGATGGAAACGTTAAAATTGCTAACAAATTCATTATAAAAGGTATGGTGGAATGTTTTTAATAAGAGAACGCAATCGGTCAAGTGGAAACATTTATTATTGTACAGAATTGTAACAATTACTGTTTTATTGTACCCGTTTTGTTTAACTATACTGAAAACATTTACTCACGCGCAACTTTCTGTTCGTGTTGCTGCCATCTTCGATGTAGCTGCTCTTTATTCCGCCCACTTTCTTGGTGTGATTTCGATCTACTTTAGACACCGCGAAACGACTAGCAAATATGTTCTTTGCCCAAGATTTATTTATCTTGATAGTGATAGGCTAGTAATTAGTATTTAGTGGTGATCATAGTTAATGTCGACTCGATTACCGCTAAAAAGATTATTTAGTTAGATAAATATTTCGCAAGACACGCTAACCTATGATAGAGCGCCAATAATCTTCACATAAGATTAAAGTTATTGTGTCAGACTCCGGCATGTACAATACAGCAGTTGGTGCGAGTTACGACGTTTGCGTTGCGACAAAGCACTACTGGTTTGGAATCAATGCCAGGTAATCCCAGTTCTGCTTATAACAAGAATTGATAAGGTAAATATGTGAAGGTCTTCTTGTTGAGATTCATCAGCTAATAAATTTACAGGCTTCTCAGTAAAGTAATCAAGTCTTCTGCAATTATCAAGGCTAATATTTAAGGGGTATGAGGTTCTGAAAAGGAGAAATAAAGCGAAAATAGTGAGGAGCAGGACAGAAAATATTCTGGTTTAAAGCTGAATCATGACTCAGTAAGTTCTTTCTTGGATAAGACAAAGGTATGATTGCTAATACCTTTCTGTTTATGTAATGGAACATTAACCGTAGACCTACACTTATGTGGTTTATTGAAGGCAAGTCACTAGTAAGATAACGAATAAGCAAATAATCTTATGAATAGAGAAGATTAAAAAGAACTAAATCGTTAGGAATTTTGTTTATTTACAGAATGAGATGCTTTGTTGATATTTCATTTATGGTTTCTTTTAGCGCTTTAGCTCAAAAAGTCATTAGCGAACTTTTTTCAACTTACTTGTCTAGAACTTAGTTACATCCTGTAATATCATATAGAGACGTAAGCAAACAAACTATTCAACCCCTCAGACATGGGTGGATTGAAGTTATCTCCCTGCCTTTATGAATGCTGGTCAGATACAACACCCTCAATCATTTTGTGATGTTAGGTTCTCTTACATTCAGTGACATTTTTTTTTAATTTTTTAGTTTAAGCTAAATTTTTTGTTCACCTCATCGGA